ACATATATATACAACCCGCTCGCAAAACCCCCCGCTAACACCCCACCCCCCGATACCCTATTTTCCCGCTGACATACGCGCGGCACAAAACCCCCCCCCCCCCCCCCCCCCCCCACCCCCCTTTTCAAGCGACCGCCCTCCGCACCCTCGCCTCCTCGGAACCCCCCGGCCCAGGCACGACCTCGAAGCCGATAGAGCGCCGGCTCCGGCTGCGGCGGCCGGCGCGCGCGCCGCCGTCGCCGTACTGCTCGTCGAACTTGCGGATCGCCTTGAGGCTCTCCATGTCGTCGCTGATGCTGGCGCTGATCTCGGCGAGCGCCCGGTCGAAGTGCGCGCGCGTCAGAACCCTCCTCTTCGCGGGGCTGGCCGTGGCTGTGGCGGTAGCGGCCTCTTTGTCGGTATCGGGCGAGGAGGAGGGGGAGGCGCACTCGTCTGCAGGGCTGACGTTGCCGGCTACTACTGCTGATGCTGCTGCTGTTGCGGCGGAGGCGGTGGCGGCCCTCTGGGCGTGGACCTCCTCGCGTACGGCGTGCATGGCGGCCGAGACGCAGAGGTTCTTGAGGTCTGAGCCCGAGTAGAGCTCCGTCTCGGCGGCGAGGGCGGACAGCGAGACCCCCGCGCCGGACCCCGCGCCGCCGCCGTCGTCGAGGGCCTCGTCGCGGAGGACGACGCGGAGGATGGCCTCGCGCTCGGCGCGCAGGGGGAGGTCGACGAGCATCTTGCGGGGCAGGCGGCGGAGGACGGCCTCGTCGAGGTCGAATGGCCGGTTGGTGGCGACCATGATGAAGGCGCGCATGTCGGTCAGGCCGTCCCACTCGCGCAGGAACTGGGTGATGGTCTCGCGGTGGGCGGCGCGCCCGTGGCCCGAGTGGCGCGAGCCCAGGAGCGCGTCCGCCTCGTCGAGGAAGATGACGGCCGGCGAGAGCTTGCGCGCGAGTGAGAAGACGGCCCGCACGTTCTTCTCGCTCTGGCCCACGTACATGTCGTTGATGCTGGCGGCGCTCACCTCGAGCATGTTGGCCCCGCTCTCCTTGGCGACGGCTTTGGCCAGGAGTGTCTTGCCTGTGCCGGGCGGGCCGTAGAGGAGGCATCCGGGTATCCGCTCCGTCTTGAGGACGCCGTACGAGAACTCCTCGGGCCGGACGAGGGAGAGGGACGTCAGCGCGATGAGGGACTCCTTGGTGGCTTCCGGAGCGATGATGTCGTCAAACGTGGTGCGGATGTCCTTGGCGTTGATCAGACCCGAGAGGAGTTTCTTCTCGTGGCTGTCGTAATTCTTCGACGTGCTGTTGCTGCTGCTGCTGCTGTCCCCCGATTCCTCCGGATCCATGGACATGAAGGGGTGATCGTTTGAATTGCCGGCAGTAAACACCGGTGAGAAGTAGGGTGGATGGACGGGGTAAAGGTCTGCCCATTGCTTATCCCTGGCCTCCATTGTGCTGAGGGCCTTCCTCAGAAGGGCCGTGTCAAATTTAGGGGGACGTGAAGTCTCGCTGCCCAGCATCAACGTGGCTATCCGGTAGACCCACTGGACATCGTAGATGCCCTTGCCTAGGTCAACGGCCGGGCTAGTAGTGGTCATGCCGTCGTCGACCAAATCGGGGCTGAACGCGATTGAAGGCGAGTTACCCACAAGCGACCGAATCATGGTGCTAATGTTGTCCAGGTTTTCCTGAATGGCCTCCCTCTTCTCCCACTTGACTTTGTCATGGAACTTCTCAGACACGTGGAATGGTATTACATGAAAGTCTTCCTTGCTCATCTGCAAAAGCGTCCGCCACTGGGGCGCAGTCTGGATGTCGCTCGACGATGAGCCGATGAGAATGGCTCGTCTTCCGTTCTGCCACATACGGTCGACAATCGACCGGATCTTGTTTACGATGCCTTCGGCCAAGGAGTTTAGCTCCAGATAATCGTGGATATGAACGATCAGGTTTTTTCGGGTTGGAGACTGGGTGCTAGATTTCCGTCTGATATCGGCAGCTTCGATGAGTTGCTCCAGGACTCGGCCGATCTTGATATCGTCCCATCGGTCATCGGAGGATCCTCCAAGCAGGAAGGAATCCTTTCTAGGCGTGACAGATCTCATACGGGAAGGGATGGAGATGAATAAGTTGCCGATATCCTCAGGGTCGGACCCTGAGTCCGACCTTGGCAGGAGCCTTCCGTTCATCTCAGCAGCAGCATAGCCGAGCATGGAGGTTGAACTCCTTGACCAGTATGGAGTTTGTCCCAGGTAACCGCCAACAATGCGGGCGATGCTTGAAGCGTCCAAATGCACCACATCTGCCTCAAGTTCGGCGGCGATGTCTCTGATGACAGTCGCTGCCACGTTGTGGCCTTTGTAATTCAAGGGTGACAGAACCGTAACTGGCCGGTTCAGTCTCCTTGACGGCGTGTTATGGGGGCCGACAGCGGCCAGCTCAGTCCGGGCCGTGGCTAGAAGTTCCAGACATGCTGAGCGCTCGGGTCCATCGGGGCGCTTGAGTAAGGGGCTCTGGAATAGGGACTGCACTGGCCGTAACCGGTCCAAGAGCCGTTCGAGATTGCCAGAGCTGAAGTTCTGTATGATATGCTCAACTTCTGAACCGTTAATAAGCTCAGCTTTTGAGAGTTCCTTCAGGAGATGCTCCGTGTCCTCCTGGCCGGCGATGCGCCGTGGATTGAGGAGGGAAACATGATTCCTTGTAAACCAGGCGGGGGGGTTGAATGGGGGGGCCTCGTCCACCGTCCTTCCTCTCAGGGCCCGGACTCGGGAGGATCCGTAGCCCTGGCTCCTCAATGACTCTTTGTATGCATCTGTGCTCGGGGTCGGGGTCGTCGAGGTTGGAGTCGGGGTGGCATCATTGGGCTTCTGGGTCTCGTCGGCCTTGCTGGGAGAGCCGTCATCAGCAACCGGCTTGTCGGGCAGTTCGTTTTCACCTCTGCTAGCATTGGTGTCATCCGGGCGAGCGCGCCTTGGTGACGACGTCCGGAAAGATCTGGCGTCGAGGTGTCGGATGTGCGCAGGGCTGTCGAGGGCGACGCGGGGCAGTGAATGGGTGCGCGTCGCCGAAAACAGGGCGCGAGCCCTAGCGGCAGGCATTCGTGAGGTAACTGTGACGAGCCTTCAACATCGGTATCGGCCCCAATGGCTCTTGACGTGCGATGGCGGCTCTGGGTTACTTTGGCGGCGTTGAGGAAATGCGGCGAAGGCTTACAAGAATTAGTCCATTGTTGCTGCTATTTTTCGTAGGAACCAACAGGGTGGAAGGATCCTATTGGTTGTAGATTAGATAAGGGGTATGGCCTTGCACATCGCGGGGCAGTCAAATTGCGTCTTAACAACCATAGATCCTTCCACAATACATCATCACCACTTTTAGCTGAGAACATGCCAATCAACTGGTAGCTGTGCTGCCCGTCGCAAGGTATGCCTGCCACGTGCTGCACTCTGAAGTACCACTACCAGGACCAATGTTGTTGAGATTATGGACCTCCACGGGTGTTGCCACGAGACAAGGAGAAACCTATACGCTCTATGAGCTCGAATTATCCTGGTTACATTTTAATACAAGAGACCACAGTCTGATGCCTTATCACTCTACCTCTTAGTGTATCGACATGGCATCATGAGGTTCCGTTCCAGCCCCACTAACCCTCAGTGCTAGCCCTCACCCCCTCGGCCATCAGGGCATTCTTATATAAGTTCTGCGCGTGACTAAGGCTCTCGATGGTCGGTGCAAAGAGAGCTAGAACGGACTCCCTGCCGCCCTTGACCATCCTCGGATGCCAGTTCTTTATTCTCTTCTTCGTCTTGTTGTAATACGCAACGATATCCTGTTTCTTCTGCTCAATAGTCTGGATGCGAACCGCCTCAGCCTCCTCTGCCAACGCCTCGATTCTCTCCATGGACCGCTTCAGGGACTCAACGTGGTATGTAAGCTCTTGGGCTCGATCTGGGTCGCCAGAAAGGAAGGCATTCCAGAACTGCCGCAGGAACTCGGTGGTCGTGGCATTGGTGATATAACAACGCTGCGTGATAGGACGTGGAATCCCCATCGGCGATGTCTCGTCATCGCTTAGGCCGTATGTCTCTGCGCGCTTCTTCTTCATGCCTCCTAAGATCTGAGTTTGGGCTTCTCTCCTCGCCGTTCGCGACCCGACGTGATCTCGCTTTGTCTCCTCGTCGCTATCGCTCTCGTCGTCGATGCCAATGCCTCGGTGGAGATCGAGCCCACCAGCGCCATCTTCGTCTAGCGTCTCAAGGTCCCCTTGGATCTCAAAGAGGACGTCGGATGGGACTTGCTTCTCGTATACCTTCGCATCCTCGGACTTGTTCGAATCCTGGGTCGAAAAGAACCTGCTCTGCTCCTTGACGTTAAGGGCTATGCGGCTGGCTTCCACGTTGCCGCGAAGGTCACGAAGCATGAGTTCGTTGTAGGTTTGTTCGTCCATGCCGCTAGCCCTAACAGGGTCATGGTCGGCCGGCGCAACGTTGGCCATGATCTTCTCGCTCAAGCTGTTCAGCGATCTAATAATGGGAATGTTGGACCGAGGCCGCATCTCCACATCACTCCGGTTTCCACTCTTGACGCCCCCTTGGTTCTCCTCATTGCCCTCGAGATCGATCGTATGAGGCACTACCTGCGTATTGATCCTACTCGCAAAGGCAACTATGTTGTCGGCCTCGTTGTATCTGTCGAAGACGGAATCCGGGTTGTCGTTGTCCGTGACCCGTTCCCCTCTGAGCTTCTTGGAGAGCTTGCTCAGGAAGAAGCGTGACCAAAACTCGCTCTCAGAAAGCTTGGGAACGTTCTCGTTGTAGATCCTCTTGACCAACGGATGTTGCTGGAAGATCATCTGAACCTGCTCAACAGTGATATTGAGCTTGAGCTCGCCATCAACCGTACGTGGCTTGACAGTGGATAGCACATTGTACGATCCCTTCTTCTGGCTCGTCTCAATCGCATGGGAACGGAGGAGGTTCGTTCTTGTCGACCAAAATTGCGAATTGAAAGCCCCATCCGAGATTGAATCGGGTTTTGTTGCCCTGGCATCCATATAAGTTTGGTGGAGCGCTCGATCTTTCTTCATGAGGGATTGCTGCAGCTCAATGTCTGTTTTCAACACGCTGTCGTCAAACCACCTAGTCGAAGACGTGGTCGAGTTTGCGGTGCTGGCGAAGGCCATGGCCGCAGATTGGCCACCACCGTTGGTCGCCGACTGGCCTGGTTCCGCCGCTTTTGGGTCTGGCTGTGACGCCCTTGGCAAGTTTGGGTCATTGTTGCGGATGTCGGCGAGGAGTCTGGACAGGGCATCCTTCACGGCATTTGCCTCTGCCCTGGCATCGAACGGAGAGTTGAAGTGGAAGAGGTACGCGACTGGCTCCCCCTCTCCGGATTGGGGTTTCTCAAATATCTTCAGCATGACCTTAGGTGAGCTGTCCGGTGTTTGCTGGAGATCTGTGGTGCGCGGTTAGTCTCGCGGTCAACGCAGCTGAGCGTCATAATGAGAGGCTCGCTCACTGGTGATGTTCAGTACGGTCAGCGAGACGACTGGCGGCCCAGTGCCCGGTAGAGGGGTCCAGGTGACCGATTTCTGGTCATCAGAAAGTGTGATGAGGCCATCTTTCTTCTTGTAGGCAGCCTTGCCTTGTGCCACCGCCGCCATGGTCGGCAAACGCGACTTCTCTGCACGGCGGATCTCTCAGGCCGCTCTAGCCCAGCTCCAACGAGGCAAGGCCCTTTCAATCCACGTCTATGGCTTATGGCTCGGGGTCATCTCGAGCAATCACAAGTCCTGCACCAAACCTAGGATGATGACACTGCGTACTTATGCCCGCTGTCCATGAAGACTCCCGTGGAAATTTCCGTTCAATACGACCAGAGATATATGAGTTCAGCTGTTTTGAGTTTCTCAGGCCGAGTAGGTTCCACGAAGCTGCTTCTGATGTTGGCGCCGCTTGCCTTGCAGAGCTAAGCAGGGCTGAGTGGCAAATTGTGGCGAGTTGTGGCGCTCACCCTTAATTTCTTGGGTGGTGATACAAGAGTGACTTCTGTGATGGAAAGCTTCAGGTTCAGTTCCACTTTCACCCTTGCGGCCGAGCCTGGCCCATTCATTGGGTGGGGGCATGGACTTGCCGACGGATGTCAAGGCACCTGTTTTTTCAACTTGGAAGGCGTTTGGTGTTAGACCCAATTCCACTGGAAGAGCTTCGCGAATGGTGACTTGCGTCATACTGTGAGACAACAGCTGCCAGAGGTTCCATTGGGGTATCCCATTAGATAAATCATGCATTGTCTAACCCAGCATGACGGATCCTCGACCAGTCAATTCTCACAGTTTGGCACACGGTACTTACTGTGGCGCCTCTTGTGGGTCATGTGCTGCGCTGAGATTGCGCACCCTGGTTGGCTGCGACTATTGAAGCAATGCTCGGTGGGCTCGGATTGGTTAGGGGAATCGGCAATGACAGTCATCTCAGGACCGGCTTAGCCGTCATCCTTGAATTTGTTTCCGTATTCTTGCCGTTGAGACCAGCCGACAAATACAAACCAAGGTAGTCCGTCACTGCCTCACTGCATCTCTACCTACCTTTATACTTTCTCCGCCACTCCTTTCTTTCCAATCTCCGATTTGGGGCTTTTCTGGGGGACGGAGTTCTATCTTCCATTGTTACCGACGTCGTCTGTACGGCCTCTTGTCCTGACCACAATCCGGCTTCATTCCTGCCCCTGGGCAACCTAATACGCGCAAACATCATTGCACGATGCTGCGAAGCTCCATTTGCAAGGCCGGCAGCCGGGTGCTGCACGGCGCAGCTCGGTCAAGCTCGTCGGCATGTTTCTCAATGCCCTCTGCCGGCGCAAGCTGGAAGCTCGCATCGTGCCGCCGCCCATTGGCCATCTCGACTCACAAGAGATACGCTTCCGCATTATCGAGCCCGCCCGATCCGAACGACAACTTCCTCTCCGGCAATACCGCAAATTATATCGACGAGATGTACTTGCAGTGGAAGGAGGATCCCAAGAGCGTCCACGTCTCGTGGCAGATCTACTTCAAGAACATGGAGAGTGGCGACATGCCCATTTCCCAGGCATTCACACCTCCCCCATCCCTGGTTCCTGCTTCCCCAGCCATCGTGCCCAACGTGGCGGGAGCAGGCGTCGGCATCGGCGAGGGCTCCGACGTCACAAACCATCTGAAGGTGCAGCTCCTAGTGCGCGCATACCAGGCACGAGGCCACCACAAGGCGAACATCGATCCTCTCGGCATTCGCAACGAGTCAAAAGGGTTTGGTAACATCAAGCCGAAGGAACTGTCGCTCGAGTACTACCAGTTTACCGATAAGGATCTCGATGCCGAATTCAGCCTCGGTCCTGGCATCCTGCCACGATTCAAAAAGGAGGGCAGGGAGAAGATGACGCTCCGAGAGATCGTTGCCGCGTGCGAGAACATCTACTGCGGTTCGTACGGCGTCGAATTCATCCATATCCCTGACAGGGAAAAGTGTGACTGGCTCCGGGAACGCATTGAGGTTCCGCAGCCGTTCAAGTACACAATCGATGAGAAGAGACGGATCCTAGACCGATTGATCTGGAGCTCCAGCTTCGAGTCCTTCCTCGCTACCAAGTACCCCAACGACAAGCGGTTCGGCCTCGAGGGCTGCGAGACCTTGGTTCCCGGCATGAAGGCTCTCATTGACCGAAGTGTTGATTACGGTGTCAAGGACATCGTTATCGGAATGCCGCATCGTGGTCGTCTCAACGTCCTGAGCAACGTCGTCAGGAAACCCAACGAGTCGATCTTCAGTGAATTCGCGGGTACGGCTGCCGGCGAGGACGAAGGCTCTGGTGACGTCAAATACCATTTGGGCATGAATTTTGAGCGCCCTACACCGTCGGGCAAGCGCGTGCAGCTTTCCCTGGTCGCAAATCCTTCGCACTTGGAGGCCGAGGACCCGGTTGTTCTCGGCAAGACTCGTGCCATCCAACACTATAACAATGATGAGCAGACCCATCGCACTGCGATGGGTGTCCTGCTCCATGGCGATGCTGCCTTTGCCGCCCAGGGCGTTGTCTACGAGTGCCTGGGCTTCCACTCGCTTCCGGCTTTCTCTACTGGCGGCACCATCCACCTGGTCGTGAATAACCAGATCGGTTTCACCACAGACCCTCGTTTCGCCCGGTCTACTGCTTACTGCACGGATATCGCCAAGGCTATTGACGCCCCGGTCTTCCATGTCAACGCTGATGACGTTGAAGCCGTTAACTTCGTCTGTCAACTGGCGGCTGACTGGCGTGCCGAGTTCAAGCAGGATGTCATTATCGACATGGTCTGCTATCGCAAGCACGGCCACAACGAGACTGACCAGCCGTCTTTCACACAGCCGCTCATGTACAAGCGCATCCAGTCTCACGACCCCCAGATCGAGATCTACGTCAACCAGCTCATGAAGGAGGGCACGTTTACCAAGGAGGACATCGAGGAGCACAAGCAATGGGTGTGGGGCATGCTGGAAGACAGCTTTTCCAAGTCCAAGGACTACCAGCCAACCTCGAAAGAATGGACGACTTCGGCCTGGAACGGATTCAAGTCCCCCAAGGAGTTGGCAATCGAGGTTCTCCCTCACAATCCTACCGGCGTGGATAAGCATACGCTGCAACACATTGGCGAAGTCATTGGATCAGCACCCGAGGGGTTCCAAGTCCATCGCAACCTCAAGCGTATTCTCTCGAACCGGACCAAGAGCGTTCTCGAAGGAAAGAACATTGACTGGTCAACCGCCGAAGCCTTGGCCTTTGGCTCGCTTGTCACGGAAGGTCACCATGTCCGTGTCTCTGGCCAGGATGTTGAGCGTGGTACCTTCTCCCAGAGGCATTCCGTCTTCCACGACCAGGAGAATGAGGACACATACACCCCTCTGCAGCATGTCAGCAAGGACCAAGGCAAGTTCGTCATCTCGAACTCGTCACTCAGCGAATTCGGTGCCCTTGGTTTCGAATACGGCTACTCCCTGACCTCCCCCAACGCCCTGGTCATGTGGGAGGCTCAGTTCGGCGACTTCGCCAACAACGCCCAGTGTATCATCGACCAGTTCATTGCATCGGGCGAGGTCAAGTGGATGCAGCGAACCGGCCTTGTCATGTCCTTGCCTCACGGCTATGACGGCCAGGGTCCCGAACACTCCTCCGGCCGTCTCGAGCGATACCTCCAGCTCTGCAACGAGGACCCGCGAGTCTTCCCGTCCGATGATAGGTCTCAGCGGCAACACCAGGACTGCAACATGCAGATCGCTTACATGACTACCCCTGCCAACCTGTTCCACATTCTCCGGCGCCAAATGAACAGGCAATTCCGGAAGCGTATGTTCCCCATTTTGACCATTGCACTGCCCGTTTCTTGGTACTAACTCTGGCAATAGCTCTCATCATTTTCTTCTCCAAAGCTCTCCTGCGTCATCCTGTTGCTCGCTCCGACCTTGACGAATTCACCGGCGATTCCCAGTTCCACTGGATCATCCCGGACCCAGCTCACGGGTCAGGTGGTCTCAAGTCTCATGACGAGATCGAGCGCGTCATTCTCTGCTCCGGCCAGGTGTACACTGCCCTGCTAAAATACCGTACCGATAACAACATCGACAATGTCGCGATTACACGCATTGAGCAACTTCACCCCTTCCCATGGCAGCAACTGCGGGAGAACCTTGACCAATACCCCAACGCCAAGACCATCGTCTGGGCCCAGGAGGAACCCCTCAATGCTGGCGCTTGGAGCTTCACCCAACCCCGAATTGAGACTCTGCTGAACCAGACCGAGTTCCACGACCGGAAACACGTCATGTATGCCGGCCGTAGCCCGAGCGCGTCCGTTGCCACTGGTCTCAAATCAACACACACCAAGGAGGAACAAGAATTCCTGGAAATGGCTTTCTCGGTCAAGCAGGACAAACTCAAGGGAGAGTAGGAGTAGTAAGGAAGAAGCAATGATGTTGGAGGGCAACTCCGTCACGTCCAACGGGGTTCGAGGGTCATAGACAAAAAAAAAAGAACTCAAAACATTCGAGAATGGGTAGCCAGGGAGGGAACGCGGAGGGCCGGTTGTGGTTGTAGAGTATTTGTATACCTGCAAAAACAAAAAAGAAGCTTCTCTTTGCAGAAGCTTCTGTGTACCAGTCAGAACATGAAGATCGCTTTCAACCATCTTATACAGCATTAATTTATCGTGCGGGCGTCATGGTAGCACTATGGTGTCTCCTTTCCCTTAGATTGTGGGTATATACACAGTGATGGAAGCGACGGGGTCAGATATCCTATTATGTTACCTGCCACGGCCGGATAACGCCATCGTCACCAGATGTCACCAGCATCTCTTCTTCTCCTCTCCGCTCCGTTCCAGGATCAAACCTCTTACACCAGGTGATGTGGTTGATTTCGTACGGTCCGTGTCCGTTGGAGACTGTCCCGAGCACTCGCCACTCACCCGACGAAGGATGGTACTCGTTCGTTTGATTCGCATCGTCTTGCTCTGCCGGCTGTGTGGAGGGTTGTCCCGTTGGTGTACCGTCTCCTCCCTGGACTCCCGTTATCTGGTCCTCTCCATATACAGCAATGATTCCATCGCTACCAGTGCTCGCCACCAGCCCCGAGGCAGCACTCCAGGAGGCTGAATAGATATCCCGAGTGTGAATCTTTGGTAGTACGGCTGTACAATCCCAGTCTTCCTGGAGGCTCCTCCTCATCGTATTGGGAATGCCACCCAGCCCGGAATGGAAGACGTGATTGCCTCCGGCACTACCGGCCCCGCCGTCCTCCTCGCCGTCCTTGTCCTCGCGGAGGGTCCATATCCGGATCGTCTGGTCGGCAGAGAAGGTTAGCAGCCTCGGGAACCTGTCGGCCCTCGGCGCGGGCTCCCACTGCAGGCCCCATACGGTCTCGGCGTGGCCCTCGAGCACGGCGACGCACACCCACTCGCCGTCGCCGTCCTCGCGCCAGACGCGCACCGTGTTGTCGTAGCTCGCGCTCGCCAGCACGTCGGCGCTGTACCGGCCGGCGCCGGCACTGTTGCGGCCGGGCACGTCGGGGCACCACGCGACGGCCTTGACGTCGCCGTCGTGCTCGTTGAGCACCGCCACCGTCTCCCACTCGTCTTCGGCCTCGGACGCCCCGACGTCCTCCCATATCCACACCGACTTGTCCCGGCTGCACGTCGCGAGGTACTGCCCCGACGGCGAGAACGCCGCCGCCTTGATCTCGTTCTCGTGGCCCTCCAGCACCAGCGTGAACTCCCAGTCGTCGTCCCCGTCCCCGCCCGGGCCGGCCCCGTCACCCCGCTCACGCTCCGAGCTCGAGTCGGATCCGCCGTCAGCCGCCGCCCGCTTCCCCGGTGGTACCGCCGCAGCCGTGACGTCAACCTCCATCTCGTCTCCTCCGGCAACAGGTGCCGCTGCCGCCGCTACGGGTGGCCCGTCAAACGGCACGTCGCCGTCCCACCGCCAGAGCCCCGCCGTGGCGTCGAAGCTGCCGGTGACGAGGCACAGGCGGTGGGGCGGCAGGCCGGGCTTCCAGGCGGCGCAGCGCACGGAGCGAGTGTGCCCGCCCGTCAGGGCGCTGTGCTTGGTCATGGTGGTGAGCGAGAAGACGGTGACGGCGCGGGCATGCGTCGTGGCGAGGAGGGGCAGCGTCGGGTGCGGGGTCGAGGCCCAGGCGCGCTGGTAGAGGTCCGGTGTGAAGGGCGGGAGGGGGGTGAGGTGGACTGGGGGGAGGGGCCCGGCGGCGTCGGGGGGGTGGGATTCTGTGCTCATCGTCGAAAGAAGGGGGCCGAGGTGCACTTTGAGGTGTTTTGGGGGAGGTAAGCGGCGGGGACCGGGTGTCGATGGATCCCCGGGAGTCGGATGTTGGTTAGGGGGGTGCGCCCGGGGTGGGGCAGGATGGTCAACTCGGCGGCGCCCGATTAAATATAGGGCATTGAATGGCTTGGTAGACTGGAAATGGGCTGAATCTCAGGGACAATAGTGTTAGCATGGGAGAGCCACAGGTCCCCGGTCGCTTGGTAAGAGGTGTTTGTTTGGTGGGGTAGCTCGATGATGATTTTCTCTTGTGGATAGGGAGGGATTTCTTATCACCAGCAACTCCGAAAAATATGAGGCCCCACTTCGGCACGATGCAGGTGCAACAGCTCCTGGGCCTTAGAATATTGACAGGGTGGTACACATACATAGATTCTTCTATCAATCTGGATCATGAGTTGTTCCATCTTGGATTATAATCTAAACACTAGAAGCATTGGACGAGCTGGGGAGGGTAATAAGAACAAGTCGACTAGCAATTTGATGCAAGTCGTCTTGCTCCTCGCGACCTCCAATGCATATCCCTTGGCCGGCTATCCCACGCCGCTCCGCAAGGCGTGCTAGGGTAGGCGAGAACCCTCTGCACTTGCTGCAGCTCGCCGGATCCGGCGCCTACTGGGGCCTGGCAGGCATGTGCGGATTATCTACGGAATTTGCTCCCATTTCCTATTGGAGGAAATACTCACGGCCGGACGTGCTATTGTCGCATCTCGGGCCCCGCCTGTCGGGACAATTGAAGGAGACAAGCAACAAGTCCCGTATAAGTTGTGGCATATCTTGCAGAACGGTAAACCAACAATGTTTAATATTGCATCTCCCCTCTCATTATTTTGCTTCTGCGGGAAGTCGAGGAACGCGCGGGCTCATAGCGCCACGCGACATCCAAGCTAGGACGTGGTCGCTGGAGACCCCCATAACTTCCTACGATACTGTACGTCATTCCATCCACCATTCGGTGACATCCCAGCCTCCGTCGCATCCGTCATACCTTAATCATTTAAGATCCACGATTCTGGGGACGTCCAAGGGACGATGCACGTTCCAACTCGACCGGTTTAGCTGACTCTTGACTCGCGCCGGCAGAGTCAAATTGCCAGTATCACGTGCAGGGAACAGAACCACCACCTGTTGTTGCGTCATTGTGGAAGCGAGCTTGGATCTGGGTCAACCTACCTAACCATCGCTGTTTCAACGAACGAACGGGGCGTCGAAAGCACCCAGTTCTGGGAACGGCGAGCAAAGCACAGCTGCCAAACAGAGCCAGCCCACGATAATGTCAAAGTTCTCGAGGGCCCGCCCGGGCCTCCTGCGGCGGCTGGTGCTGCCCACCAGCATCGCCGTGGTCGGAGGCGGCACCCTCTTCTACATGTACCGCCCGCGCAACATCCCTGGATACGAGGGCCCCGCCGTGCCGCCGCCCATCTACGGTGCCGACGGGACCTTCAAGCTGCCGCGGTTCCCGCGAATCAAGCCGCGCGACGAGCAGATTGACGACCTGCGAAAGAGCAGCTCCGCCGTCGCCGGCCAGGGGGAGGAATATGACGTCCTTGTGATAGGAGCGGGGGCAACCGGCACTGGAGTCGCCCTCGACGCTGCCACTCGTGGACTGAAGGTCGCCGTAGTCGAGCGCGACGACTTCAGCTGCGGCACTAGCAGTAAGAGCACCAAGCTGGTGCACGGCGGAGTGCGGTATCTCGAGAAGGCTGTTTGGAACCTGGACTATGCCCAGTACGAGCTTGTCAAGGAGGCGCTCAAGGAACGCAAGTATTTCCTGCAGACGGCGCCGCACCTGAGCATGTGGCTGCCCATTATGCTGCCGCTGGACCAGTGGTGGAAGGTCCCTTACTACTGGGCCGGCACAAAATTCTACGACTTTCTTGCCGGGAGCGAAGGCATCGAGAGCTCCTACTTCTTGACCAAGAGCAAGGCCATTGATGCCTTTCCCATGCTGAAGCGGACCGGCTTGGTCGGCGCACTCATCTACTACGACGGGGCGCACAATGATTCTCGCATGAACGTGTCTATCGGCCTGACCGCAGCATTGTACGGCGCAACGGTTGTGAACCACATGGAGGTTACTGGTCTCTTAAAGAATTCCGAGGGCAGGCTCTGCGGTGCCAAGGTCAAGGATCTCATACGCGAGAGGAATGGAGAGGCGGCAGAGGACTTCGAGATCAAGGCAAAATGCATCATCAACTGCACAGGGCCCTTCACAGACGGTATCCGCAAGTTGGACGACCCTGGCTGCAAGGAGATTGTTGCGCCGGCATCCGGCGTCCACGTCATTCTACCGGGATACTACAGCCCCGGCAAGATGGGCCTGATCGACCCGAAAACGTCGGACGGGAGAGTCATTTTCTTCCTCCCATGGCAAGGCAACACCATTGCTGGCACCACGGACGAACCAGCTGAGATTTCCAAGAACCCCCTCCCGGACGAGAAGTCCATCCAGTGGATCCTGAAAGAGATCAGTCACTACTTGTCCCCGGACATCAATGTCCGTCGGGGTGACGTCCTAGCTGCCTGGTCTGGTCTCCGCCCTCTCGTCAAGGACCCCAAGGCGAAAAATACCGAGTCCCTTGTCCGCAACCATCTCATCGACATCTCCGACTCTGGCCTCGTTACCTGCGCCGGCGGCAAGTGGACAACTTACCGCCAGATGGCCGAGGAATGTGTCGATGCCGCCGTGAAGGAGTTCGGCCTGAGCGTCCGACCCGTCACCGACGCGCCACGCGTCAGCGGGACCGAGGCCATCGATGACGGCGCAAGCCTCGACGGCTCATGCCAGACGCACCGAGTGAGGCTGATCGGCGCGCACGGCTTCAGCAGGACCTTGTTCATCCACCTCATCCAGCACTTTGGCGTCGAGACCGAGGTCGCGAAACACCTCACCGAGAGCTACGGCGACCGTGCGTGGACCGTCGCGGCGCTCTGCAAGCCCACTGAGAAGAGGTTCCCGGCCCGCGGCGAGCGCATCTCGTTGCTGTACCCGTTCGTCGACGGGGAGATCCGCTATGCTGTCAGGCACGAATATGCACAGACGGCGGTGGATGTGCTGGCGAGGAGAACCAGGCTCGCTTTCCTGAACGCGCAGGCTACGCTGGAAGCGCTCCCCAAGATCATCGATATCATGACGGAGGAGCTGAAGTGGGATAAGAAGAGACAGGATCTTGAGTGGAGAGAGAGTAAGTCTTGCGGCCCCTTCTGTTCTTTAAACTCGTCCTCGGATGCTAACATTGCGTTTCCTAGCTGTCTCCTTCCTGGAGTCGATGGGCCTGCCGCACCCGATGCTCTCAACGACGAGGAAGCAAGTCGAGCAGGGGAAGCTTGACTTCTCGACCTCATTGGAGTATAAGATGTACTCTAGACACGATAAACCAACCGAGGACTAACGCCTTGGCTCAACTGATCGTCCTGAGGATTGCATTGGATAAATAAAAAAAAGACGGTGTTGGTATCAGCCTAGTCATCATGTTTGGAGCATTTGCATAATGGGTTGGTCATCATTTGCTAGTATCTATGTATTGTAATGTAAATGGTGTTCTTGTCCTTGTTGAATTCCTCGTGGCTTGCGCAGGATAGCCTACTGGTTAGACAGCCAGCAGGATATGTATGCATGCCATTCCCGATAATTTTCTTGGTCGCAGCAACATGTCAAAATGGATATTGGTGTTGGCTATCTTTCCGCTGAGACAGGTGACATCGGTGGTAGGGGAGGGTCGTCTTTCCACACCGAAGGAAGTAGCAACCAAGGGGGCCGGACGGGTCCTTAAGTGAGGTCTCGATCCTCCGGACCAAGATGAGCCCGTCACCGACCCTCCCACTCAGCAAACATCTTAAGCCTCAGATATTACTAGTAGTATTTATGACCCGCTTCGCGACAGTGGGATACGGGGCCACCCATGGCTACCACCGCCGCCCTAAGGCGCGACGCCCGGCAACCTCGTCGCGACGGGATTAAAGATAGGGGGAATGGCCCGAACGCACGAGAGAGACGCACCAGGCACTGGAGGTGCGGTTCCTCCGAGTCCGAGGAAACCTTCCTATCCTCCGAAAGCAGCATCTGGCTCGCCTCACCGCTCCGCACGCCCAGTCCCCCGAGCGTCGTGTATGCTCCCGCCGACGCAGCCCGACGTGTCTCCCAGGACGCGAACTTTGACACCCCTTTTCCAACACCGCCACCTACTCCACCTCCTCTTCCAACCGACGCATCAACCACGACACAGGACAACCCCCCGCCCCTCTCAACAACCTCCAGCAAACCAATCCCCACCCCCCGGAGTCCACAACTGACCAGCAACCTACCCTCACCGACAACAACGACAACAACAACCACCCCACCTCCACCAACCCCCCTCCCCTTCCCCCTACAACCCCGCTACTCGCCCCCACACCGCAACCCCACCCCGCCCGGCCTCCCCTCCTACGTCCCCGCCGGCCCCGCACCCGCCCGCCGACCCATCCGCCGCCCGGGCCTACTCCTGCTCCCGCCGCAGACACCGCCAGCGCAGCAGCAACAACAACAACGGCTGGAGCAGCCGCAGCCCTGGTACCCGCCGCGCAGCGCCCACGCCCTGATGCGGCACCACCCGTACCTCGCCGCCGCCGCCGCCGGGGGTCGTCCCGGGTGGATCGATGGTCGGGGCGGAGTGGTGAAGGGGGAGGGGGGTGGGGAGGGACGGGATCGGGATCGGGTTGGTGCTGGGATTGGTGATGTGGGGGGTGTCGCTGGCCATGCCGAGGGGGAGGATGAGGATGGGTGGAGTGTTGGGGGGGGTTCGTCGTCGTGGGTTGGGTGGAGGGTTTGTTGTTGTTGGTGGGATGATGGGGATGGGGGTGCTGGGGAGGGGGTGTTTTGGGGGTGATTGCGGGAGAGAGCTGGCAAGGGGTGTTGGGTTTGTTGTGTGGAAGGACTAGATGGGAAAGGGACGGTGCGTAGGACGACTCGACCGAACTTCCTGGTGTATATCTCTAGGCCTAGAAGTAACCGACTCCCCGGGAAATAAAAGGGGTATGCACATCCCTTCCTAACCACACGTGTCGTTAAGTCACTCTTCTTCATCTGCACAGGTCTCACTTCGAGGGCCTATTATACTCTTATGTCATGGCTCGTATATTTTGAAAACCACCAACAGTGCTATGCAATTAGTCTTAAAACGACAGTCATGTTTCTTTTGGTCTCATTCCCCCCAAATCAAATGTGTCCTCGCCCTTCCCTCCAGCTACGCCAGGCAATGCAGCGCAATGCAAACCAGCTTCCACGAATAGACCACGGGCACAGAAGATGTTGATCGTAGTCTGTAGAATCAGAAGCCTTCAACCATCCAAAAAAAAGGAGAAGGAAAAAGAACAAAATATGATGGAAGAAAAACGCCCCTCCCCCCAGACCTTCCAATCTATGGTTTTCCCGGGTATGAGGTTGTCCGTCTTTTGACCACCCCTCGAGCCGGCCCCAAAAAAATAATAACTGAACGCCTTCTCCGTCTGTTGAAATTCGTTTGCCGACCCAAAAAATCTCCCTATCGGCCCGCTTTCTAGTGGTGTATGTTGCCCGTTCTCTTCGAGAAGCCCTCGAGTCTAACGCACTGGGTATCAGATGCTAAGACGCGCTGGACAGCCGAGATGGCTTCCTCAGAGAAAGGCTAGAAAGAACCAAGGTAAAATAAAATTAAGAAGTGAAAAAAAAAAAAAAAAGTGAGGTTGAGAGATTCGCCTGAACGTGGAAAATAAAGATATGTTGTTGAGATGGGGGGGGGGGGTTGGTGTAGTGGCGGGTAGTGACGTTGAACCCGGCCATTTCCCCGACGCCTTTCCTTTGATTTCATTCCGTGGAATGTATTTCCCGATGCGGTCCTCCGAAGCTCAAGACGCGCTCCATGAGGCCACGCCCCAAGCCGGACGAGCGGCGGACGTCGCACGGCCCGACTGTGTACCCTTGCTGCAACGTCCGCTCGAACTCGGCGTTCCAGCCGTACATGTCCCCTCCATCGGGGACGCAGGCGTCGCCGTAGTCCTCGGACCCGAAGACTGTCAGCGGATCAAAGACGGACCGTCGGTCTGCATGATCATCGGCCGCGCCGGTGAAGTTGGAGAAGTCGGTGAAGGAGAGCGAGGGCACCGGCGACAGCGCCGCCTTGTCACGTTCCACCATCACCAAATCCTCCGTGCTCATCCTCATCGTCGTCGCATCGCTGCCGGCCTCGCTGCCCCAGCCGCCGCCGAGCGCCGCCGACCTCTCAAAGCCGAGGGGCGTCAGGACGAGTGTCTCGCCCAGCGTGAGCATCGGCGAGTTCGGGAGCGGGGCGCTCCTGATCTTCGGCTCTTCCTGGACACGTGTCGGGATCTCCAATGGCTTCACGACCACGGACCTGACCCGGTGACGGGAGCGGCGCCGGACCACCGACGGCTTCCCCCTTGCGTATGGGCCATACCCTTTTGCGGCCATGCCACCCCTGATGCCTCCTCCGCTGTGGTTCCCTCCCGCGACATAGCCGTCCATACGGATCGGCACGCCCGGGTGAGGTTCCTCCCACGTGCTTACTACTGTTCGTGATGGCTGTGCCCCTGTCTCGTGGGCGCCATCATCTGTCGGTCCGGTAGTCGTGGACTCATTTGCGGTGGGGGCTTCAGGTGGTGACATGACCTGCAACCCTCATGAAGGGGGTACGCCACTGCCGCCGCCGCCGCCACTGCTGCTGGTGCCGCTGCGGCCGACGTCGGGGTCTGGGACGCCGGATGTGACGCTGGTGCTTTGTCGCTTGCCACGAGACTTTCGGTTGATGCCAAGCTTCTGGCCGACCTTCTTCCAGCCACTATTGTGAGCGCTGATCGCCCGTTGGAGAGGCCCAGCGGCGTTCCAATCCGGGGTCGGCGGAGTTGTGGGCGGTGTCACAGGCTCGTTATGGGGTGATCCTACGCTTCCGCAGTCGTCGGACAGCCCTAATTCTGCTGCATCAGTCGACGGACTTGATTGGCTTCCCGGCTCGTTGCTGCGGCTGAGGCCAAAGAGGGGTAGGAAATGGGCCTTTGGTGACCTGCTCGAATCGTCACTGGAGGACGTCGAGTCCTTTGGACCACGCAAAATCGAGCGCCTTTGTCTTGAGTCGTGTGCTTCCTTCTCATCGTGGCCTTGGTGCTCGTTGTGCGGCGCTACCGCCTGAAGGAAGGGCACCAATACCGAATCGTTCATCAACTCGTAGACAATCCGGACCGCGTCGTCCAGTTCCGAGGGATCTGGCGGCGTCGACGTGGCAGGAAGCCCTAACAACCGATCTCGCACCGGCGAGGGGATATTCAGCTCTCGGGGTCCGCAGGGTAATATGTACGCGTTCATCAGCTTCTGCCACAGTGTGCAGACGTGGTCGTTCCCATCTCGCATCTTGGCAGGATCCCCGGTCAGAATCTCGCTGTGAGCGGCCCTATAGCGTTCTGCGTCCATGGTAAATTCCAGCGTCTCCAGGCAGTGGTTCTGGGACAGGAAGGCCATGAAGGCGGCGAGCGACCACGGCGGCGGCGCCGTGTTGGAGAGGATATCCTGCAATGAGGGGGGTGAAATGTATGTTGAGGATGATATTTGATACAAGGCCAGGCTCGCTGGCCTAGAGGATGTCATGGTTGGAGCTTCTCGCCCTCTTTTTGAGATTGGCGCTTGGGAGGGTTGGTTCTTTTGGGCGACGAGTTTGGTTTCAGTGAAGTCTTTGTATCTTCGATCCTGGCATCATGCCCCCAAGGCTCTAAATCGATTCTGGGGAGCAATTGAGAAGCAGGATCCAGGAATGTCGACGACCGGGGGTTTCAGCGGTCGTCTCTTTTTGCTCCATGCACCCTCCGCGATAGGAGTTGTTTCCACCGGATTTGACCGTTTTCAAAAGCGTCGGTTCCCGGTCGTCCTGCAAGGCGGGCAGCTGCTGTGCCTAGCTCCGCTTAAGTAGTGATGTCGACCGACCAGTTATCAGGGCCGTTTTCGCTGTTTCAAGGCGGCAATGTGCAGAACTAGGGGTTAGGCAGCACTTTGCCTGGACTCAAGTCGCCAGGCTGTCGGGAAGTGTGTGTCAGAGTGGAAGAGAGCCACCCAGGAATATGTGAGAAGCCGGGCAATGGGGCGCGTCGCTATGAACCCTAGAGGGGTGTCGGGATCTCTCTCTGTCGTCGTACGGGACTGCGGTGAGTAAACAGCCAGCCGGCCCCCGGGAGTGATGGCGGGTGGTTTCGGCGGTAGGAATGTTTCGGATTTTCCAGAGTCGTCGTGTCTCTGCTGGAAAGACTAAGACGGCGCACGATGGCTCTCCCTTTGGTTTTCAAAAAGCCAACGGCCCAGGCTACTCAAACAATGTAGCACGGCGTCGTGGCGTTCGTTGAGCAGAGGCCAGGGGCCACCGGGTTTTCGCAGGAATCTCCAAAGAAGGCCGCTGGGACAGAAGATAAACGTGCGGCGGGGACTGGGAAGGGCCAGGAATTGGGGCCAGCCGAAATGAGGCCAGTCGTGGAATGCGGGTTGTGTGTGTATGTATCGTGGACAAACGAGTCTCCCGGATGGGCGGGAAGCGGAACGAGAGGAAGTCGAATCGGCAATTAATATCTATTGTGTACGGCGCCGACAACGACGAGGGTGTCGAATTGAAGCAAGCTGCTTGCAGGTAGGTGTTGGCCGTTCAGGTTATTTAATGGGTCACGGGGAAAACCACCGCAGCGCCAGAGTGAGGAGGGAAAAGGGTTAAGGCAGGTTGCTGGAATGCAATGGGAATGAATGGGGATCGTTGATGGCATTGGGCGCGGTGGGGAATTGCTGGGATGGTCAGGTATCTGTAAGTCCCTGCTCCACCATCGGCTGCTTCAAATTTGGTGGGAATTCCTTGGATCCTCCAGCGAGGCGAGGGGGCGGGTGACTGAGAGTAACATTGATACCGTGCCTGATAACCAGCAAGGGATCTGGCGTTGAGCTATGCTCAAATGGGGTGAAAAGGAAGAAAGGCAAGGGGAAGGCGGGTGGAGATGGAGTGGCGCTAAGTTACTCTAGAAGCACGCTAGAAGCCTTCAAAGGGCCGGGAGGTAGCAGCGAGCCAATCAGGGCCTGAGGGCGTTATCATACCGGAGCAGGAGGGACCCGTTTACAGTCTAGCACGGACCTGCTTATCCTTCCATCAAGTTTCGATGAGTAACCTGCGGCGCCAAAATGGAACCTTTGCAAGGCCTGGAGCTGGGGTGGCATCCAATCAGACTCATCCCACGGCAATAAGAAAGGATGGAAAAAACCCCGAGACTGGCGAAGGGCGAGGCTATACAGACCTGACGTGACTGAAGAGGAACTAAAAATCTGATAACGCGATAATGGAACGCGGTCATGAGATCCATTCCATCGCAGTGGGCGACTGAGTTGTTTCTTCCGAAAATTACCGAATCTGCAAATCCCGACTCTTTTTGGCCTTTGGTGTAATTGCAATCCAATCCTAGTTGCGGTTGGCTAGGTCTTGCCACCTGATACTTTAAGCTCTCCTTATGCCCTTGACTTCACCCAGCCTTCCAGCCTTCGTCAAAAGATTTGCTCAAGCCTTCTTTCTCTCGCCAGCTTTTGTTCTAGCGCTGGCAGAGTCGTGTTAGCGAGACCGTATCCTTGGCATTATCCACTTGTGACCGCATCTGGCCGCCAAGAGTCGGCTGAGGGTGGGAAGAGCCTCTTTTTGCGACTCAGGCTGGTGGCCCGAAGCGGTGGTGTCGATATTTTCCCAATGTGCTTTCGGTCCTCGGCAGATCCACAACTAAGCACCGGATCCCCAACCCGGCCCTACCTGGGAGGATTCTCTCCATGGTAAGGCCGTCGGGTGGTAAGGGTCTGCTGTGGCGTTAAGATGACTTGATCTGAAAGCTAATTGATATTGGGATACGCGCGACGATCCAACCCTCTTGTCCCAACGATGGCCAGTACACTAGTTGCAGATAAAGAACCTTACTATGTGCGGGCGCAAAAAAACCGAGCTTGGCGATATGGGTGCTCAAAGCGGACTGTTGCTTGGCTAGATGGCTGATGCGAATAGCAGCATCAGCTGCAAACTTGCTCAAATCCCAGGATGATCGGCCGGCCTGCCACGTGTATCATGCATAGGAGGGTCATTGGGCGGCCAAACGGCGCTTTGAGAGAATCGATGAGTTCGTCATGGCGAAACGCACCCGTCAACACTTTGTTTCTCATCGTTGGCAACACACACACATCGCCAGTGGTTTCGCAGGTCGGACCCATCTCCAGCCAATCGCAGGGTACTTTCGGTTGCCAAGCGCCTGAGGACTAGCAATTTTGGTAGGTTGCTAAATAGTGTGCAATGTGTACGCATGATAATAAAAGGCTGTACTATGCAGTAGATCCAGCCAGTCGATGTTCGTGGTTCGTGATGTTTACGCCGTCGTCGTCACCACTCACAACCCGGACTCCACTACATGCCCAGTTCAGAAATGTTCTAGAAAGCCGAAAGCTGCGTTTGTCTCTTTTCTACCGCCTTGCCTGATCTGGCTGGTGGCACGAACAGGGGACGGAGGCAGGGGGCCCCAAGTGCCAAACTTGGTTGTGTCACCTCTCGCTTTCGAAGCTGCCTTCTTTTGCTTCTTGTCACATTCTTGTTGGGGGCTTTCCGCGGCCTGGCCGGACGGCGCATCGCAGCCTTGAGTTTGACATGTGCATTCTAACCCATGGAATGGTGCAGGGGCTCTCTGATGATGATCATGGTCTGTTAGTAACTCCGAAAGTTGTACTATGTAGTAGAGTCCGCCAAGGTTCTTATCGTGTACGTAAGCTCGTCCCGGCCAACGGCTTCGGGCGGCGGGCTGGCCGAGAGCGAGAGGCGACGGGAGGAGCGTGCAAGGATCATGGAAAGAGTCTGGAATAATTCCTCTTCAGATTACAGATTACCGTGCACTACCCTTCAGCCTGTTGGTTGCCACCCAGCACCCAATTTGTTTGTACTGTACGATAGTGGGACCGGGTGGCTCCATCTACACTATACATCATTTCCTCTGTCATAGCGTCAGAGATTCTGCGGGAATACGCCAAAGTTACTGTGGTAGAGTGGCGATCCCACCTGCAACAAGCCATTTTCATCCATCCCCGTGGAAATTACCTTCAGGAGCCCGACTCCGGTCTGCCCAAAAAGTTGGTCCACGCTGTGGATAAGTACCCGCTTTGTTCTGGAAGGAGAGCATTGATCTTCTGTGTGGGCACAACCATCCGACCATGGCAGCATCCAGCCATCAACCATCAAACGGTCGTGAATTTTTTCTTCTTTCCTTCACGAGCGCGTGTCTTCTAGATATTGGCCCTCTAGAACACCATCAAGTCCAACAGAGAGTAGGCCTAGAGGTAGCTTCGTAGCCAATGGCTCGCCGCCAGTGGTGGGTTCTAAGAGTGGTTCTACGGCCGCCACCCCTGACCTCGCCAGCTGCCTGAATACCTATCTATGTACGGCCGTACACACAGGGAACGCTGCGAGGTGCTTATGCAGCCCGGGCTTTTGAGAAGCCCCCGTGGTAATTCCGCCCTTGGAAGAAACTAGCCGGTCTCGGGCCCCGGCGAGCCTCTCTTTTCCCCCGTTCCTTTTTTTATTTTGCCTTTTTACACATCGGCACATAATACCGGGACCCTAATGCTTGGCTAAGGGACACGTGGTTGTGGTTGTTACTTGCCTGCTTGCGAGTTCATCAACTCCCTGCTACGGAGACGTGGGGGGGAGTACGGCATCCCCAACCCCTCGGGGCTCAAGCGGTAGTGTTCCATGGCTCATCTACCGTGGTGTACGAGGGAAGCGGGTGTGCTTTTAGGCGAACCCCAGAACCAACCTTTGGAGCCACCTGCTGCCAATAGTATGCAAGAGAATCCCCATAAGGCGTTATACATATTCGTACACACAGGAGAGTTGAAAGGATGAGCAGGAAGCTAGCTGTTCTTGCTGCCCAAATGCTCCCCCCTCTCGATGCTCCTCATGCCTGTTGGTCCTAGAGCTTCTCCTCGTGACTACCAAGCTGCAGCACAAGCGAAATCCCTGCGTTCCATCTAGTTATTGGCCCTTGGGGAGCTTGGGAATGGCACAAGTTGTTATTGTTTGGAACCCATGCGGTCCTCAGTGCCGGCCGCCGTGTATTGTCTCCCTCCCCTCCGTTTGTCGAAATGGCCTTCCATTGGTTTGACATCCATAGCCTGCCTGTTGGGCTCTGGATGCGGAGCACGACAAACAGAGGCCCTCGCCTGACCAGTAGCCCAACTTCGAGAGCGTAGATATCGTGGGCCTCTCAGAGTGTGGAGCTCTGTATCGACGCTCAAACGATCCACATATGGCGGATGGCAGATTAGCGAATCCTTCCTACTCAACGCTCTTACAATGCTATTCCCCGCCATGTGGGAGACTGGCTACCCAGGCTCCAGCCCGTAGCCATGTGCTCGGTCTCCGAACCTATTCCGGAGGATCCTGGTGCCGAGGCGAAAACCGTGGACCGTCGCCAGCTTCGAATCAACTTGGGATTCGACAAATCTCTCAATTTGACGCCGAGGTTATCCATTCCATGGTAAGATAGCAGGTATCACTCTCCTGGACTTATACCTTATGGGGTATCCATCCCTTAACAGGCTTCTCCCATCTCTAGATAAACATGATACATCCAACTCACCCAGCGGTGCCGTAGCTAGGTACATACCTGAGCCCCGAACTGCAAGCCAAAACGCATACCTGGCTGGACACAACCACAACAACTACAGAGCCTCAACTCAGGTTATATCCTATACAAGGCAGCCGGCTGGACTTACTCCCAGAACCGCAATGCTCTCAAGCCGACCGCCGCCCAAGCGCACGCCGTTCCCGGCATCGTCAGGCGACCCCCGATATCCGAATCATAACCACCGCCGTCCCGAGATACGGGCAGCCCCTGATTCTTCCTCGCCTCTCGACGAACCACATCCGTCCCTCCCTCACATAGTCGCCGAGACAAGTCCGGGCAGGTCCCTTCCAGGATCGTTCCCGATAGTATGGTTGATTACAAGCAGGCCGCGTGTTGTATTGTACATGCGGGCGGGTTGAAGCCTGCCTCGTCACGCTCGACCATCATCCCCACCGCCATCTGGACCATAACCTGCTGAGCCTCCTCGGCCTAAGCGCGAATCCGGCCCTTCCCGCGGGAGATTCTTCGTTTTGGCTGCTGCAAATGTTGCGGATAAAGCCGGGTGCCTGGGCTCCGAAGTATGCAAACCACTCATGACTGACCCCCCAGACAGAAGCTTGCCTGGCGCTGCTGGGTAGTCTTTTACTTTGCCAGAGTCTGTACGCCACAAGGACGGGATGGGAAGTGATTTCCAAATACGCCGAAATGCACCTCGCCTTGCCTTTACAAACCAGACCCTGCGGAATACACCAGCGAAAGGGTATCGCCCGTCACGAACCACTGGCTCAACCTCACCACCCTCTGCAAGTCGACTGTCGATGCCGTCTTGGTGAAGGAATACGATGACGGCGAGAAAAGAAGAGCTGATGGCGATTGTGTTCCTTCACGACAAGGCCATGTACTCGAAACGCTCCCTAAGAACCCCAAGCCACGGAGCCGAGGCCGGCCTGATCGACAGCCCTGTCCCAGCTCCGACGGTACGAATTCACCGCCAGATACGGAGACTACATGAGCGCTGTGTGCAACAGGCTCAAGACGAAGTCGCGGGTCGAGAATACCCAGTGTTTCGAGCAACTACCTGGGGGTGGAATCGGTTCTGGACCGATATCAGCGCGGATATCAACAAGGAATGTGCGACCTGGGAGCATGTAACAGGCGCTCGGGGACCCTGGATGGCTTGCTAGTCGTTGCCGCCTGGTTGAGCACTGTCGGGGTAAGTTGACCTGTCCTCTCCGCCAAGCCTTCCACGCGGTTGAGGGTGAAGCCTGGGATGGCTGGCTGGACGACGTGGTAGTTGGTTAGGACCGGCTTTTTCTAGCCTGTCTTGCATCTGCGTCCGGATCTCCCAGGTACAGCCGTGGGTGACCCCGTCAAGGACTCTGAGCTGGGGATTTCAGACTTGCTAGGGTTTCCCCCCGACCACCTTCGGTCCATGGCTTCTTACCTTTCTGCATGAAGATAGAGCATGTTGCTCATATACATATATATATACGCAATGTCGTCCCTTGCCATGATTGTCACAAGTTATACCGGCGATCCGGCAGTCTGATCAGCGGCACGAAAGTCACGAGGCCCTTCTTCGAGTGCATTTCGATTCCCAGCTTCAAGGATGGCGAGTGCGGGAACTGTCTTTTTCCTGGTGCCAGATGGGGAATCCAGAATAAGTCAGCTTGGACAGGTTCTCAACACCGCAATGTCAAAACCACGGTAGTTAGATGCGAGGGGATGGGGGCAGCGACAAGATCAGAACGGAGACGCGACCCAGCGAGTCCTGTTGTAGTGTTGCTCCCAGTGCTTTGAAATATATTCCGACAGGGTATCATGACAAGATGCTTATCGACGTCCCAGAGCAAGACCGAACCGTTCGGTCATTGGACGTGATCCATCCAAATTGGATCATCGACAGTACTCCAACACTCCTCTTTCCAGCCAGAGGGGCCAGCTCCAAATGCTGGGACCAAAAAAAATGAAGTCGAAACCAGCCAAGACAAAAACAACAAACAAGCCCAACGCCGGGTATCCATCCCGCCTGTTCTGCAGAACTAGGCCCCTTCTTTTTGATAAACTCCAACAGGTGCAACGCGCTCTATGCATATGCCCAAACTCCCCGTATCGTACAATAATACTCTCACACCATTATTCGCGCGAGAATGGGTGCGCTCGCTCATTCTCGGATTACGCCCAACCTGGGCACCAACTCTGACACGTCCCAAGAAACCAAAACCAAAACCAACACAACCACCGCTCGCGCGGCCTCCCCCAACGAGTCCCACTGTTGAATGGGGTAGGGAGAACTGAAGGTGTGCGGGCACCCTCAGATCCCCTCAAGGTCGAAATCGCCCTTGAACCCGCCATTCAACAGCACAGCGGCCAGACGATGCCTCTGCAACGTCAGCTGCTGTGCCGTGTAGGACTCGTTGGGGTCGAGCCCCAGCGCCAGGCACAGGCCGTTCGTGATGGTGAAGACCCCGCAGTCCCAACCATTCCTCTGCAACGGCCCGTCGAGGTCCACCACCTCCCACTCCCCCTCGACGAACTGGTCGTCGAGGGTCACCTTGACCCACTCGAGAATCCTCCGGGTCACATCAGGATTGCCGTGGCCCCCGCGCAGCGAATCCATATGCAACACCCTCCGTCTGCTCGGGAGGACGACCGCCAGCGTCCAGTGGTTGCCCGAGCAGATCGGAATGAGGATCGAGTCGATGTTGAGGAAGTTATCCTTCCTCACACCAGCTCGGCGCATGAGCCGGCCACACTGTGCCGGCCCTGCGCTCTCGAGACGAGGCCAAAAGTAGGAGGTGAAGGTGGCGCACCTCGGGTCCTGCGCAGTCGCGCCGGCCTTGCCATTGACGTATTCTCCGACGTAGAGAATCGACCCGGTGATGACATTGTCATTCAGCCAGGCTGTCGCTGGCAGGAGCTTCTCCTCAAAGTCCCGCCTTGTGAGGATCTGCCCCTCCAATGTCTTGGCTAGCTCGACATTGGGGCCGGCCGACGCGATCCCCATCACCTTGGTCTGCCACTCCTCGGTGATGGGTCCGATCATTGGTCGTGAGGGAGCGCGCAGTCTCATGCGTGTGGCACGCTCCTCAGCCTCCCGGATACGCTGGGCCTCCTGCTCTGCGCGGAGCTCTTCCTCCCGCTGCCGCCGCTCCTCCTCTTCGCGCCGGAGTCTCTCCTCCTCCTCCTTGCGCTTCTCCTCTTCGAGGCGGAGCCTTTTCTCCTCCGCGAGGAGCTCCACCATCTTCTGACGCTCCCTCTCGGCCGCCGCTTCCACTTCTTGCCGGACTTGACGGGACAGCTCCAGATCCTCCAGCCGCCTGGTCGCGATTATGAGCTCTGCCTCCGGGACGAGGAGCTCGCGCCGCACAACCTCCCCGTCGGGATTGAGCTCCAGGTCGCGGACCAAGAGATCCATCTGGCGCCGTCTCTCCTCGGGCGTCATGGCCTCGCGAGCTTTGCGCCTCGCCTCTTCGTCCTTCTTGTAAACATCCCACGGTTTCGGTGGTGGGGGGGGAGCTTTGAAGCCCGGCTGGCTGTACAGCTCGCGTCGAGCCTCTTGTAGGAATTCGCCATATTTTGTCCCATGGTAGGCGCCTTCGAGCATTGACGGGTACAATGACATCAAGTACTCCCTACCCAGGTCCGTCGTCTTGTAGGGTAGCCTGAAGCGGGCTTTCCCAATCGCTCTTTGCTTGGGCGAATTTCTGGGAGGCGTGAAGAATGCCTCGGGGTTCTTGAACTGAAGCCTTCTGGCTCTTGAACTTGGTGACCCGTCACCAGGTCCTGGCGAAACGGGGTTTTCTGGCCACTTCTTCGGTTCCTTCTTCAGAATGCCCTTTGGTTGCGAAGGCGTCTTCGGTTCTTCGGGTTTGGCCGAAGACGACGAGGAGGAGGTAGGGGGCCGAGAATCGGGGTGCTTGCATTCATAGACGGGTTCTATGATGAAGTCCTCTGTTGGGATCACTTCGAGGATGCTGTCCTCCAGCGGAAAGCTCCCGGGCATGAGGTCCGCGTTATATCCTGGAAACTGGACCAGGCTAGGCGGGACCTCCTGCTTGTGGACGGCATCCATGTCGACAATTATCTTGGCGATTGCTACTTGATGGTCACCGCTGATGTTGAACAAGGCTTTCTGGGTGAGAAGCCAGGTCAAGAAGTCTCCGGCCTGACGCGTCTGCATCTTGAACTCGAAGTTGCCAAAATAATCCAGCCGCTTTGGCGGCTTGGCGAAGTCGTTCTTCAGGATGGGAAGGACCTCGGGGCGGAGGTACACCGTGTTGATGAATTCCACGGCAAGTCCAGCCCCTTGTCTGTGCATCGATGCGGCTTCCTTGAAGTTTTCCTTGGTAACCTCGTCGAAATGCTTGGTCATGAGGTTAAAAATGCCAATGCTGAGGTCGACGTCGATTCCATCCTCGTCATTCTTGTGCCGGGCTCTGAGGGCGTCGACCGATGTGTCAAATGCGATGGCTCTGGCCGAAATCGTGACGACGTGACGCCACAGTGCATCCTTAATGCTCCTGATGGCGGTCTCTCCGATGTTCGCGGTAGCATCACTTGCCCACTCAAAGTATGGAAGCTGCTCAAACTGTGCTTCTTCTTTGGGGGCCGAGTCCGGGCCCAGAGGGAGACAGTACTGGCGCTTGAACCGCTTGACGACGAGGTTGCGGCCGGCTTCATCGTATTTGCGGGTCTCGATAGCCTCTGAGGGCACTGCCGTGACTAAGGATTGGTCAGGTAAGATGGCACTCTCTCTTGCAGGGCAAGTACTTACGACGAGCATGGAGTTGGCTGAGCCAACCCTTCACCGAAGCACTCATATTCTTGATGCCCCCAGTAATGGAGCCCCACATTGATCGAATAGACTAGAGTGACACAGCAATTAGAGACATGGATGCTTCAAGGGTGTGCAGGCCGAGAGACATACCTCCTGGCGTTTCGACCCTGGGCCGTTTTGTTCGTCGATAGCTCGCACAGTAGTAATACCGGCCTGGGTATCCTTCCCGCTGTTCTGGGCCTCGAGGTCAAGCTCTGTGTCCTCGGCCTTGCGCTTTCGAAGGAGGGGGCGGTCCGTGTAGCTAAGGTACTGGCTCTGGCATTGGCAGTGCCAGAGGTTGTCGTCCTTTCGCATGAAGACCCGAATGTTGTCGTGATGGGTACCAACTCGGTAGAAACGGAACACACCGGTTCCAGCTTCGGCTTCTTCCTTTGTACTGTGAATGGTAGGAAGGGGGCAGACACAACTTCTGGTGAACAGTTCGGCTTTGATGGCGGTGTAAAGTTCGTAGCCAAACTTGTGTCCTTCTTCCCGGCGGCGTCCAGCAAAGAGAGAAGTCTCATGCACCGACGAGTCTTCCTCGTCGGCCTCCTCAAGGGCCTGTGTAGAGGGTGCCTCCTCGGGATCCTGTGCTGTTGGCTCCTCTGCAGTGTTGGCGAACTCGGTCTCGCCGTTGGTCTCCTCGTGACCCTGTGCCGATGGCTCCTCTGTAGTGTTGGCTACTTCGGTATGTTGGTCGGCTTCCTCAGGGCCCTGTGTCGATGGTGCCTCTAGAGGGCTGGCTAGTTCGGTAGGGGCGTCGGCTACCGGGGCGACAGAAGGCAAAGCCCGGGGGCTGGCTGCCTGAGGCTCCTCTTCGCTGATAGGGGCAAGGGTGGGGAGAGCTGTGGCTCGAGAGGTAAAGGGAGGGTTGGTCGTAGTTGGCTCGGATGCCGAGGTGTCGAGGTTAGAGGTAGAAGAGGTACTGCCGGTGTCGATATTAGCGGCATTGGGGGTGGTGGAGCTGGCTCGTCGAGATCGAAGCTTTCGAGTCCTTCTCGAAGGGGCGGAGGAATCGACCGAGGTGGCGGGTGTGACAGATTCGACGGAGGATTCGCGGTCAGTGTTGCTGTGGCGTAAGCCGCGGCTGTTACGCGTCGTACGGGGGCGGGAGGTAGATCGTGAGGGGACTTGATCCGGCATGATGGTCAGTGTCGGCTGTGACAATTATTTCCTGAATGATAATGACTTCCTTCTCCAAAGGAAATGGTGACAGGTGAATTGAAAACAAGCCAAAAATGACGGAGCGTCAGACGAAGCAGGTGTTAAGTTAGGTAAGGAAGGAGGATGGTGAGAGTGGGGTGACGATGTGAAGGTAAGGTAAGGTAAGTTCTATCGCAGTGCGATTGATCGCGCTTGGCAGCTGTTGCTGGCAATTGAGCCTTGTGTAGACGAAGCAATATGGTGCTTTCCACAGCAAGGTACTCGATGGGTGCGATATACGCTACTCCAGGCCAACAGTGTGTCAATGGCGCGCACTGAATGGAACGCGAGAGACGGATACAGGTCTGCTCTCGACGCGTGACTCGGAGCGAGGAGATGGATATTTGAGAAGGGAAGAAAAGGTGCGAGCTTGAAGGTGCTTTACTTGATGATGATAAAATCGAGGATGCGGATGAATATCGAAGGATAGTGTATCACGAATATCAAATCTGTTGATGGATTGCGAGAAACCGAAGATGCGATCGATCGTGATTGTGGTGTTTTGGGAAGGGAAATCGGAGGTTGCTTCTTCGTCGCGCTATAGGGTTAAAAAGTTTTGAACAGGTCCGGTTGTCGAGGGCAACGGAAAGTACCAAAGTACTTTCTTCAAGTGAATGCGTGCCTTGAGGTACCCCACTAACCTGGCAAGTTGCCAGCACCTTGAGGCTCTTCAAGATACCCGTTATTGCAGGCACGAGGTTGCGAGAGCTTAAAAGCTAGGATGAAGCTCAGACCAGGTCAGATCGATCGGCGCGGGAACTTTGCGCCGCTTAAATGATTGTCCGATCATCCAAGCAGGGATCCCCGCCATTGATCCCAGTACAGTACGATATTGGATGCAAATCCATTCTCTGTTCTGGCCCATAACATTACAAAACTCCCGACGTCATTCTGCCCACGGGAAGCTTGTGGAAGCAGACTTGCGACAATCTATTCGCTATTCGCCCGTATTTTGGAATGTGTTGTTGGTATATACTACGCAGTTGGTAAGGTGGGAATGCTCGGAGACGATTGCAGCTCTGACCGAGAATCCTTTGTCCCTTTTTGTTCCCTAATATGGAATGATTGCTTTCGTCCTACTGCTGCTCTCTCTTACGAAGCAAACGCCACCGCAATACCAATCAAGGCCCATAAGCCCAGGTCTGGGGAGAAATAATCGAGTTTCCCAACAATGGTGTTACAAAGAGACTAGCCTGCAGCTCGCAACCTATCAGGCATGTCTTTAAGTTAGGTATGTCATGCATGGGGGGGCTCCTTATGCCGCCAATAGGATTCGACTACACCTGCTCTACGTTGTTCCTATATACGCAGTAACCTGGCTGCGTCCGCGAAACATGGGATTTGCAATGGAGTGGGCAAGTGGGCACAGGCTATACTAACGAGCATTTCTGCTGGATGATGCGGGTATATTGACTATGAAATATGGATACACGCAAAGCTTCGCTTGGAAGAACGGCGAGGTTGACCATTGCAGGCCGAGTCGTGCGAAGCAGGTCCGCTACAATTGTGCCATTGTCTCCCCCAGCTTCTTGGTGCAGAATGAGCTGAAATACTGGTTGAGCGCGTCCACGGTGTCACTGCCCTCCACCAGGCTGGCCACCATGCCGACATAGCCATCGGGGCGGACTACTACCACACCGCCCTTCTCCTGGTCGAGCCCCATCTTCGCGTGAGCGGCCGCTGCGGCATCGGGTACTCGGCGATCCCACCGGTCGTCGGCGTAGACGTGTTCCCGATACCGTGCCAACAGGTCAGGCACGTCCCTGCTGATCTCGATGCTGGTGCGAGGGGCCGCAAAGACGGTGCAGAAGGTGTACAACCAGCTGTGGGGGTTGTGTCTCTCGTGGTACGATACCTGGTCGATGTCCGGCCGGAGGTAGGTGGAGAAGAACGAACCCTTCCTGTTCATGTAGGTTGTGAGATCCTTGAGTGCCTGGCGCGTCACAGAAGGTTTTCCGGCGAAGACGAAGATACGGAAGGAGCCGTTCAGAGGCACCTCTTGCTCAAGGTGGACCACGTTTGCGTCGGCGACGCGGGTCACGTCGGAATTGATGAACAGCCGACCCGTCCGTAATTTCGTTCCCTTCGGGTGGAGGACATGCGACTGCGCGGGATGATCCTCAGACCAGTTGAAAGAGTTCGGGCCGTAGGCCACGCCGTACCCGCTGGTGAATTCACATGAGGCCTTGAACGTCTTGATGAATTCGTTATCCTCCGCCTCCTCGGAAACGTTTTCCGATGCAGCTTGGACTTCAGTTGCTGCTGGCGGCCGTTGAGAGAATAGTTTGGCATATTTGTTGTCGAACGCGAGTAGCGACTCTGCAACCTCCTTTCGCTCCGGCTCATATGTTTTTAGTACGCTCCGGTCAGCAAAGCCACGCTCGACAAGGTGGATCTTCCATGCCAGGTTCTGAGCATCCAGGAAGGCAGTGTTCATGCCCTGTCCGGCTTTCGGCTTCGGAAAATGTTAGCAGGGAAGGAGGCTTGTTCCGAGATGGAAGCAACATACACTGTGGGTGTGGCACGCGTCACCTCCGAGGAATACTCGATGGTCCAACGTATATCGGTCCGAAATTCCCTGTCCAATGGGATACACCGAGTACCATTCTACTCTGTCCCACTCGATCGAGTAGGGTTGCAGAATCTTCTTGGCAGACGCTTGAACATCCTCCTCGGTGGCTGTCTTCCGGGGGCTCCAGTCCGGGTCTGTTGAAGACGCAATCTGAATGTAGAGTCTGACCATGTTGTTTTCGCGAGGTATCACCATGATGGATCCATGCTCCGAGTGAATTGTACATTTCATCTTAGTTGTGTCAGCCATCAAGTACTGCAGGATGGAGGGATGCCGGGGAAGCGTACCTTGATATCTGGGAAATCGGTCTGGACCACGCCATCCATGACGCCCCAAACAAAGGCAATGGGATCCTTGTGCTTGATTCCAATCTTGAGCTGGTCCCTGATAAATGACCGGGCACCCTCGCCGCCAAAGAGATACTTGGCTCGAACGGTTTCCTTGTTGGTGCCGTCGACATGCTCCAGGTCCACCGTTACTGGATACTCTGGGTTCTCCTTCTCGTCCGAGCTGAACCCGGTAATCGTCCACGGTCGCTGGATCTGGACGCCACTCTTCTCCAAGTCGGCGATGAACACCCTCTCGATCATACCTTGATGCAGGAGAGTGGTGAATGGATATCTTGCGTCGATGAAACTCGGGCAGCTGGCCCAGGTGCCAGTCCTTTCGATACCCTTTCCGCTCTTTGGTGGATCCCAAAACGCAACCTCGTAGACTCGGGCGGGCTTGTTCGCCATGATAGCGGGCTTGAGCCCCATGTTCCGAAGCAAGTCTAGCGAGCGTGGCTGGATACCATCCGCCCGACCCGTCGGGGTCGGCTGAGCGCGGTTGTCGATGTGCTTGATCTTGTAGCCCCATCTTGCGAGGCAAGTGGACAACATGAGGCCGGCTGGCCCGGCACCAACAATCACTATTTCTCGCGTTAGGCAAACACTCTGCGCGTTGGTGTTGAAAGCAGGGATGAAGTTACCAATATCATAGTACTTGGAGCCCGATGTTCGATCAGGTTGGACCTCCATTGTGAAGGTTTATCGTGACTGCTTATTTATAACTGGTACAACACTCGCAGTGAAATACTCAGATGGTAATCGAAGAAGAATAAGACTACTTTAATAGGTCCTCAATATTTTTTGGACGATCTGCAGGCCAACTAGGGGGAGAAATGCTAATAGATGGGATGGGACGGATGACGAGGTTTGGTCTGGAGATATATGGATGTTAAGTACCCAGAGCCTTGGTTCGGAAAACCGAGGGGAAGGGAGAATACAGGGCCAATATCTACTCGAAGGATCCACCGGGATAGGCTACGGGCACGAAAGTCGGGATTGAGACATGAGGGACCACGATGTGGCAAGACCAACCAGGTTGCCGGTGGGATTCCCATGATGCGGAAGGGATGTGGGGACGGGAAGGGATATGGCAACTGTAGCGCAGCTGTTTCCGCAATCCCACTGTCCTCGGCCCCAGGACGCCTTGGAGAGATAGGCCATCCGGCAGCCGGGAGGTCAACGCGGCAAAGAGGGGTGGAACCCTGGCGTCACACCGGCAGCAGTTGTCGGGAATGGGAGAAGGGAATTACCCTTTTACGCACTGAAGTGTGGATTTCTAAGTAACTTTATAGTGGGGCCGGACACACTAACCCCACACTCGGCGCCTGATCACGGGATGGAAGGGAAAATGAGTAAGCATTCTCGGACTCATCTAACCATCCGGACTCCTGGTTGCGCGCGCGACGAGACCCGACATGATGCTCCTGCCCAAGGCTTGCAATCTTGCTCACCTTTTTCAGGTCTTGAAATCCCCCCCAAAAAATCATCTTGCCAAACTGTCATAGGCCCATCCGCCTCTAGCGATTACCGGTTGCCACTTTGACGTTGAGAGGTATCAGCTCTTTGAGACTGTTTCCTTTCCGTTTCCCCTTTTCCTCCTGTCCCCCGTTTCCCGCCAGCATATCGAGCCACTCATCCTTATGCTGTCATACATGACTACGTGATTCTCAGGAACAAGTTGGAGCATTGGTCCCTAGCTTCGTTGGTATTCAAGCAAGGGTCTTGAATGGAAAGAAATCCCTACTTGTCGATTTTGACTGTTTATTGCCTTTCCTGTGAAAGAAGAAGCTTCAAACACAGCAGTTTCCCTCAATCACACAGAGGGGATGGATTATATGGAGGGATACAAGTGAGTGGCCTCGTCCAGGTTCAGATGCGTATAAAGGACACCCAGAGAGCTCGCGAACATAGAACTTTTCAGGGGCCAGGGAATTAGGCCGAGTAAGCGATGACATGATCGGAAAGAGGGCTTCTCCGTGACTAGATACGAAACAACAGGCAAGAGGGACATTGTGTGGCCTGCGCAGTTTGACCTAGCTAGAGCAAGTCACACTCGATCTCTCAACCCCTTTTCAACCGAACTTGAATAAGCCATCATTGCTGAGACGGATTGAACCTTCTCCTCTGTCATCAGTCTGGGCAAGTCCCCCGTGTGTTGGAAGTCGCGGCTTTTATAGCAGCAGGCTGTGATCAGGCCTTGTTTACTTTGGCAACGGGCACCGCTGGATACCAATCCCTTTACCAAAATCCACTCACTTCAAAATCACCTTGCCCCAGAGAGTTTGCTCTAATCCACAGAGCTACCGCCTTTTGTCCGGGAGCCATCTGGTCCTTTGAGGCAAGCAACGTCTTCCACCGAACTAGAGACACGACCAAAAAAAGGAAAAACATCCAAGTGGTTTCGAGTTTCTGGGGCAGCCGGTGCACCTCCTAAATACGCTTCGGGAGACTTGGCCGGCAATATCCTTCGAGGCTTGGTTCGTCCCGGACGCGCTTGGTATACAACACGTAACCCAGCGCGGCAAGGACGCGGCATCTTTACGGATCACCTTGCAGAGATCTCTGCGAACACCCCTCCAGTCACGCCCTGTTCCACTTCTCTTCGAGCAGCTGTTATCTCTGGCACGACGGTTCAAATCTCAAAAAAATTTCATGCTAGAAGCACCAAAAGCCCGCCCGGGCAACGTTTACGGAACGGGACAAGATAGAAGCCCCGAGGCTTTCATTGGCACGCCGAGTCCCATGCGAGGGAACTTCATATCGGTTTCCAGTCCTGCGAGATCTCGGTCCTCTTCACCAAAACGTTGCCAGCAAGAGGAAGACGGTGTTTACATTCATCTGAGTTTGACAGATTCCCAAGTGGACACCCTCGCTACAGCGTCAGTTGACCATATCTTCCTGCATGCGGATGATCCACGTACTGACACCAGACAGGCTCTCTACACAGGTTACCCCTGAGCACAGACAACGAAACGTTCCAGAAGCGATGGACGTCGCCGACTCTATGCAGCGCCATGTCAACGACACCAAGTTCGCTTCAACGTCGCGATCGCGGTCGCGGTCGCCAGTGAAATTCGATGCCTCGTTCCATTCAACCTCCCGGGGTAGATCCAAGTCACGCGCCAAGTACAACGGCCGTGGCAGGGCTCGAAAGTTCGAATTTGAGTCAAGTTTGGCCTCTACGGCCGAATTCAGTTCATTGTCTCCGACCAAGAAAACCGATCGTCAAGCATCGCCTTGCAAGCCCGTCCGGCATAACAGCTCCCCATCACTCGCCGAGCGCAGGAATAGGTCTCGTCCCCCGCCGATAGATACGTGGCTGGCTCAGCGACACGCGAATCCGAAGTCGCACACGAACGGGCATCGCCCAATTATAGTCCAAGTGCCCCCTCGCCCCTCACAACCTGAGCAAGCCCAGCCCAGCACACCTCCAACACGGAGGATTATGGAGGATGATAGCGCTGATTATGAGTCGTCTTCGTTCTATTCGTACGAGGGAGGAAAGGCCTCTTCCCTCCTCTACATCAGCCCACTCCACGTGCGCAAGGCGTTGGAATCGCCACAGCATCCTCACGTCCTACGGGACTACAGCAACTGGAAGAACGCTGCAACCCCTAGAGTCTTGCCAGATGCATCTCCCAATGGGCCCCTGAGTGCTCACCCACCAGAGCAGGCTGATGCGTTGCCGCCACAGATACAACGGGGCTTGATGCACGCCCAACCCACCTACTCGCCCTTGACCCCTTTCTTCTCGACGAAAGACATGCCTGCCTCCAAGACGGCCAAGAAGATCATGATTGGGGATAACGGTTGGCTTGAACGTACGACAACTTCGCCCGAGAAGAAACCTTCGCCAGCCAAGAAAGGTGGATTCCTCGATAATCTGAAGAAGAAGGCCAAAGAAATGGTACGTCTTCCCAAAACCCACAACCCATCCCCCAGGGTTCCATCAGGCGAGACGCTAACTGTCTTTCCAGGTCGACATGGGCGATCTGAAAGCTGCTCGCCGCACTCGAGATTCCGAGAAAGAGCGAGATACTTCGCGAAACCGCCTCGCAGTCTCGGTCGACCCCCGGGAGCAGAGCCTATTGTATTGCGAGCTGGAGTTTGCCTTGACCAACGCCCTCAACAACTACATAACCTGCCAATTCAACGCGGGGCTCCTCGAAGCCGACAAGCTGAAGAAGATTGCAGACGGCTGGCAGCAAAAGGGCCGGCCCAAGGTCGTAGGCTTCCGCTACGACCTCGAGACGCAGCTCGAGCTGGTGCGCCTGCACGCGGCCCAGTTCCGGTTCTACAGCCGCTCCATCACGATCGCGGCGCTGAACGGGAACCTCGAGATGATGAAGGTGAACGCCAGGGCGATCCGGATCCGCACCTTCTGCCAGCCCGACACCGTCATCGCCAAGCAACTCCTCGATGCGCAGGGCCTCTTCAACATCCTAGGGTGCTCGGAGCGGGAGCAGATCCAGCTGGCCGAGATCGTCCAGTTCTTCAAGACCGTGCTGGAGCGGGAGCGCTTCTTCCAGGCGAAGCGCGCGGATCGCGATTCCGCCGTCTCGGGACGCGGCCAGGGTCAGCGGCAGTCTGACCACGACGAACTTTACGGGCAGCAGCGCGAGTCGCATCGTGGAGGCGGACAGCAGGCCTCGTTCGACGATGACCTCGAGGACGAGTAGTTCAACTAACCACAGTCACACCATGCTCACCCCGGTCAGGGTATCATCCCCTGCCGAGTAATAGCATCAGCACGTGTGCTTCTAGGTTGCTGGGCCTGAGGTGTTGGCGCCTTTGAACATTATTTCATGGCGTGGCGGCAACTAATCACAGCTTTAACCTTGAAGGCGCCTTCTAGGCAAGTCAACACAGGAGCTTGGGCTCGAACCTCACGGGTGGTAAGCCTCCCATCCATGCGGAAGCTCAATTTGGAATTGATTTTTCTCATATCATCACCAAAAAAAGAACAAAAGAGAGAGAGACAAAGGGGAGGAAGCAACGGGGATGTAATGCGAGCCTCAGAAGACGTTTCTGGGCTAAACGATTTGCAATATTGTCATTTGTACGCTTATTCTGATCCGTACGATCAGGAGGCAGGCGTACGAGGAGAACAGAAACTGTTTTAGTAGTTTCATGTAGAAATGTAGAACAACACTCGATACCTGGGCCATTCCGTCGTGATATCCCGTTGACGTGTGGCATCCGTGGGCTCCTTACGACCTCACCAAACCCTATCATCTTTCCCACCTTGCGGCCGGCTTGCCTATGAGTCTGGACGGCTTCCTGGACCAGGAGAAGTCCCAAGTCCAGCCCCTGTCATTATCGCAATAGAGACTCTCACTCCTATCCCTGATCGGACTCTCGTCTCTGGAGCTGCATCAAGTATATCAGCCAGGGGGCTGGAGCCGCTCCAAAGACTGCTAGCGCAAAAAGCGCACCAAGAGGTGGAGGAGGAGGAGTGTAACGCAAAGGCCAAGCTGATTCCTGCGAGGCGGCCGCCCGAAAGAACAGGTTTGGACCCATCACTTCCCGCCCCATATCCAGCCTGCCGGAGGAGAGACAAAAGCGCTGGGGCAAGTTCCTAGAAATCGTGGATCATCCGGGTGCGGTCAAATAAAGAGATTCTGCCCTGCCAAAACTATCGTATAGCGCTTGAACTCAATTCCACTGGAAGCTCCGTCGCGTAGCTAGCACCTAGTTCGCATACATAGGTATGTGGAAGACATTCTCAATTCACAGTGCCTCTGGTTGTGATTGGCTTGAACCCCCCTCTACAGCACCTCATGCAGGCAAGTGGAGCCGGACCAAGCTTTCTTGCCCAGCTTGCCAAGTTCGCTACCACTGAAGCTGCTTCAACTCAATCCGCATGCAACGATGTGTCAGAAATTGCTCGATTCGAGACTCATGCTGAGAGCTGAGGGAATTCCTCAGGTTGGCTGCCTCCCGAACTCCAGTTGTTAGCTTATTATGCGTCATATGGACCTCAGGTTGTATGTAGGTGCCCGCCTACCTTAGGTACTCCCTGCCAGGGTGCCCAATGGGTTCCCTCCGTCACTCTCTAGCTACCTTACCACAACCCCTCCAACGTGTGAACCTACCCCACCAAGCATACTCATAATGTGTCGTCAGCTCACCAATCAACCACCAACCACCAACCACACAACCTTATTCACTGGCACCAGGGACCTTGGTGGCTAAGAGGGGCAGTGAGGGGCAGAAAGGTACAGGGACATATAGAGCTCCCCACATATATAGAGCCCTTGCCGCGCACTCTCCTGTGTCCCTCCCGCCTGCTCTCTCTCTCTCAACTTCTACGCTCGTCCTCTTGAACCTCTGTGACATCCATTTCAGCCTCTCGTAACCATCTTACCATAAAAACCATCAGAATGGTGCACCTTAGCACCATCCCGCAACCGGACGAGGTGGACGACAAGCTCGTTGCGGCTGTCAAGAAGGCACATCTTCAGCTCCTCGACGATGACGACGTCTTCACTACGAGCGTCTACGGCTCCAGATTCGCCGCCGCGGACCTTCCCAGGCTTGAGATGCCCGAGAGGGAGATGCCCAAGGAGGTCGCCTATCGTATGATCAAGGACGAGCTCAGCTTGGACGGCAACCCAATGTTGAAGTAGGTCTCCTACGTCATATCGTCATGGTCCGTTGGTTCCTGAGACTAACGATGCGGGTCTACCCGTCAAACGCATTATAGCTTGGCCTCTTTCGTCACCACCTACATGGCAAGCCCCGTCCCTCGCCCCAAAGGCCACATTGTGGTTATTCCGGCATCGCGACACGCTGACATCATGCCTGCAGGAGGAAGAAGCCGAGAAGCTCATGGCCGAGTCCTTTTCCAAGAACTTCATCGACTACGAGGAATATCCCCAGTCGGCCGACATCCAGAACCGCTGCGTGTCCATGATCGGCCGCCTCTTCCACGCCCCCGTCGACGATGACACCACTGTTGGCGCCATCGGCACCTCGTGTGTCGGCAGCTCCGAGGCCATCATGCTGGCCGTGCTGGCCATGAAGAAGCGGTGGAAGAACAGGAGGCAGGCGGCCGGCAAGTCGACCGAGAACCCAAATATCATCATGTCCTCCGCCGTCCAGGTCTGCTGGGAGAAGGCAGCTCGCTACTTCGAGGTCGACGAGAAGCTGGTCTACTGCACCGAGGAGAGGTACGTCATCGATCCCGAGGAGACGGTGAACCTGATCGACGAAAACACGATCGGCATCTGTGTCATCCTGGGCACCACCTACACCGGCGAGTACGAGGATGTCAAGGCTGTGAACGACCTGCTCGTGGAGAGGGGCCTGGATACCCCGATTCATGTCGATGCCGCCAGCGGCGGGTTTGTCGCTCCTTTCGTGGTCCCCGACCTGGAATGGGATTTCCGCTTGGAGAAGGTTGTCTCGATCAACGTCTCGGGACATAAGGTGAGCAACAGCCCCGACCCCGGCCCCGGCCACGGCCACCCCATTGTTCTTTGCGAGCAAGGAGGGGGTCTCATGAGCTGACCCGGCTAACCCACCCCTTTTTTCCCAGTACGGTCTTGTCTACCCTGGTGTCGGTTGGGTCGTCTGGCGTTCTGCCGAGTTCCTCCCCAAGGAACTCGTCTTCAACATCAACTACCTGGGGGCCGACCAGTCCTCGTTCACGCTGAACTTCAGCAAAGGCGCCAGCCAAGTCATCGGCCAGTACTACCAGCTCATCCGCCTGGGCAAGCACGGCTACCGCGCCATCATGAGCAACCTGACCCGCACGGCCGACTACCTCTCGGACTCGCTCGAGGCGCTCGGCTTCGTCATCATGTCCAAGAAGTCGGGCGAGGGGCTCCCGCTGGTGGCGTTCCGGCTTCCCGATGTCGAGGACGGGGATGAGGACGAGGGCCGGAACTATGACGAGTTCGCGCTGGCGCACCAGCTGCGCGTGCGCGGCTGGGTTGTGCCAGCCTATACGATGGCGCCGCACACGGAGAGGCTCAAGATGCTGCGCGTCGTCGTGCGCGAGGACTTCACCCGCAACCGTTGCGACGCCCTCATCTGCGACATTAAGCTCAGCCAGGGCGTCCTCGAGCAGATGGACCGCAAGACCATCGAGCAGCAGGAGAAGTTCATACGAGAGCACCACATTGCCAGCGGCAAGTCCGCTCACAACCATCCAAAGTACCAGGTAAGGAAGCCCACACACGCACACCTCGCACCCACAACCCCCTGTGGGAATCTCTCCACTTCCTCCACCCCCGGGAAGGCGGGAGCAATGGGGATAGATACGCCTTCTATTTCACTTGAAAAGAAAATGTTTCCCACTAACTGCGATATAGAACGAGACACACTCACTCCAAGGCAAGACGGGGAAGACACACGCCATCTGCTGAGGGAGAAGGGACTTGCTAGGGGAGGGTGTTCACACGGAGGCTTGTCTGGGACGAGAAGTGTGCATGTTTGGTCGTCAACTCATAGCACGGTATTGCTGGAAACAGACTCAGTGCCACTTATTCATGATGGGTTGTGAGTCCCAACTGATGACGTCTTTCCTCCTCTCTTTTCCTATGACATAGGAAGAAGAAAAAATTACACTCTATCGTGGCTCACGGCGTTCCAATATCATCAACCGGTCGTCGGTTTGTTGCCGAGCATCTATCCGACCTCCGTCTACCGTTTTATTCGCGGGCATACACAGTACGTATAGGTGTCCATAAGCCGAGAACGGGCGGCCACGCGAGGACTGGTGCCCGTCATCTCATCTCGGGTAGATTCCGTGCTTGGCTCGGGGACGAGCATGCGAGGCGACGGCGAAGGATACATACATAGATACATCTTGGTATGCATGGAGGGGCGCCGTCTCCGTTGTATTGCAGTGTAACGGGGCTTTGTGCTCGGGTCTCTCGCCTTGGGGGCCGACAAACCCCTGTTCTGCTTATGGATTCTTGCACGGGGCTGGGATCTTATGAACTCCTCACTTACTTGGGTTGCCGGCGTGGAGTTGGCGTTGCGATCTTGAGGGTCTGTCTCTGAGCCTCTGAGCTCTGGTTGGCTTCAGGAGAGACGGGATTTAACTAGGCACTTACCTATAATCTCATGATACCTACCTAGGTAGGTAATGGTGACTGTCGATCGGCCGATGATGGCGTGTGTCAGTAGAGCAGGATTGGTGGCGGGCTGTAAGCCTGATTTCGGCCAAAAACATCCGTCCTTGCTCGATACCTGTATCTACTGTTGATTGCGAGATTCGGCCAGACAGTATACGATTACCTACCCACCCCAAGTCTTCAGCTTACCCGCTTCCACCCGCCAGTGGATCTCAAGGAAATTAAAGGACTGTGTGGCCACAGCTGTGGTGGAAGAGATGGGCAATACCTACCTATTGCCTAGTACCTATCCAATGTTGGCGATTAGCAACCTGCCGTGTAGGTAGGTCTGTATGTACGGATATGTCAAATGCGAAAGTCTACTTCCTACTTGCACGCGTCGTCCGTTACCCGGCAATGAGACGAGTCCGATCGACCATCCAGTCGGCCTCGGCTACCGACCCGGGACAGTGCGTTCTGCTCCGACGTCTGTGACACCAAACGTCACAGCCGGGCCTGGAGCTGGGCAGCACGGGGGGTGTGGAATATGGTCGAGAAGATCTCACCGAGGACAAGGGCCAAAAATAGCACGCTGGGCTTCTCGTTTGATGGTCCTAGACCGATCTACAACGTTGCCTGACTACGAGTTAGTGGCCGACGCAGATCGAAACCGACCTAATAACGTAAGGCTGCCTGTTGTTTTGGTTGTTTCTTTTGTCTTTTCCCTGTTTGAGAGCATCGGCGGACCTGAGACGCCTGGATTCATGCCGCTACGCAAGTGCCCGACCGACAACGCCTGCATCTTGGGCCCGACGAGCTCCCTCAAATGGGTTGGTTGGATTGGCTGGTTCCGAGATCTCGCCCAGAGCCCTAGTCGCGAATCGGAAGGTTCGCCTGGTTTAGCTTAGATCTCCGCTCCCGAGACTCGGCTGGCCGCTTGTTCAGTTGTTAGGTATATCGAATCATGGTTCGGTGCCCAATGTCAGAAGTGTGTTCCTAAGCCCCCACGGTGGATGCAAATGTGCGAGATCCTGTATCCTCCTGGCAACCTGCCTCGCTTTTGGTATTCAATTGGCGGCGAGCTGCAGCCAGGAAGACATGGTGTGCGGATGGAACCACCTGAGGGGTGCAGAGTGCGGAGCGGAGGGGTTGGGCTTCCCTCGGTGGGTCCCTTCGCTCCAGTGGAAGCGGGGAAGGATCCTTGGTATGAGTGAGGAGGTACAGGAGGGATGTACGGATACCTTATTCTACACCCAGCTCAAAATGATACTGCTCCAAGTTTCTGGAACTGTACTAGGTCCTAAGAGACGAACCACTATGTCGCCGTATACTGACCTGCCTCCTTCGCGAATGTGCAGTGCCTACCGGTACGCATACCGAGGTAGGGGTAATTCTACATATTAGCGGGGACAGGATGGACCACGTGCGAGGTCTCATCTTCCAAGCAAAACCGACGGATACCTAGTCAGTCGTCTTGATCCGGCAAAGCGCAGATTTCGGCAGTCGGATGGACCCAACTGGATCGGTTCCGTTACCACCCACTCGCTTCCCGTCTGCCCGTCAATTATTACCTCCCTCCTGTCCTGTTAAAGCTCGGCGGCCATTAACCGAGCAGCTCCCCAGACACCTACAGTACCTAACCTACTATGGCACTACTGCGCACTAGGTACGCCCGTAGTGGGTACGCCCGTAATGGACTGCCCTGGGGTATGGAGCCAACCCCATAACCAGGAAGAACAATAGACGCTGTCGTGCCGTGCCGTCAATGTTGACTTCGCGGACCTAATATCTAAGAGCTCACTTGCGGATAAGGCACTAGACGCCACTTCCTCTGCCGCACATCATGTCTTCTCTCACAAGTTGTAAGGGGAAGTTTCTGCCCAATGCCGTCAATCAATCATCCCTGCCCTATATATAGGTAGTTCGAGTGTTCGTCTTGTCACGTTCGGCATCTATCCACTTATGATCTACTCGTTGCAGACAGAGCCGAGATGGCGAGCTCCGTAATCGATGTGCCACACTAAGGTGTTCAATTCTGCCAGGTAGTCACGAGTGTCGGCAATGTTCATCACGACGACGAGGGTACGACTCTCACATGCCCCAGATAGATGAAGCAGCTGCATTCTGCTGAACGTATTCGGTCCCATCAAATTTCCTTCGAAACCTCTAGGCAGGGGAGCCAATGAGAATACAAGGAGATCCATCACTCTCTTTCCCAGCGCCCCACACACCCCGGTTACCCCGGCCTTGTGAGATGATCGCAGGGATGCAGATACACTAGTGCACGCTAGACGGATTTCCTTCCTCGCGCCGAAAGCCACACCTGGCCAGAGGTCTGGGTCGGTTTCTCTTCCGAGCTATCTTCCCGATAGGCCACGGAGCAAAACAACGGGGCACAGACGTATATGGCCCGTGCATATGAATTCGCAGCTCTTCGACGCTTTCGTTCACCCCTACACTTATCCGAAGATCTGGGATCCCTTGGCCTGGGCCTCTCGGGCGTCTTTCTTTTGGCCTGCGTGCCAGGCGACGCCTGGCTTTGCTCGTTGTCGATTCTGGGCCATGCTGTGGCGTGTTTCTGTATCGGCCGGCTGAGACCTCTGCACTCCTTTGCGCAGTGAGCTGATAGGCTGACGCCAATTTGCAGATCGGAATAACATGTACTGTTTAAAATGACTTGTCGGTTGGGGGCTTCGGAAACCTGGCAGGCATTTGTCGACTGGGAGTTTACGACCCATGTTTCAACCTGCCTTCGGTCGTATGGTAAAATTGTAAAATTGTAGCGTAAACTTGCAAGGCTGGCTAGGCATGGAAACAGGAGAGGCGGTGCATATTTGATGGCCTGCCGTCCTAATGTTCCCCCCCGGTCACAGCTCAACACCTCAATGCCACGCCGAGGAAGACGGATTTGGATGCCAATCATTTGAAAAACTTTTCGCAACGAGGCTAGTAGACGACGACTGAAGCGCAACATTGAGGTCCACCGGCGGCTCAGCCTCCGTTAAGATCCTTCGGTCCTCATCCGGTTTCCGATGCGTCCCTACGGCTTGGGGCCCAGCGCCAGGCGTCTGGCGCCACGCTACCTAATTAACAGTCCTCTTGGCGGCCCTTTTATAGGCATGTACTCAGTATGTACGGATAGTGAACACAAGTCTAACCCTGGAAGGATCGTTACCTCTGAGATATTTTAGGGCAGTCTTGCTCTAACAGGGACCCCTACACGAGGAATGCAAGTGTGCTAACAGTGGGACCTTGACGTATTCGTACCGACAAAAGTCTGGTCGATCTCTCCTCCACTGGTCGACGAATCTGTGCCTCGGTCAATCAACCCTTCGCCAATCGTTGGACCAGCTGGGCCCAACCTACCAAATGCATGTTGCACATTAATAATATTGGATGCACACATGTGCCACCTTGGGCCACCAATTCCAAGTCACTGCTGTCACTTGCTGATCGACAGTCTGGGTCACAGAGATTACACCACGACGACATCAAACCGCAAAGGAAAACGGGATGGGTGTTTGATCCAGAAGTTGACCGCGCATCATGTCCCGAAACAGGTCTGGATTAAACACCCCCCCCCCCCCCTTTTTGATCCCCGTGAGGTCCCCGAAATGGTCCCCGTCCATGCTACCCTACCTTTACTGAGCCAAGATCAGTTAAGATGGAGGTAACAGCCGAGACAACCCAACTCTCGAGAAACAAACCCAGTCCATTTGCTGGGGTGGAATAATTTCTCAGTCTTTCGCAAATTGAACTAGCACGGACGTTTTCCAGCCCTCGACCAAGCTCCGAAAAGCACAGGGCGCAAAATATCGGAGCACCCCCAAATCAACACGGACTTGCCAAGCCATGTCACTCAGTCTAGGTACATATAGGACGCTAGTGCTTCGGGCCCTACGCGAAAAACATGATTACGAATTACACCACAAGTCAGGATGAGATGCTTGATGGTAAAAGAAGAATGCATGCATACATACTGCGCAGTAGGTATGTGCTTCTTGCGCAGGGAGGTGCCCGGCTAGCTACCGAGCTACCTTACCTACCCATCTTCCAAGGTAAGGTACCCCTACCTACCTAACCTAAATGCATTAACTGTGGCTTGAAAGAGTCCAGGCTGGCCAACAGCCGCAAAAATCCCCTCCACCACCCGTGACAAGCACGGACTCCCTCGGGCCAAGGCAATAAGCACATTTCGGTTGCTTCCCCAAGGAAAGATTGTCAAGGGCTCAGGGGTGTAAGAAACCAAATCGTCCTTGCCGGTAAGATCACAACCACCACAGGATATCCATTCTTTGCTGCGGCACATGTGCACGCTAACTCTGACAGGCAGATGGGTCAGGTGTACGGATAGTATTAGTTTGAGGAACGGGAATATTATCAACGCAGTGCAGTACATACATCAATCTATCTTTGCGCACAAATGGACCTGGACGGAACCCCCTGTGTACATACCTACCCGAATTAATACCGAGCGTGTACTATGAACCAGTATGAGTTGTGCTGTAATCCGTACAGACACATTGCCTGCCGCCAGCCCGACCCCTGGGTGGCTAGGTCTTACTTAGGTACCATGGAAGTCTTGACCTGGAAGGACTCAATCGCCTTCAGATCATTTTTCCGATTCATCAACACAACTCTACCACATGTAGAATCAAAAACCTCCCTGCTAGCGGTTCCCTAGTGTGGTGGAGTGCACCTCCATCTTTCAGCCATTAGCCCCAGCCCTGGCTGAGGAGAAGAGACGCCCCCAAGGCCGCCTATTCGGCAACGAGCCCCTAAAGTACCACGCTACGTGGGTAGGGTGGCGGGGCTGCTTTCTTGTTTCTGCCAACCCTACATGCACAATCCTGGGCATATCTCTCCTCTTCTCCTCCCACCATCGGTCGCGAACCACCGCCACCGGCACGGACCCCAGACGAGGTAGCAACAAGGATAGGTGGGCCGCCTGCCACTTCCTTCCGTCTGGAACTTGCCGACTGCAACTGCTGCTGCCTCTCTTTCTGCTAACCTACCTACCTATCCCGTCATCTCCCCCTCTCCACAACCCCAGATCTTGCCTTTCGGCTTGTTCCCTTCCCGCCCAGGCACGGAACCACCCATATATCGCGCGCGTCCTCCTCGTCCATTCTTATGCTTGCCCGCCTATCAATCGCGCTCAGAAACACGCCTGGCAGGACCATTGCATGACGGATGCTGTATCGTATCGCAACTGCCGCGCCGCCATACGGCAGAGGTCCCGACGTCTGCTTTTCTAATAATTTTTTCAAGCGTCCTGCGGGGCAGCGCCGGAGGAAGGTCAGACAAAGTAACCCGCAGGCGACTCACGGATCATAGCGGCATTGGGGTAGCACAGCGCTGCAAGTCTGCGAAATACCACCCCCTCAGGATTGACGAGGAGGAAACATTGACCCGTCCTTGGCCGAGATTGACCCATTTGGCTCTTGAGACATTGTGTCCTGTTTGGCCCTGATCGACAAACAACCGCTGTACGAGGCTGCCTGGGTTCTGGACGCTCCAGCCAGAGAAACGAGGGCAACAGAAGCCGAACCTTGGGCCCGCGCGTCATACGCATAGAGAAACAGATCTGTGTCTCCCTTTAAACATCTTGATCTCCTTTCTCTAGAACTGCGCCCACCCCTCCCCCCCCCTCCCGCCCCCAAAACGCGAGAGAGATAGAGCGAGAGAGAGAGGGAAAAAGGAACCGGTCTGCATGTACCTTGACAGTCCACTCCCGAGTGGCGCCCGTCCTACTGGGGAGCTTGCGGGGCCTTTACCAAACCAGGCTCCCGCGTACTGGCCTCCAAAATCTTCGACCATGGCGGCGTCGTCGTCGCACAACCCATACCCTCGATCGCCAAACCCTTCCATCAGGTCATACGAGGACTCCTCAATCTCATCCGCCATTTCACCAAAGGCGCCTCCCCAGTATCACCGGGGTTTGGTAAGCACAAGTACAAGGCCGAATGCGGCTCCTGTCCCTCAGCCCATAGGAATACCTCCCCCGCTTCATTCGGCTCATCACTCTCACCACGGCAACTTTCAGACGCCTTACACGCCGCTGACGGGCGTATTATACATGAGACGAGACTCGCTACCCACCAACGAGTCCATGGCAGGCACACCTGGACCCCCCAACTCGCAGCTCGCCCCGTCTAGCGTGCAAGCGCAGAAGAGGGCCTACCGCCAGAGGAGGAAGGATCCCAGTTGCGATGCCTGTCGGGAGCGGAAGGTGAAATGCGACGCCACTGAGACGACGAGCTGCTCCGAGTGCTCGAGCCGCAACGTCAAATGCCAGTTTACCAAGGAGACCAACAGGCGGATGTCGTCGATTAAGCAAGTGCAGGACCTCGAGAAGCAGATGGAACGCGTCCGCCGCGAGAACAGCAGTCTGAGGCACATGATGCAGGAACGAGACGGCCGGTTTGAGATAGACCTTGACGGAGTTGAGCAGCTTCCACTCCAACTACCAGATATTGGGTCCGAGCCCAAGAGGAGGAAACGGCCAACCCCGATCCACGACCTGGTAAGAGCAAGGTCGAACTTGCGAGCCTTTTGCAAGGGCATATGGAAACCGCCTGCTCAGCACCGGCCATCTCTCCCGCAGGCTGCGCCGCATTTCCCGAGGCCAGAATTGCCGCCGAAGTCAACAACCGATCACCTGCTCCACTCGTACTACACCTCGATTCATACGATGACGCCATTCCTACATTGGCCCAACTTCCGGCTGGCTGTAGATGATCTCTACAAGCCGGGAAGGCTGAACGACGCCTCGGCTACTTTCTTGGCCATGTTCTTTTCCGTCCTGGCGGTCGGTAGCCTCTTCGCACCAGAACCCCAGCCGCATCTTCGCTCTCAGCGGGCGGCCGGCTTCATCGAGACAGCGCGGAAGCTCATCGATCCCTGGGCCAACGATTATGTGCTCGACCATGCACGGACTTTCGTGCTCATCACCATATTCTTGAACGAGACGAATCTCAAGTCGGCAGCTTGGAACTCGCTCGGCAATGCCGTCAGGGTTGGACAGGATATCGGACTGCAGTCGGAGTCGGGGCCTTGGCCAGTGGTCGAGGGCGAAATGCGGAGGAGGACGTGGTGGACCATCTACGTCCTCGACCGATCCCTCTCGCTCGAGCTCGGGCGGCCGGTTCTGATCGACGATTTCGACTGCGACGTCTCTCTCCCCGCCGGTGTCGACGACCACTACATCCACGACGGCGGGATGCTGGTCCCTAATGGAGCGGAGCCACTTTCGAACTCGTTGCTGGCCATCATTCACGTTGTGCGGGCCTACGCAGGCCTGAGCAGGGCGCTCTCGTCCCCACTGATTGCTCCTACTCGGCTGGCAACCTTCGACCAACACTTCAGCTCTTGCCTACGGACCTTTCCTCAAACCTGTGACCCGTCAAGCTCGGTACCGCTGTCGCCGCAACTCTTAGATCCTCTGGTATATTTGCTCCACGCCCGCCTCATGCTCCATCGCCACAACATTGCTCCGAACTGTCCGCTAGACGTCCGCCTGGTTGCTGTGGAGCAATGTACCCTCGCGGCCCTCGAAACGGCGTCGTTGCTTTCTCGAACCGACGCTACCCTCCCCGACGGCGCCACCGCTTTGCTAACCACGCACGTATTTCGCTGTGCTCTTTTCCTTCTCCTCACCGGCCACCTGGACCAGGCCGCAACTTGCACCCGCACGCTCACGGCGATCGACACACGCCGCGACGTTGCGATTCCGTGCGGACGGTTCCTGGCATTCTTCGCCTCAGAACTCGCTACGAAACGGACCCAGATCGCGGCCTATTACTCTCAGCAGGCGACTCCGTCTGGGCAGCAGGGCTTCGCATCACTTCCACCACGTTCCCCGCCGAACGCTATCCGGGACGCATTGTTACGGGACGAGGAGCTGCTTGCATACGTCAGCGCGGACCTGCAGGCTCGCCCTGACACGGCATGGGTCTGGGCCAGCGGTGAGCATGAAACTCAACACGAGCAAGCTCCCTCTCCGGGCCTTGTGAGGGGCGCCCCCGTCGGTAATGGCGGCTCTGAGCCAAACGGCGGCGGCGGCGATCAGCTGTACAATGCCGAGGCAAGAATGGGTCTTACCGAGGAAGAAGCGCGGGACTGGGGCGGCTGGGGTAATCTTGAGGACATGATACGCGGGCTCATGGATGGAGATTCCACGCCTGCAAGGTCGAAGATGGCATGCGCGCAAGGATGGGTCCCGCCGCCGCCGCCCATGAGCATCAAAACCGAATCCGCTGGACCTGATTCGGCCATGGCCTGTCCGGGCAGCGCGGGCGCCACAGGAGGCGGCGGAGGCGGGAATAGCTCCAACAGTCCGATGGCAACAATGAAGAGCAAGAGTCAGGACAGGATCAGCATTGCGAATATCATCTGAAGCAGACGACTGTGGTCATTGGGCGCAATCAAAAAACACAACGCCGAGCAGACGGGGGAGGCGGGGTTCAATGCCGCGTCCCCAGAGGAGACGACCGAGACGTCCCGACCGTTGGCGAAGGGAGACGGATATCGAGATATCCAACGCCGCCAAATCCGTGACCGATACGGTACGTCCCGGCCTACGACATAGCCATTCATCATGGTCCGATGAGCGAATGATACCACGTTTTATTATTTTTGGGAGCGAGTCTTCCGAACCACCACCGGCCACCAGCGGCTGCGGACAGACCCCTTGATTCACCTTGTTCTATTGTGCTTGTTCTCGCTCAAGATGCTCAGCATCAGCCTACCTCTCGAACCAGGGGCTGGCAAAGCACCTGATATTTCTTTTTCTCCTTCTTTCTGATATATCCATCAACTCATTAATGTTTGTAATATACAAAATTTCGGGGGAGATACCAGCTTGTTTTTGTCGTGCTGCGCAGCAACACAGTTCTACGAGGATATCCGAGCATCCGGAGCCTAGGAAGGAACCTCTTGCGTCTCTCTTTCCTTTCTCTCCTTCCTGCTTACTTATAGCAGGCGGCTGTCTAGCTCGAGAAGGGGCTTTTGTCGGACTCGGGATACGCCCGAGGTACCCCTTCGCTGTTCCATACGGAACGGCGTATAGATACTTTGTATTCTGTTTCCACTATATTTTTTTCAACATTCAGCATTTTCGGAGGGTTTCTGGGGGCGGCACTGTCTTTGCTTGCCTGGTTCACTGGAGGTCTACTGGCGAGCAGCAACGGAGAGAGGTGATGGGTTTTTCGTCTATATATATTTCATCACCATCAGGACTGCCCGGACCCAACCTCACGGAATCTAATCCTGGGGGATGCGGTACTTGGCCCTGTTTCTGCCTCTACTGGCCCCTCCCAGTCGTGGGCGTGCTTGGTTCGACCCGAGATCTGCTTTGGGGACGAGGGGAATTATCCCCTGGGGGCGGGGGGCAAGAGGGAGACGGCGTTGCTGGAACCAAAAATTGGGGGGGTTAGGGGTGTTAATGGAAACCGGGGGGCCTCTTTCAAGGGGCGCAGGGCGTTCCCCTTATCGTTTGAATAAATGCGCATGGCGAGGGCTGTTGCCCTTTTCCCTGTGAAGCCGTTGCCGTTGGCCTGGATATATATACCTCGCACGGGAGTGTTGATGTGGGATGGATTAAATGGAAATGTCCAAGGGCACACCCGCCCTCTCGCGGTTGCGTCCTGACCGTGTTTACTACGAGTTTGGTGACTCTCCGACCTGTGATCTATTGTCAACACTTCCGTTTTTCCCTGCCCTTGCTCGATGCGCCATCCTTCGCCTATCAACCTGGATGATTGTGTAGCCTCACGCCCCTAACCAACGTCAGACTCGGAGGTGATTTTGGTGGCATACGATCTCCAGCGGCCGTAGATGTCACTCAACTGATGAATGATGATGGGGCTCAGCCGTTGCACAGCGCCAGGAATGACCCTCTCAAGCCGAGGAGTTATTGTTATTAAACAAGAGAATAAAGGGAAAAGAAGGGAGGGGGGGTGCGCTAGGAAAACGTCGGCTGTCTAGTGGCTTGCCCTTACCCCCTGACTTTGCCCAACGGTACCAAGATAGAGCCGCAGGCTAAGTTCTATGTGAGCTGCCGGCCTTCAGCTGGTCGTCTCTTCCTGGGCATCTATGAACCTGCCCATCCATGTACGTCCATGTCTTATATCATGGAATAGGTTCCACTTATACTTATTTGCGTTACAGGAAACTAAAGCTACCAAGGAGTGGAAGGCGAGAACAGAATGCCACTCCACCTCCCCCTTCTTCTTCTATCTCTCTCCTTGCTACTGCTTTCTTATGATTTACCATGCAAGCTAATAGGCGGCATCAGAGTCCTACCGGCAAGGTCGACGTCCATCCGGACGATATCAACGAAAGCGATCTGACAGCAATACTGATTTTCAGATTCGTGAGCTCCGTATTAGGCCAGTCAGCCTGCTTTTGTGCCATCTTGGGTTCGCGGAAGACTTGGTCCAAGGGAATAGATAGGTAGGTATGCGGGCGTGCGTGTTGCAATTTTGCTAGAATACGAGAAGAGTCTTGAAGCTGCGGCAATATGATCGTGATAATTGTCACGTTAGGGAGTAGGCGGTTTGGAAAGTATAAGAAATGCTAGGCAGGGGTTTTCTTTTTCCTTTTTTTTCTTTTTGGGTGGTGAGGGAGAGGAGGGTTGGTAGGGGATCGAATTGGCGAGTTGATAGAAGGAAAGCTCCTGATTTTTTGGGGGGATAGAAAGAGCGATTCTAATAGATGAAAGGAATCTCATAGCTAGATGAGAATGGGAAATATAAAAAATCTAGACATCAAAGCGGCTTTCCACAGAACCACCAAAGCCCTCTCCTCCATCCCGCCGACCAAGGTACCAAGGGGTTTCCCTTTTACATCCTCACCACTCACTCCTCCACTAACACTGCTGGTCAACTTGCTCACTTCACGCTCGAGGTTTCGACGCTGCCAAAACGTGTGCCTAACGATGGCGGAGACCAAGAGTGAACGGATACGTCGCCTCACCAACGAGATGATGCCCGCGACGGCCCGGTTGGCCAGCTTGGATCCATCACCAACATTGATGGTGAGTAATATTACAGACCAGATCGTGGCCGGTATAGGTCTGTTGGACACTTCCTCAGATGCCACCACCTCACTGCGTCCTGCTGCCGAGGATTCAGCGGCGAACGAGCAAGAGGAAGAAAGCGATTACGAATGTTCTACATATTCCGACGACGAAGAGGAAGGTGAAAGCGATGAGACGTTTGATGCGCCACCTCTGCTGGGATACCTGAGAAATATTCGCGGTGCTATCGTGAGTAACTGACCACATGGCTAGCGTCCGACTACTCCCTTGCTAAATGTGACATTTTACACAGGTCGAGAAACATAAACCTCGAAGCCTTAGTCAGGTCCGGGGACTCAAGTCCCACATCAACCCCTTCCCACACCAACAGCGAGCCGCGGCAGTAGCTGTACAAGCAGGAGAAACTGAATTTAAAGGCTTCATTCTTGCGGACCCGCCCGGGCTTGGGAAGACCCTTCCGGCGTTGATGGCGATAGCTGCGAAGTTCCGTGAGGGGGGCGGGCCCTCCGTGGTCGTTGCACCGTTGAGCTGCTGCCGGCAGTGGATGAGCGAGATGGACTCGTAGTTTGACGGGACAAGGTGAGCTTTATTCTACCCAACGTGTTTGTATACCTGTGCTGATGAGAGATATAGAGCAGAATGCCAGCAAGATTCCTAGCAGCTAACAGCGGCAGGAGCAGCTAGCAGCAACGGCAGGAGCAGCCAGCAGCAACGGCAGGAGCAACTGATGGAAATGGCAGGAGAAGGTGATGGCAATAGCAGGAACAGGCGATGATAACCGTCTGACCTAAGATCATCTGCTGCTCTTAAGTTCCATATTTGCCTACCACAATTTTGCCCTTTAGACCTAGTACACACTTGCCTACCAAGATTTTGCCCCTTAGACCCCATTACACATTCGCCATCACACACAAACACTTAATATGTTGTCTACCCAAGGCGTAGGAGAATTTGCTCCAGAACATGCCCCAGCACATGCCCCAGAACTCTTTCTTCCATGGTCCTCGGTTTGTGGGCCAGCCGACTTGATCGCTTTCAAGCTTCATGCATTGCATGCTGGCTTGGAGGACCAGTCGCCGCTCTATATGTCTCTGCAACGGAAGAACATCGAATTCCTTATTCACTACTACGAGAACGGTGGCAAAATCCCTGTCGGAGACCCGGTCATGTGGATCCTTCATGGAGAGATCTTTGACGGTATGCCTCAGGGCGTCAAAACCCCCGCGATCGAAGACTTCGAGAAGGTCTTTGGGAAGCTTCGAAAGGTTCAGTATTGTGGAAGGAATCTGTTCGTCTTCTCCAGTCCTATCTTTCCTTTTCTAATATTTCTGTCTAGGTCCCTCTCCATCAGTTTGGACAAAAAGGATTTGTTCCAACAGCTCCGGGTCCAACAGCTCATAAGATGGCTCAATCAGCGAGCTTCCAACTTGGTCTTGGTGGATACATGCATCAGGATGTGATTCTCCCGTCCCTTTCTACTTCTCTTGCTAATATCACAAGATATCTGCCGGATTTCGAATCCCTGTGGTCTTCAACAACAGTAACCCCCCCATTCCGATTAACGTCGCCATCTTGAATGATACCGGCTACACTTGTCGGACAGTTCTACCCGCCGACTTGGTTGCACTCCAGTGTCCTCCACTCCCAATGTACCCTGCTCTCGTTGGTCTAGTGCCTCTGAATACAGCAGATGGGGTTTGCTATCAGACTCGGATTCATATCGAATGCAAATCAGGAAGGCAGGTGGGACGGCTCTTACACCATGGTTTGTAGAGGATGGCATTGTTGATCCATTGGCATCGACTCGGCCTTTGGGAAACAAGATGCGTGATCGTCTCTATTTGCCACCGCCCCAGGAAGCACGACTCTCTCTGTTTCGGCAACTAAGAATGGTATTGTCACCCAACCTCCTACTATGAATTAAGCACAGCACAGTCCCCACGGCATCATGCATATCCGCAGACATTCCAATTCCCTCCGCCCCCATGTATATAGTATTCACAGTCTGGTTTGCGAGTAGTTTTTAATGGACAGAGGCTTAAAAGCCAATAACCCCAATAACCTCTTCTGTTCCAGAGACTTGGTGGCGACTTCGACATATCGTCGAAGCAATGATCTAAAGAGCCGAGGTCATGGGCGAGGGCTTTGGCTGAGTGCCATCAATGATGCTACTCTGCCATCCATACCTAGGCGCAAGAGCTCCAGTCAACGCCCCAGGCCGCGAACACGTTACAGCGAAGCTCAGCAGGAGGCAACCGGGTCGGTCAGTCGAAACCAAGGGGATATCCAAGAGAGGCTGCGGTCGACGAAATAATATTCTCGAGACCTGAAATATCACAATGGGAGACCAAGCACAGGCTACCCTCCCTACCTATTAAAGGTTAGGTCATGGTAGATCCATGTGCCAAAACACGTGCCCAGACTATCAGTTAGTATTGGCAGGGGCGAATCTGGATCTGCTTGCCCCTGGAGCGCCACTTGAGTCATGCAGGCCCCCAGCCACACAGGCTCGACAGGGGTGCCGGATAAACAGGTCCCTGAGGTCCCCGCCCCTGGCGTCCCTGACAATCCTTGGCTGCCAGCCGCCCAGGAAAAATGGTTTCCGAAACGACCCGAGCTCCGAAAATTCGGTGCCGGGCAGATGGCGAGTGTGAAAAGATGTTTATCTTTTTTTTTTTAACTCCAGTTTAACAACCATCGAAAAAACCTCAACCTCTCCAAGGAAGTTTTTATTTTATTTTTCTCACCAAGACTCAATTGAGCCTCGTCTCTCTCTTTCTACGACCGAAGGAAATCCCCTCTCATCCTTTTGATCCGATCTTTCACAATGGCCAGCCCAACCCAGTCAACTTCCTCAACCAAGGTTGAGGCCGTCGTCCAGAGCGCCGCCGCTGCCGCCGCGCCCAGCAGCCAGCTCAGTGGTATTGGCCTCTACTCCCGATTCGCCCTCGCTGGTTCCATCTGCTGCTCCGTTACCCACGGCGCTCTCACTCCCGTCGATGTGTAAGTCGAATCCCCCTTCCCACGCTCCCCAGCTCCTTTCTTCTGCCGCCCGCCGTCTCCCCATCCAATGGGGCGCCATTATTGATCAATCGCAGCGTCAAGACACGTATCCAGCTCGACCCCGTCACCTACAACAATGGCATGATCGGTGGTTTCCGGAAGGTCATCCAGAGCGAGGGTGCCGGCGCTCTCCTAACCGGCTTTGGCCCAACCTTTGCCGGCTACTTCCTCCAGGGCGCCTTCAAGTTCGGAGGATATGAGTTCTTCAAGCAACAAGCCATCAACCAGCTCGGCATAGAGAACGCCTCCAACTACCGGACGGCCGTCTACCTCGCCTCTTCCGCCGCTGCCGAGTTCTTCGCTGATATCGCCCTCTGCCCTCTCGAGGCCACCCGTATCCGTCTCGTGTCCGAGCCCACCTATGCCAATGGCCTTGTCGGCGGTTTCGGCAAGATGCTCAGAACCGAGGGTATCGGTGCATTCTATGCCGGCTTCGGTCCTATCCTCTTCAAGCAGTAAGTTCCCCGCAATCCGCCCGAGCAGTGGGCTGGACATCATCCCACCTGCATCAAGTGGCTAATTTGCTCTCTCTCCACCAGGGTTCCTTATACCATGGCCAAGTTCGTCGTCTACGAGAAGGTCGCCGAGGCCGTCTACCGCCTATACCCCAAGAAGGACATGTCCGACGGCCTGCAGACCACCGTCAACCTGGGCAGCGGCCTGATCGCTGGTTTCGCTGCCGCCATCGTCTCCCAGCCCGCCGACACCATGCTCAGCAAGATCAACAAGACCAAGGGCCTGCCCGGAGAGGGCACCACCTCCCGCCTCATCAAGATCGGCAAGGAGCTCGGCTTCCGCGGCTCCTACACCGGCCTCGGCGCCCGTCTCTTCATGGTAGGAACTCTCACCGCCTTCCAGTTTGCCATCTACGGCGATGTGAAGAAGGCCTTGGGTGCGACTGGGGGGGTAGAAATTGCCAAATAAAGAACGAAAAACGGTGGGAGGGCAGCGGAGCGAGAGCGGGGGACCCGGGGGTGGCCGGGGGTAGGGCCGGGGGGCTCGGGGGCGGGGGGAACACCTCAGTTGGCCCGCTGAGAATTGAGTGTGGTTAGTTGCCCAACCAATTATCGGCAGGCAAACAAGACGAGCGACAATAGCCGTCCATCTTTTTACTCGAGGTACGAATCACAAACGACGTCGGAAGCTCGAGCACGGATGCGTCCCGGCTCTCGTCACTTGGCGCCCCGCGCCCCTCCTTGCATTTAAAACCTGGCTGCTGGACGTAGGATAGCTCGCTGTATTTCCCATGGCTCTCTATTATTTTCTCGAGTTTGACTGCTTTCGTCAACTTTTTTTCCCTTTTTTTTTTTTGCTTTCAGGGGGCAGGGGCGGGCGGGATCTGGTCTGTTTTTTTCTTCCCCCGTCGTCCTTAATTCCTCATCACGAAAACCTGCCGAACCCAGCATAGAGCATAGAGCACCGGATAGCGGAAAAGAGACGGATTGTATTGCGAAAAGAGAGAGAGGGTCGTGTACAAATAGTTCTCTATTATCGCGCATAATAGACCGAGGTTGGGATGCCTGCCTCCCTATTCTCTGATATTTGGTCTTCGCAGAGCAGTCGTGATATGTTGTGCGGGTTCGCGCCGGCACTTCTTCATCGCCAGAGGCTGGAAACGACCCGCCATCCATGCGTATGCCAGAGAACCTGAGAGGCCGGGGCGCAGGGTGTGCTTTCCGGAAAGGAGTATCCTATGAGGACATGCAGGTCGACATGAAGCACCATGAGAATGACGAGGCTGGCATGTCTGAATACATGACCTTGTGGTACAGCATTTCACACAGGATCGATGATTTCCGGCCTGGACAGGAGCCGCTCCCGGGAACATATACCTGCCGCCTGTGGGTGCGATTTTGCAACAGTGCATCATGCCCATGAGCATGCCTCCTCCTGTGCCAAAGACTTCGCCACTAGGCGGGCAGAGGAGCTCCGAGATGAGCTTTGTGCTCTAGATCGACTATGCGACTGCCAAGTGTGTGGCCACGGGGCCCAATTCAAGCAGTTCGTCCCGTGCGGCAAGGCTTTCACGACGTTTAGGGAGGTCGACGTCGTGTCTTGCGAATACTGCAATACCTGGCTTGTCGAGCCACATGAGTGGCGCTCTTACCCGAACTGACATTTAGACAAAGCCCTACGGATTACGTTGGAGGTCGAATACGCTGGTGTTTCGGCTGGTCGCGCTATTCTCCCACATTTGTGTCCGTTTTGTCTGAATGATAAGACCGAGCCAACACACGTACGCGTCTTTCGCTACCATTCCAGATATGGGCATCCATGGAAAGCATCTCGTTGACCATTTAGACAGGCAATCGAAGGATGCAGCTCAGCTCTCCTGCCCATGTTTTCCATCCATGTGCACGAAGTCAGAGAAGATGGACAGCGTGCAAATGAGGCGCCACCTCCAGGTTGTCCACGGTCTCGAACCGGGGGGAAAGAGAGCTAAAAGTGCTCGAGAGCCCCTGTGAAGCACCACTGGGCAAGGGACAGCCCCTAAGAGGGGAAGGAAGATGTCTAGTATATCGCCAGGCCCGGCACTATTATGGATTGCGTTATCCCCCTACAGTGTACACTTGCCTATGTGACTTACATGGACGGGGGGTCATCAGGTATTAGTAGCGGACGTTGCCGTGCATTTCGGTCCAATGACGGCAAAGAGGCCGCCAGGGGAAGCGGCTGGTATGTCAGTCGTCTTCAGTGTAAAGCAGATGAGGCATTAACCGCTCCAGGCCGAGACAATTATATGGTAAATTGAAGCCTTTTGGCGCCCGACACCTCCTTGATGCAAGCAATGGCGTAGTAAAAAAATAGATCTGTCACATATCTCATGCTCGGGTAGTCCGAATGGCCTCGTCCAAAATATCCAGACCCTCCTGAATCTCCTGCTCAGAGATGGTCAAGCTGGGTACGAATCGCAATGTGTTTGCGCCAGCAGTGATAACCAACAACCCCCTCTCGCGCGCCGCGGTGATGATTGGCGCAGGGTCCTCGGTCAGTTGGAGGCCGAGGATCAAACCTCGTCCACGAACCTCGGTGATCAAGCTAGGATACTTGTTCCGAAGCTGCTCGAACCCCTTGACGAAGACGGCCCCCTTGGCAACGACGTCCTTCTGGAACGCTGGATCCGCCAGCCTCGACACAATGTAGTGTGCCAGACGACAAGCAAGGGGATTTCCGCCAAACGTAGTGCCGTGGTCTCCAACCTTGATCTTCTCGGCCACGTGCTTGTTCACGATAGTGGCGCCGATGGGGAATCCATTGCCAAGGGCCTTCGCTGTCGTGAGGATGTCGGGGTGCGCCTCGGGCGGGAGTCTGCCATGCGCCCAGAGGTCACCGGTCCGGGACAGTCCGCACTGGATCTCGTCGTACTGCAGGACAGCGCCGACCTCGCGGCAGCGCTTGCCCAGGGCGATAAGGAACTCGTCCGAGGCGACGTTGACACCGCCCTCGCCCTGGATAGGCTCGACCAGGACTCCGCAAGTCTTCTCGGTGACCAAATCCTTGATTCCCTCGACATCATTGTACGTTCCATACTTGAAGCCCGGGACCATAGGTGAGAAAGGAGCCTGATACTTGGAGTTGGGCGTTGCTGACAGGCTACCCATGGTACGTCCATGGAAGGCACCGTGGAATGACACAAACTCGTGCTTCTCCCCGGTCGGATCGATGGTCTTGCCGACCTTGCGTGCAAACTTGATGCCCGCTTCGTTGGCTTCCGAGCCCGAATTGCAGACGAAGACGGCGGTCGCATCATGCATGCATCCTGCCTCGAGAGTCTTCTCCACGAGCAATTTTGACAGGGCACCGGTCCATGGATTATAGTAGAGATTGGACGCATGTACCAGTGTCTCGGCCTGGAATCTGCCGTCAGGAATCTGGCCTCGGTTCGGATCGATCGCGTGGATGACTCACCTGCTGGGCTATGAGCTTACAGAACTCGGGATCACTGTGGCCCAAGGCATTGACGGCAATTCCAGCGGTCAGGTCCAGGTACCTGCGATTCTCAATATCCCATATGTATGACCCCTCTCCCTTGACGAACACTGGCGGCGGCCGGGAGTAGGTTGCGACCATGAAAGGGGCATGCTCTTTCACAAGGGCGGCACTGGCTGAGTCCGCGGCCGGGTCGGGACAGGGCAGGGTCGCATCTCTCTGGTACGGAGTCAGATTCCAATCCATCAATTGGCATGCAGACAGAATCTTGGAACAACTCACCTCGAAGTTGCTCCGAACCTTCTCTCCCATGGTCGAGGTTGGGGCAGCAGCCGCCTGGGAGTAGAAGCGTGCGATGACCGGAGCATGCCGTGGAACTGCTGCCCGGCTGGCAACGCGGCCAGAAAGCCGCGTAACTGGGGCTCGGAAAGCCATTGCAAAAGCCAATTGCAAGTAGACCGTATTGCCCCCGGTTGAGGAGAGGCGGCTAACTACACAGAAGAAGCGGAAAAGAGAACCGAGTCATTGCGGACGAGCGACGAGGCTACATAGGATGACTCTTGCTCGATAAGACCCTTATCGGTACCCTTTTTTTTCCCTCGTCGGTGTGGGGACCCCCGCTCTGCAGCCCTGATGGAGCCGCACCAGCCAATAGATGCCCAAGTACCTACCTAGGTACACTAGATCATCAAGCGCTCTTGACGACGACATCGGACGGTCTCGGAGCCAGTGATACCTGCAGAAGCGGGAAGCCAGTCGACATACAGATTACATGTCGCCAGCTCCTGCGACTCGGCCAATCGATGCCTCCGCACGCGGCCCCTTGAACATGATTAAATCCCCTTGGACAAGACGAGACGAAATGGAGCCAAGGGTGGTAGTAGATCTCGTCATACACCGGATCCAAAATCATGGGCAGATATTTCGTGCGCCATTCTTCTTGGGTAGCATCACCGAGGACCTGGCAGAGTGAAGTAAACGAATAGATAGATACTACAAGACTCTATTGTGGCAAATGAACATGATGGACATGGACTCGTAAATCAGAAAAGTAATGCAAAGCCCCTCCAGCCATTTCGAAGGAAAAACAACGTCTACATCATCAGCCAATTGACCATCACCAGTCATGATTCCGTCGTTGGGACTGGTCGTTAAGTATGGAGCCAACGTAACCGCTACCGAGACTCAGACTCAGATGATGGTACTCAGGCGACTGCAAGGCACAGTACCTGTTCCTGAGGTATTTGGTTACACTGAGGATGGTGGTCAGAGGTTCGTTTATATGTCTTGATTAACGCCGAGACCCTATATATGGAGGCTTAGAGAACAGCACTACCACATACGACCATACCCACTGGAGAACTCGGGATCCCGTCCGCTCTCCCATAGATAAGCCAGTGAGGGCCAGACTAGTAGTTGGGTCGGTGACGACCAGCGAATCCCTGGTGTTGTATGTTTTTTTGCCCCATTATTATTTTTTAGTGTCTTTTTGTACTCGAATATCCGGGGAGAGTTTGACAGGGTGAGTGACATGAATGAAGATGAGAGCTAGGCTGTCTGCAAGGAACTCAAGCATGTGGTAGAGGCATGGATGGATCGATTGTATGGAAGACGGACGGTCCGGCTTTTTGTAGACGCGCTTCTCCCGATAACCACCTTAAAGTTTGTAGCGCGGATATTGCTTGACTTCTTGTTAATGGCTCTGATCTCGGCTGGCGAAGGAAGGGCGTCGCTCTTTGGAGAAACTCGGTCAGCCGTTCGTTCACCTTGAGTACGGATGTCCAATTCAAAAGTTTCGTCCCGATTCAAGGGAAACACTAACAGACCCACTCTTTTGACCAACTAAATCAGCCTATCTGCCCCTCTTTATACTCATTTTACCCTCTAAGCGAATAACCTCCTGGCAAAGCTAAGAACGCCACACACCTGTTGCTTGTAGAGGACTTGGACGCTATGCTTACTAACGTTTAGCACCTACTGAAAGGTGTTAGCGAGGATTTAGTGTCTAAAGCGACTGCACCTCATTTAGGTGTTAGTGCTATTTACCTTCGTTTATTGAATAATATCTTTATAATAAGGTGTTAGTGCTCGGGACGAAACTTTTGAATTGGACATCCGTAATTACCTATACATTGGATGGCCAAGCGCAGCCATAACCTCCAAGCCACTTGCAAACCTCCCACGACATGAATCTCGCTACAATGGGTCAATGCCAAAGTATTTTTAACTAGGAGGCGGTGGCTTAATGACGGACGGGAGGGCGTAAAATTGATAATACACCTATGTGCGGGTTTGAAACCAGAGACCAGTGTGCACAAAACCAAGGCTCCTGAGAAGACTCTGAATGCGGCCGATAGTTCAGCTCGAATCCTCACACAACCCCACTCTCCGTATACATGGCCGTGTTGCAGAAGGGCTTTGCATAACTATACAGCGCTAGTACGCATGTCATGGGGGACTTTCTGGCCCACTTTCCCCACAATCGGCGGCTTCTGGAAACCCGCCCTCCCCACCACCATCACCAGTTTCACATGTCAGAAACAGCGGCTCGTGACAGCGACACGGATTGCCGCCAACCGCATTCCACCGGCTTTACCGGCCACAGTGGGCTTCCAGGATGGATTCGATCTCTCTTCCTCTCAACCCTCGTATCTTGTCATATTTTCGCTATCCCTTTCGCCCCCTGCTGTTCTGTATATTTCCTGCGTCTCCTTAGGCTCCTTTAGTCTCTATCCTTAAGGTTCTTTTGACCCTCCCTAAACGCCATTATAGACCTCAGCTGAGTGAGCATTGGGCATATATTTCTTTGTTTTGCTCTGCTCCCCATACGCGGCCCTTGTTTCCCTCGCCGTCCAACACCTTCCGAACTGGCTCCCAGAACCGCACGAATTCCAAGTAATAGACAATACATGAGCTTCTTGGATTCTACCGGGGATCTCTACTAGCCTGGCCCCTTGAGACTGAGTGTAGCTGTTCTCCGACAGCTCGTCCTCGAGGCAGATAGATCTCCGCTGAACTTTGCTGGGTAACGTCGACGGAAAATCGAGCATTCGGATTCGATCAGTTACCATGATAGACCATGTTCTAGGAAGACCATCAGTAAAATCACGCAGACTCCAGGTCCTTGCTGTGTTGACATTTTGGTCGGCTTACTTATTCAAGTATTGCTCCCCCAGTTGCGGAACAAGACCGGCACGGACGTGGTGTGCTAACCAAGACACAGGGGCCACAAACATGGACCGCCTCTCTTGCGTTTCTTCTCACGCATTTTCTCCAAGTCTCTGACAGCATGGCAGACTGTAGTCATCACCATGCTCTACCTTTACGCCGCTCGGAACTTCAGCACTCTGGTTGGATTGGCCAGCCCGGAGCCCTTGGCGAATATGTACGATGCGACCTACTATCGTGCAACCTGGGTGCTGACTGCACTCGACGCCGGCTTCTGGACAGCCATGAAGATTCGGCAGAAATGGCTACGCGATATTTCGAGTGTCGTATTCTCCGTCTTCTACCTGTTTGCCGCCGAAAAGGCCGACGAGAAGGTTAGGAAGGTCAGGGGAAATCTCACTATCGACCACCTCAGAGTCAGCTGGAATAAAGGGAACGAGTCTCCCTACCTGAGGTTCTTCCAGGGGCTTCAGAGGCCACGCTTCACACGCTGGCCTCCGAGGGCTATCCGGATTCCGCGACCGCCGTCGAGTGACTACAAGGAGCCTGTCTCGGGGTGGCTGTACTACGATGGTCCGCTCTCGAATTTGGAGCATCACAACAAGATAGTTCTAGACATCCCGGGCGGTGGATTCGTTGCCATGGACCCTAGATGCAGTGATGATAAGCTGATGGCATGGGCTGCCAAGACTGGACTGCCTATCCTGAGCTTGGACTACAAGAAAGCACCCGAGTTCCCCTATCCATACGCCGTTAACGAGTGTTACGATGTCTACACCACTATCATCCACACTCGCGGCCGGTGCATTGGCTTATCGGGCCGGGAAGTTCCTAAGGTTGTCGTCACTGGAGACAGCGCGGGTGGAAATCTGGCAGCGTCCATGACACTGATGATCATCGAGAGTGGCTCTACCCCGGTGCGGCGGTTTCGTGGACAGGCCGACCTTCCACTACCTGACGGTCTGGTCCTTTTCTATCCGGCGTTGGATATGAACATCGGAAACTGGATGTCGGACGCGCAGATGTCTCTGATCCAGGATCGGAGCATGCGAGGCACCAACAAGCGGATCGTTCGCCGCAAGAGCATGCAGTATAACGCCCTCGCCGGCACCCCTCACCAGTCAGATGACGAAGACGAGGCGACCCCCAAATCAATTTCGAGCTCGGAAACGGGCCCAGGGCAGGCCGGTCTGGCTTTTGAGAGCAACTCACGCAGCCCCAACCCCGAGTACACGCACTCTGGGCCGTCGACCTGGACCAGGAAACAGCATGCCGCGTCGTCCGAGCCGCCGAACCGCCAGGGAAGCGCTTCATATCGTGCCGAGCCTCTCGGCACGCGGCTGGCCATGTCGTCGATGCTCTCGTACTTCAACGACCGAGTCCTCACGCCCGAGATGATGCGGGCCATGATAATTCTTTACATCGGCCCGCACAACCGGCCCGACTTCAGCCAGGACTACCTGCTCAGCCCCATCCTCGCACCCGACATCCTCCTGTCCTGCTTCCCCAAGACGTACTTCCTCACAGGGGAGCGGGACCCGCTCGTCGATGACACCATCGTCTTCGCCGGCCGGCTCCGGCGGGTCCGGGCGGCGGCGCACGCGTCCGGGGGCGCGCGCCTCGAGTACCGCGATTCGGACGCACTGGTCGACGGCTTCGACCAGAGGGACGCCGCCGAGGTGGCCCTCATCCCCCGCATCAGCCACGGCTTCCTCCAGTTCCCCACTGTCTACCCGCCCGCGTGGAAGCTGATCGACCGCTCGGCCAGCTGGATCGAGGACGCCTTCGCCGACGCCGAGAGGCGCGACAGGGAGCGGCGGAGGGTGGCTGCCGCCGCTGACGCCGCCAACGGCGTGGGCGCAGGGGCGGGTGCGGGCGCGAATGCGGCTAGGCACCACGCCCGTCAGGAGTCGAGCGGGGACGAGGACCGACCGCTGGAGATTGGCATGACCAGAGCCAGGGCTAAGTCGGTGAGGGACGAGGCGGGGAAGAAGTTGGCAGACGCAGACGCAGACGCAGACGTGGACGCCGGGGTAGAGGCGGTAGTCAATGGCGAGAAGGCGGCAAATGGGAAGGTGGGGAGGAGGAAAGGTGCAAAGGCGAGGGCGAAGGATAGGGATGATAAGAGCCTGGTCAAGCTGGATAGCTCGGATGACCTCCTGGGCCGTAGGATGCTCGGTCTTGCGGGAGGGTTGACGGGTTTGGGAGGGGAGGAATGAGATGTCGACGAGGTGTATCTAGGTAGTTACTTGCCTGTCTCATCTAGATGTATATGGATTCCCTGAAGGTGCTTTTTCTCGCTCCGAAAGGACCATGCAAACAGTTTTGGGCGATTCTGTGCTCTTGAAAACCATCTAGTCGCATACTGTCTACGTCGCGGAGTCGCGTACGGTGCTAGCAACAAAGGCAACGAAGGAGAATCCTAGATTTCTCATGGGTCACAGGAACAGCAAGGTATTCTCCGCGTACCTGTCAAGAATGTCCACTATTAACCTTCCCACGATGTTCCGCAATATGGAGCCAGTCCTAGTTAAGGACCAGTCGGGAATCTTGCTGAACCGGGGTGACGCTGCCCCGCTGAAGCTGTCAGAAGCTGGGAAGCAGAGCATTCTGCTTGACGAAGAGGTTCAAGCTGCAATCCAGGAGCAAGAGACCATTCGTGCCGCCATTCTGGAGAAACACCCAAGTCCTTCAGCAGCGGCAGGGAAGATCAATCCGTTGTGGGAAGAGTACAAGAAGGTTGACTTGTCTCGCAAATCTCTCATCTAAATCGGGACACGCCGTTTGTACGCCTAGAAATGCAATCAAACCAAGAGCAGGCAGCAGCAATGGCAGGAGCAGGCAGCAGTAACAGGAGGAAGCTAACTGCAGCTTCTCCTAACTGCCCGCTGCTATTAGCTGCTCCTGCGCCTGCCATTGCCATTGCCAGCTCCTTCTGTTACTGCTGCTTGTTCCTTCCTTTACTATCGCCTGCTCCTTCTATTACTGCTTCGCCTGCTCCTTCTGTTACTGCTGCCTACCTTGTAAATACTTCTGATATGATAGCCGCTAGGACTCTGCCAAGCAGTATTTGGTAATGAGAGACTTTCACGCAGCCACAGGCTTGCCCGTCATGCTGGCCAGTTGTGGCACCGGGGGGGCAAGGACTAAATGTGTGCAATGCGCGAACGTTCTGATACGGTGCGGACCTTGGTAGAAGGTGTCATGGGAGGAGCAGGCAGAAGCACAAGTTCATCGCCCTGGGCAGCTCAACCCTGTATTCGTCTACACGCTAAACGCTCGTAATTACAATGTCGAGGCATACAAGAGAAAGGTGAGGGACCGCAAGAAGAGGACTTATACGGCTATCATGCAGTCTATCACCAGGTTGGATGACACCTAACTTGGTACTCCAAGGTTTATCTCGTGATGCTAGTATTTGGTGGCGGGTTTTGCGTGTGCGTATTTCTGCGCGAAAAGGGGTGGAGGGATGGGTCTGTAGGAGCTTACAAGGTCGTCTCTGTGGGCAGACGGGTTCCGGGCTGCCAAAAATCTTTGGATAGTTGGAGCATAAAAAAGACCGAATCTCCGCGGATGCCGAAGCCTCGGCGCGCTGCTTCTCCTTCTTGGCACGCCGATTATTTTTTTCGGAGCCCATGCGTTGTCGTTGTCCTGGGCGATGGCCTGATCAGGGAGTCTTCCCTCGGCCTCGTAATCCTTGTTGGGATGGGAGTGGCTTGAAGGAAACCTGGCTTCCAATGAGTCGCGTGGGAGATAGCCGACTTTCCCAAGTGCCCTGATCTGAGGGCGACCTCGTCATCCTCTCCAAGCTCTCGTCTGATCGCAGCCAAATAAGCTCTCTCGACTTCGGCTTTTCGAAGGTTCGTGGCAGTGTAACGTGCTCTCAGAGGTCGGGTCTCCCAGTCCATTGCTTCGTAGCTGTCTGTGAGGGTCCGGTGCTCCCTCGCCAGCAGAGAGCACTCCCAGTCCCCAGTCTGACCGGTCAGCTGTTCGTGGCTGCGGAATGATCTATTAACGTGTGTTAGCAAGCGAATGGTGACAGTGGACATGAAACGGTGATGCGATGACGATCAAGAGTAATTTAGCAATAAGGATAGCAACGGCTAGTCAAATGCCCCTACCTTAACAGTTAGATGTACCTGCCTGAATAGTTGAATGCTCTTGCCCGAATACCTAACCACCCCTGCCCGAATAGCCAAATGCTCCTACCCGAATAGCTAAATGCCCCTGCCTGCGGAGACAACCTCGTCGGCAGTACCTGCCTGCGGTCAAATAAAGGAAGAGTGACTAAGTCCCCCATATCCAGGCAGGAAGCCAAGAACTCCCAAGATAGAGAGAACAAGATTTTGTTCTACTGGGTTGACAGTTACGCCCTCTTGAGCCTGCTCCACGGTCACCCCATCACGTCACTGACTCGCATGCGGCTCGCGTTTACTGACCTCGCTGAACGCTCACGGCTGAAGAAGGCGTAGCGAGGGGGGTGTTGACTGGCTAATATATCACTCGCATCATCTAGATGCTGGATGCGGTAACGCTGCGCCGTCCGCCAAGCACGATCCAGAGCATGGTGCAGCCCCTCTCCAAGCACATCGTCGAACTTGATCTGCCTAGGGATGAACTTGATCAGTCAAACATCGCATTCAAAGCATACAGGCAGACACTCCACGCCGCTTGCTCACGAACCCGGGCTAACGCGCAGGGGGGTAGATCGGGAGGAGATCACGATATTATGATAGCATAAAATTGTAAGCACGGCTACAAGTAACAAGGACCAAGTACTCGAAAAGGCACCGAATTTCGGGCTTTCTATTCTGTATGTCTTGTCAGGGCTAGGTACTTTGACTATATAGTACTGTGCTGAGCTTGGGTAGAACGTTGCGATATCCTTCAGCCGTTTAAGTCCCCTTACCCAGCTGTACTCCCCTTACCCAGCTACTCTTGCGCCAATCAGTACCCTGGTCGATAACCTCCAGGTGCAACCAGTTTAGGGGTTCCAGTACATGTGGCGCCCCCACGTCGCAATGGCGTGGGGAAGGTGTGCGGAGACTACGGCGGGCGGAGACGGCCGAAGCCCGCCTGCACCCACATGTTACCCTCCACCATAAGGTTTTCGCAGCGTTTCCCCATCAAACCCGCGCAATTGAGTTTGACTAGCATCAACGTCGCAAAGAAAACTTTCAAGGAATACTATAACCTAGGGTCCTACATAAGAATCGTGACGACAAAGAGCTTGTACGCGGAGCTATGGGTTAATCGCGGACTAACGTGGAGCTACGCCTTCACCTACGAGGAGTCGGCTAAGTATTTTGAAAAGGCTATCGCCGCCGACCCTGACCGCGCAATGCCCTATTGGGGTCTCGCCTACTCCCTGGGCCTCAAATACAACAAGACGTGGGACTTTTTCGATGACCATGACCTACAGACGACGGTGGACAAGGCCCACAGGGCAACTGCGTTGGCAGCCGAGAAGGTTGCGGCCGCCTGGCCCGTCGAAAAGGCGCTCGCCCATGCGATCCAGGCCCGGTACCCATGGGTCCATGATCAGCACGGTTCCCGCGAAGAGACCTCGATCTGGAGCCAAGAGTATGCCGAGGCCATGACAGCCGTCTGCCGAGAATTCCCCAACGACCTGGATGTCGCTGCCTTGTGCGTAGATGCACTCATGAACTTGACGCCCTGGAAGCTTTGGGATCTTCGGTCGAGGATCGCACTCGGAACGGTGGCGCCGCAAGTATTGGCAGATCGTGCTTAGGGCCGATTCTGGTCTTTGCACAGGAACTGCTGGGAACTTTGCCAGTCCTATTTCGAGGCTTGATGGCCATGAACTGCATTAGGACCCATTCAATTGGATGTCACGAGATGCCGAGGACATGGATGCGAAAGAGTGACAGCGAAGATCTAGTTCAGTTGTATTAGCAGCTAAGGGTAGTCTATTTGACGGACTCAGCTGCCATCTGACCCAGTATCATGGCTGTTCATCGGTCTGTCCCAAAGATTGTTCATCCCTGGGACAGGATAGGCCAGCAAATGCAGGTGGTCGCTCTCCTCGCAGAACCAGATGGCCGTCCCATAATCGGCCCTCCCAGTGTTTCTCCGTCGATGATAGGCGTTGTTCAGTTCTCTATCGTTCGTGAGAGGGATGGTCTCGCCTAACGAGGTCAGTGAAGAAGCTCCAAACCAGGTAGCCGTCACTGTGCGCCATGACGATGAAGTCATCATCCTCGAAAATGTGTATTGTGTTCCAGCCGATGGCTGCATCCAGTGTATTAGGCCACTCATCAAAATCGAGTGCGAAAGTAGATCTCTTGTAGATATCGGGCATCTCGACATCGGGCATCTCAGCAAGATCTCTCGCCATGGAGTCGGATGTCTCCGGATCGATTGTATTCCAGTCCATAATCCGCCGGCGCAGGTTTGTATGGTCTCGGCGTTCCTCATTCCTTTGTGGCGAAGCTGTATAAAGGAGGGGAGGGAACGCGCTGAGGAAAGGAGGGTCCACGTCTGGTGTCGCAATTACGGCAGTTTGAGCATGTGTAGTTTGACTATTCCACCGGGATACAGCGTATGATGAATGAAGGTGGTCGGGTCGGACACCTCCACGTCGAACCGAGAAGGATGACGTGAATATGTTGAAGATGACATGAGTGTTGCCGGCTGCATCGTCCGGCAATGGAAGCAGAGGGTCCCAATTATCGCCTGGTATTCTTGCGATTTCAAAGTCACCGTATGACCCAGCCCGTCGGCAGATCAACTCTAAATACCCCAAGTTCTCCTGGTAGATGGTTGAAATTTTACTTGGCGTGAAGAAAAAGGTTTCCGAGTACAGCCCCATGGTGAACTTGTAGACTACCAGCGACCGGTCCGAAGCAGTGGCTCCATAGAAGGAGTGGCCCTGTAGAGGGTCGACGAACAGCGTCATCGTATTCTGCGAAGGGTGGCGTCCAAAGAGCATCATGTCCGCAATGGGACTCGACATATCAACCGCACGAACCTGGTGCCCGAATGTCCAAACAGCCACATCGCTAATTCCTGAAGCTAGGACGACAACGTCGCCCACGGAAACACAAGACGTGGGAGGGCTTGGTAGAGTGATTTGTTGGAGTTCGTTCGATTCGAGGTGCCAGGCAAACCTGAAGATAAAGTAAGCACCACTACCCAAGCATAATATGGCGGTCATTCTCATCAAATATCCGGATCAGGGAGAGAGGTATGAAGTGGAAACACACATCCGGCGATCGACATTTACCACAACAAGCTTATCTCCAAGCGCTACCAGAATAGCGCTCTCTCCAAGCATTAGCAGATTGGGGACACGGTAGATCTTCCGCAGTTGCGTTCTTAAATCGTCGACGAAGACCACAGAATTCTCCGGGAATCCTAGCCCGCCGGGTTGCCAGGCTAGTCTTCCATCTGTATAACGGAGAGCGGTGTCGTCAAGATCCAGGAACAAATGCTCCCTGGTAAAGAGGCCCGGGCATTCAATCTCCCATGCGTGGTCCGGGGGGTGAAGTATTGGGTCCAGGGTGAAACGCTCCTCCAAATAACTCGCACGGTTCCTTAGCCACGGTTCAACATCCAGGGCGGACCGAAACTTTCCTAGAGATCGAAGGTGGTATCTGCGGGCGGCTTCAGTGAAAAGCCGCTCTGTGTCTTGCGCCACACCGGTGAGTTGCTCCTGGAGGGAGGTATATTCCAGGAAGCCAGGGAACCATCTCACAGCCAGGACTCCGAGAACATTCCTTTGAAGCCAAGCGGCTCTCCATTGTTTAGAAACGTTCAGCATGTTGGATATCTCGGTTCCATTGATGTATTCCGCAATAAGCATCAGCAACTCAACCGGCAGCCGGACGACGATGTCAGTTCGTAGGTCGACAGCGGAAAGATGTGCTGCCCACTCCCGAATTTCATGGTTTGTAAGGGCAGATACCAGATTCCGAAGATTCGCCCTCCTCAGCAGGACATCTTGGCCTAGAGAGGCCAGTTGCCGAGTGAGTAGATCATCCATGGATAGTCTTGGGACCGAGGAACATATTTATGCCCCGCTATGACTGCTTCCGCCTAGTACCTGATTTTTATACCTTATCCTGATTCTGAGATGGAGCTTGCGTTATGGAATTCCCTTGCTGTAGGAGCAAGAATCACAACACCTGCAGGCGCACTGACCAAGTTTGAGTCCAAACGGAAGCTGTTAAGCTGAAAAGTACCTCTACCCTTACACAGCACTCTCCAAATATTGACAAATATTGAGAAATCAAGCATCAGGAAGCGTAAAAGAGCTGATTAAATTTGATATACTAAAACACATAACTGTAAGATTATGTCGAGATTGATTTTTAAGGCTTTTTTTTGGTAGATGTTCAGAATGCTGCGCGTTTGCTCGTTAGATTGGTTTCAAGGTTCAAGGGGGAGAGACTTTGTGGAGGAACACACGCTAGTGGGCATGAGCTGTCCAGCCTTATTATTAGGTTGTTGTGATGATGTCAGCTGCAGTGCCTGCCCGCCCTCTTCCTCGTGCTTGCATCGCAGAGGTACACAACCTACTGCTCTCCCACTTCCGGTCGAATCCAACCCTCCATCCCGCCAGCCTCCTCGCAGACATGGCGGCTCCCCCCGCCAGCAACGGCGTCGGCGACTTCCGAGCCTCCGCCCCTCTCCTCCGATCACTCTCGACCTCGACCCTCGGCCCCGCGAGCATCTCCCCCACACACTCCACATCGGCGTCGTCACGGCCCTCGGGCCGGAGGCGGCACCGCGGCGGCGGCGGCGTGGCCGTGTCGCGGGCCGTGTCGTTCGCGTCGGCGCTCCTGTCGGCGCTGTGCGCCGGCTCCGTCACCGTCTTCAGCCTCTACGGCCACATCTTCCAGGAGCGCCTGCACTACTCGCAGTTCCAGGTCAACGGCCTCGCCATCGGCCTCGCCGTCGCCCTGTACCTGCCCGTGCCCCTGCTGGGCCTCGTGTGCGACCGCGTCGGCCCCGCGCCCCTGTCCCTCCTGGCCGCCGTGCTGTTCGCCGCCGGCTACGGCTTCGCCGCGGGGCTGTACCGCTGGGCGGCTAGCGACCCGGCAGCGCGCGGCGCCGGGGGGGAAGCACCCTGGGCGTATCCGGCCATGGTCGCTGCGTTCGTTGCCATCGGCGTGGCCACCTGCTCCATGTACCTCAGCGCCGTGGCGACGTGTGCCAAGAACTTCGGCAGGGGCCGGCACCGGGGCCTGGCGCTTGCGGCACCCATCGCGGCGTTCGGCCTCAGCGGCATGTGGGAAAGCCAGGTTGGGAGTCGACTGCTATACGAGACGCTGCCGGACGGGAGCAGGGGAGACGTGGATGTGTTTCGCTTCTTCGTCTTCCTCGCCGCGCTCCTGTTTGTCGTGGGGATTATTGGTACCTTTGGTCTGAGCATCGTCGATGAGAAGGACCTCATCGATGACGCCGTGGAAGAGTTGGAACGCAGCGGGATCCTGGACGGGAGCAGCGCACTCTTCAGCCCCGGTCGGCCGAATAGGGGATATGGTGCCATTGAATACTCCAACCCCTTCGGTGATGAGGACGACGCTGGCATTCTCGGGTCTTCCCACGACACTGATGGTGAGGAGGCACGGAAGACGAAGGACCGGGTGCTCAACGCCGAGACCAGGAGGTTTTTGACGGATCACACCATGTGGTTTTTTGCGTTCGGCTTCTTCTTTATGATCGGGCCCGGAGAGGCATTCATCAACAATCTCGGAACGGTCATCAAGACTCTCTATCCACCGGCGCTTAATTTCGTCGGGACTCCAACGTCTGCAGCCACGCACGTCTCCATAGTTGGCGTCACCAGTACGGTTGCCCGACTACTCACCGGCACCTTAACGGACATGTTGGCGCCCAGTCCACAGGCAACACACGTCCAGATCATGTCTTCGCAGACCCTGCAGAGGAAACGCTTCTCCGTCTCGCGGGTCGCATTCCTACTCTTCTTCGCCGTCATTCTGTCGCTAGGCTTGGTGTCGCTCGCGTCGGGCTTCATCCAGAATCACGGGAATCGCTTCTGGATAGTGTCGGGGTTGGTGGGGGCCGGATACGGCGCCGTGTTCAGCCTTACACCGATCATCATCACTGTCATCTGGGGTGTCGAGAACTTCGCGACGAACTGGGGTATTGTCGCCATGTTCCCTGCCCTTGGCTCCACGATGTGGGGGCTTGTCTACTCTGCTGTGTATCAGGCCGGAGCCAGGAGGCCGTCTGATGCGGCAGGGGGCGATAACGAAGATGACATATTCTGCTACGGCGCTCAGTGTTATGCCGCGACTTTCTGGGCCATGGCGGTCAGCGTCTGGATTGCGTGTGCTTTGGTTTTGTGGGCCTGGAAGGGCAGAAATGGTTGGTCCCAGAGAGGCATTATTATCTAGACTGCTCTGTATATCTATGTATACGTAGCATCCATGGGCGGAATACTTGCCCTTTCTTTTGTATAATTTACTCAAGTGCGCCTTCATGGTCTCGATATCCCACCCATGATTCGACAGTGTAATGAGTGCGAGTATACACAGTACAGGGTTTTCCATCCCAAACCAGCTCAAGCCATTCAGCGCACATTCTGATCAGCAAGGCAAGGCCAAATGGGCCGAGGAAAGCTCATATACTGACAATCCTGATCATTTCTATATTTTCTCCAATTTTTTTTACTTTTCAAGATGACATCCGCGGTCACCATTCCGGAACGGCGCCGAGCCAGGCCGAAGCAGGCAAAGAGCAAAGCGCAAGATGAGCAGGTCATGGGCGTAAGTGAGAGAAGCGATCGGAGTTTATCGGCTGTCCGTGGACTGAGGTTATCCGACTATGTAGACAAACAACAGCAGTATAGTGTCCAAGCGTAGTGTCGAGAGGCTGTACTATCCCAACGATGCTCACTTCTTTCGGTTCTTCGTCAAGAAATTCCAACGGAGAGCGCCTTTGATCAACAGGGGCTACTTTCTCCGACTCCATGTTATCGATGTTATCGTACGCAGCTTTCTCATGAGTCAGGGCGACAGACAGAAGGTTGTGGTGAACCTCGGGTGTGGGAGGTGAGTCGAATTCCGCTGCCCTGCCATACACTGTTTTCTCATCTGATGGCCTCCAGTGACGTCCTTCCATGGCAGTGCATGGACCGATATCCAAGTTACTGTGAAAACGCCACGTTTGTCGATATAGACTTCCCTGAGCTTATGAATAAGAAACGGGAGACGGTATTGAGCACTCCTGAACTCAGAGCCTGTCTCACGGGTCTCGAGACCAGCGACGACTCTCCAGTTTCGCTCAAGAGTGACCAGTACTATCAAGTCGGCTGTGACCTCGGTCATATAGACGTACTTCAGGCCTCTTTGTCTAGCATCGTTGACCTCTCGGCCTGCTGTTTTCTCTTTGTTGCCGAAGTCTCCATCACTTACATGGAGACGGAAGCAGCGGATGCTCTTGTACGATGGACTAGCACCCTTGGTCATAGTGAGTTCGACATTCCGTTCTCATTCACACGGACATTGTTGGCTAACCTGTTGAAGCTGAGTTCTGTCTTCTCGAACAAATCCTCCCAGATGGCCCAGACCACCCGTTCGCGAAAACCATGATCTCTCACTTCGAGAAGCTCAACACGCCGCTGAAGTCAGTCCACACATATCCGACTCTCCGAGACCAAGTTTCCCGCTTCTCCTCCCGAGGCTGGAGTTCTGTTGTAGCATGGACCTTGTGGGAAGCCTGGGCCAACAGTGCCTTCCTCACACCCAGCGCACGGCGAGAGCTGGACGACGTGGAACCATTTGACGAGTGGGAAGAATTTGCTCTGTTTGGCAGCCATTACTGTGTTGTTCATGCAAAGAGTCGCGAGGACCTCCCGGCCCTCAAACCCCCTCCTTTGGAGGGGAAGACCCAGTTCCCAGTTGAGCGGATCATGATGGATTATCAAGAGCATCCGGGCCAAAAGAGGCAACGTCGCTTTGGGGTTGCAATGTCGCTGGAGAGTCCATTGGGCGAAAGATTCATTGCCAATGTCATGGGTTCAGGAAATAGCTCACGCCTCTCTTCTTCTGACCTCTACAGAACTAGCGAGATATCGGGGGATATCGTTGTTAATGGCCATGGCCCAGCTGGACGGATGTGCCATACCTCGACTGAGATTGGCTCCAGCCGAGTGCTTATTGTTGGAGGTCGCACGTCACCTACCAACCCCTTGAAAGACTGTTGGCTGTTTGCCAGGGGGACAAACCGGTGGGAGAGATCCCATGACCTGCCAATCCCCCTATACCGTCATTCCGTCACCGGGCTTCGAAAATCGTTCTTGGTACTGCTTATCGGAGGCAAAACCGGTGCTTCGACCATCTTCGGGGGCTGTCTCCTTTTCCACCCAGAAAGGGGTTGGAGAAAATGTAATATTTCCGGCTACCCATACCAACCTGTGTTCGGTGCGAATTTTGTCTGGACAAGTCGAGAGAGCACCACAAAGCATAGTGGCCTCCTTGTTGGCGGGATCTCAGCAGATGCTGAGATTGCAGAACAGCTACTATCTTGGACATTGGACCTGGCCGACTTGGACGTAAGCTAGATGTCCTCCTACCCCTACCCCTATCCTATCGTCCAATCTAATGGCTGCAGAAACCGGTTATCTCTTTCCAGAACTTGTCCATGCCTACTACTATTCAGCGGAGGTTGCTGAATAGGTTCGGCGCAATGCCTTTCTATCGTGACGGGAATCTCATCCTCGTTGGTGGCGTCTCCAAAGACCACCTACTTTCTTGGGAACAGGAAATCCTGGGGTGTGAGGTGGCATCAAGATCGTTCGATATGCACTGCAAGCTTCCTGAGCCTGACATGCCTGGCGTTAGACCGACAGAGCGCCCACTGTTGGTTGGCCACTCAGCCGAAATATCAGAGGATGGAAGTATCGATGTCCTTGGCGGAGGGGCAACTTGCTTTTCCTTTGGGACCTTCTGGTCACTAGGAGCTTATACCATCCATACAGAGCGGTCCTGTAATAGCAGATCGCCAATGGTATTCCACAAGACTGTTGAGATACTACCAGAGATCGAGACAAGTCGGGGACCTCCACGACTAGGAGACGGGCCCCTCGAAGCGAAAATCACCACGATCCCTCGAGTGACCATCAAATCCAGCGAAGATTTCCAGATGCTACTCCAAGATGGGCAACCAGTAGTCCTTCAGGGACTGGATCTTGGCCCATGCACCACGCAATGGACCCTAGACCTGCTTTTAGATAAAGTCGGGAGAGATCATCAGGTAAGCTTCGACCCCTGGTTGCCGCAGAGATAACAGCGCTCACCGAAGTTGGCAGGTCGTAGTCCACGAGTCATCTTCCCGGGGGATGGATTTCAACACCAAGAACTTCCGATACGTGACCAAGACATTTGTAGATTTCGCCGCTGAGGTCAAGGAAGGCCGACGGGTTTATCTCCGGGCGCTGTCGGCCGCAGGGCCGGCCGACTTGCCAGCCAACCTAGCGAGAGACTTCCCGAGCCTCGCGCCGGAATTTGTGCTTCCAGCCGAGCTATCCTTTGTCTCGGACAACACATTCAGTTCCGTTCTACGGATATCTGGTCCGGTCAATATGTGGTTGCATTACGACGTAAGTATCGGACCCCCTTAACCAATCTGAATCGCACACAAGAGGATTGGGCCGCTTATGACTCTTCAGGTGATGGCAAACGTGTATTCCCAAATCAGTGGCTCAAAAAGGCTTCTGCTATTCCCCCCGTCTGACGTCCAACACCTCGGCTTTGCACCTGGCGCATCCAGCTCGAGTATCGACGTCTTCTCAAGCTTGGACTCCCCGTCGTTAGGGAGCACGCATCCCCACGAAGCCGTCTTGTCTCCCGGGGATGTCCTATTTCTCCCACCCCTGTGGCTCCATGCTGCCACTCCGACGTCAGACGTCAGCGTTGCCGTCAACGTATTCTTCCGCGACCTCGCGGGAGGCTACTCCACGGGCCGGGACATCTACGGCAACCGAGACTTGGCCGTGTACGAGAAGGGCCGCCAGGACATCGGCCGGCTCGTGAACGGCTTCCAGAAACTCCCGGCTTCGGTGAGAGAGTTCTATCTCCTGAGGTTGTCGGACGAACTCCGGCATAAATCCAAAGGCTGAATTCACAGGGGGGAGGGAGAGCCCTTCTCGGACCGCCCTCGTTGCCAGCTACTCGGCCTTTGGCGACGACCGTATCCTCATCCTCAGCCATGCCCACCATCTCCGGACTTGGTATCCGACCGGTTCCCCGTCCTCCCTCGCCTGCTCCAGCCCTCCCCTCCGCATCCCGCCGGGCAGGAGCCACCAGACGAACGAGACGAAGACAAGTGTCGCCAGCACGATCGGCTGCAGTTCGCCGACGCCTCTCCTCTCGGCGACGGCGCCGACGGCGAAGGGGAACAGCGCGCCGCCGCCGCCGCCCATTGCGGCGGCGAACCCGATGGCCGAGACGTGGTACCCGCTGGGCAGCAGCTTCGCGGCGGCGACGATGGCGGCGGGGAACAGCGGGCCCAGGAAGAAGCCGAGGAAGGCGACGAAGACGGACGAGGCGGCGCGGGCGGGCACGAGCCAGTACAGCAGCTGCAGGGCGATGCTGCAGGCGAGGTAGGCGGCGACGGCACCCTTCTCGCCGCCGGGGACGCGGCCCGTCACGAAGCCGAGGGCGACGCGCCCGACCGTCAGGCCGAGCCAGAAGAAGGTGGCCGTCAGGCCGGCCGCGAAGGGCGCCGCGTGCCGCACCTTGAGCATGAAGGTCACGATCCAGCCGCCCAGGCTGACCTCGGCGCCGACGTAGCCGAGCAGGAAGAGCGCCACCAGCCAGGCGGTGGGCTCGCGCAGCACGTGGCGCGTGGTCGTCCGGCCCGCGCCTGCCGAGGAGGAAGAGGAGTAGGAGGACTGATGCGCGCGGCGGTAGGCTTCAGCGGTGGCGTGCCGGAAGGCGGTCACAGCCAGGAGGCTCTCGAGGCCGCACATGCCGACCATGAGGTAGTAGAACGAGTACCAGGGGAGGCCGCCCTTAGCGACCATGGCGGTCGCGACAAGCGGCCCGATGGTGGCGCCGAGGCCGTAGGCGCCGTGCAGGAAGCCCAGCAGCTCGTTGGCCCGCTGCATGTTGCCGACCCAGGCGTTCCAGCCCGAGTCCTCGAGCCCGTTGCCGAAGCCCGGGAAGAGCAGCAGCACCGGCAGGGCCGGGTACGGCGGGTGGAAGGCCAGCGGTAGGTAGCCGACCAGCCGGCAGATGGGGCTGATGACCGCGACGCCCAGTTGGCCGAAGTGGTGGTGGATTAGGTTGTTCAGCAGTGCCGCCAGCAGGTATCCGACAAATGGGGCAAGGAATACGAGGGACAGGACGGTGTAACTAACGTCATAGTAGGTTTCAAGCTAGGTGTGTCAGTCAAGTGCAAGCTGTGGCCACGAGAGAAGATGCCTGGTTAGGCTGTTGTCATACATATGGGAGTAGCGCCTAGGTAACCCATTAGCTCCTAAAGGTCCTACATTGGGGGAACATTTCTAGTACTAACCCCCATAGCCCCATCGTTCATGCCCATTATGATAAAGGAGTAGAGCGTCGTGAAGAAGCGGTACATGTTTGCTCGCGGTTCGTTCCATTTCTGCAACGTCGCTTCCTGCCGCGGCGCACGGATTCCCTCCTCGTTCGTCGTATTCGAGGCAGACTGGGCATGGTCACACTTCTCGGGGTCAGAATCACCAGGTGGTGAGTGAGGCTTGTCGTCTCTCTGCTCCGCCGAGCTCCTTGCCTCGTCGGATGTTTCAACTTGGACAGAAGCGGACATGGTGGCAATACCGTCCAAGACAGACTGTCCCAAGCTTGTTAAAACTCGGACTGCTACACCCAGGTATGATATGTTACTCGGGGTCTATATCACAGCCGGCGGCAGAAAAGGATGCGAGGGAAGAGGGAACGCCATGTGACACAGCGTTGGACCCCGTCTGATTCAACCCTTTTATCCAACCCCGACATAACCATCTCGTGTGAAGAGAGGCTGCATTAGCCTCCGAGCAACGGCGGACTGGTCAGAACTGCATCAACTGTAGATGTACCATCCTGACGCAACGAACCACAGGGGCTCGATCCGGGTGGAGCGGGTTCTGCCGGCGTTCTGCCGGCGGCTCGCAGTGCCGGCGCGCGGGGGTTCCGCAGGAGGTCGAGACTGACCGCCGGTGTGCATTCTTTTGCGTCGTCTCGTCTGTGTGACGGTACATGTCATTGCAAATCAAAACCACGGGGATTCGCTAGGAGGTTGGTAGCCAGACTGCATATATGCCCGCTTATGCTCGTGCGCAGCGTGGCTATTCCCAACCTCGACGATGTCGGAAGCTTGCATCTCTGTGATGTTGAACGGCTTTCCAGGTATTTAATTCTCTACCTTGTGCAGCGTAACCAACAATCACCGGCTATTTGACTCGGAATTGCAACTCGGCAATACACTCTGTTCTGTTTCGTGATACAGTCCTGCTCCGTCTTAGCATTCCCGCCTCCCGAGAGTCCGGTCACTCAAGCCCGCAACCGACCGAGTTCTTCGGCCCGGTCCGCACCACGTGTTGGTTACATAATACTGACTGAGAGCCAGGCTGCCGATTGCCTCGTCTCAAGCAATTAACAATGAGCCGACATGCAGGAAGAGATTGGCTTGGAAACTGTCTCCACCAAGTCATAAAATCACAGGCGGAGAGCTCGGCACTCTAACCAGGGTAGGGCAGTGCTGTCTGTCGCTAGAGATGGCGTGCAACCTTCCATGGCCGCCACTGCAGCCCTAAAGTAAGCTGAACAACCATCAGATGACTGGCAAGTCAGCCGGGCGTAGGGCAAACCGTGTCTCGTTGGAACTCAAGATCACCGCCTCTCTTCGCAGTTCATCGAAAGCGGCCAGGATTGTCTCAGATGTACACGTGTACTTCAATCGCTATCATCGCAGTCGACATCAACGCACATCATCGGAGCTTCGTTCCTCTCCGACGAGGTTGATTGCTTATCGCCAGCGACCAGCATCCTGTTGTGTATACTGTCAAGCTTGCGCCCAGAGCCTTGTCTGGTGACATCATCGTTTACCCCGCCGGCCGCTGTGTGCGATCTGCAAGGCAAAGTTGTCTCATTTCGCAGTGATGGCCATATTATGGTCCCGCACTAGGAATACCCTCTGAGCAATGAGCTTCGAAGGGGCAATAATCAAGCCCTCGGGTCATTCTCTAGTGTGTCTGCTGATTAACGGCGGATCCCCAGAGATCGATCGCCTTCGACGGTACGCCCGGGGTCTTAGAAAGCTTGGGAGCCTCATCCCCATCCTCTCCTGCGATTGATTTTCACTTTTCCACCTTTCCACCTCCCTCACCAATCGCGGGCGCTTCACCGTATTTCTCGTCTCACCGATAGAAGGGGCTGAGGCCTTCGAGACCTCAAGCGTAGCAGCCCACTCGATTTCCAAGCCCTGTATAAGCTTCCCAGCTGAGGACCTCAAAGACCAGCCGCAACCTCTGGTGTGGTAGTACCACACCAGAGATAAATAGTTGATCTTCAGTCTCCTCTCCCCATCCAGCCGGCGGGGATTACGCAGCCAATCTGCCTGATCCTAGCCTGATCATCTAGTCCGGCCTGCTCAACTGCATCCTTTTCCTTCCATCATCTACATTCAGACCTCAAACCAAAAGAACCGCGTAACAATGTCCCACTCCTACCCCTACCCTAACGACGACGACGACGACTACGTACGCCACCGGCCCGCGTCGCGTCACCGCCGTGACTACTCACCAGACTACTACTCCGGGGGCGGCGGCGGCGGTCCCGCCGCCCCAAGGGCCTACGCCTCGGGCGCGATGCCAGCCCCTCCGCTGGCACCGTCTCCCCCGCCCCCGGGCCCCCAAGCCCGGCTGCGACACAACGACCTCAGACCGCTCTACCCCACCTCAACCAACGACCGCCTCGCCGTGCCGAACAGCAGCCGGCCGCGGCCGCGGTCGACCCCGCCCCTCAACAACAACGCCCTAGTGACGACGACCACCGCCACTACTACCAACAACAGGCCGCCCCACCGCGACCGCGACAGCAAGAGCCCGCTGTCGCGCGCCCGCCACGCGCTGCAGCACACCTTCACGCCGTCGGACTCGGGCCTCGGCGCGGGCGTGCTGGGCGCCATCGTGGGCGGGCTGGCGGCGCGGGAGGCGAGCAGCGCGGCGGCGTCGTCGGGTGGACGGAATCATCGGAGCGGCGGCGGCAGCGGCAGCAGTCACGGCCACGGCCAGCGGGAGTCGGCGGCGCTGCTGTCGACGATCGTCGGGGCGGCGGTTGGGGGACTGGGGGCAAATGCGCTGGAGAAGAGGTTGGAGGCTGGGAGGGAGAGGACGAGGACCGAGCAGGAGAGGTGGGAGGTGAAGTGGAGGGATGGGGATGGGGGTCGGGGTCGGGGCGGGGGTGGGGGTGGAGGTGGAGGTGGTGGTGGTGGTGGGAGGAGGGGGAGAGGGAGGGGCGGGGATGACCGGTCTGAGGGGGATAGCGAGCCGGATTATGTTTATGATAGGCGGCCGCGGCGGAGGGGGAGTGGTGAGGGGTTGAGGTATCGGTCGTGATATGGCTTTTTCTTCTTTTTCCTTTTGCGGGTCGGGGTATTTCATCTCTATGAAAGGTGTGTCGGCGTATCAGGGTTTGGAGAATTTCCTGGGCCAGACTGGGTTACGTTCCGGAGGCGCGGATATTATGGGATTCCTTACTGTCTCGGTTGAGATGATGATTATTATCGACGCACGAAATGAAATGCTTCTCGAGTCGGTCGTTATCCCTTTAAATTGAGGCTTTGGTCGTTCTGTAACTTGATAGTATCTTGATAAATTGAAGCCATTTTTGTCATCGCTGATCCCCCCAAGACTTTGGATTCATTCCCTTCACCAACTCCTGCTCTTTATCCGTCACATAACCACACTCAGGATGTCATAACACTAGAGATGACCAATATGCGATGAGGGTATTCATTCATGCCTTTAAGTGACTACCTAGGATTATAGGATGAGAAAACAAACATATTAGAAACCATAAAAAATGAAGCGTCTTTACTCGAGAGCGCCAGAATGAAGAGAATTAAAAAGGGAAAGGAAAATCAAGGGAAACTTAAAAGGGGGTGATTGGGGAGGGGGGATTCGCACACGCTCAGCCATCCGGTGGGTTCCTCCTACCCTTGACATTGCCCAGGGCACCAAAATAGAATCATCGGACAAGAAATATACATAATACAAGCCACAAGGAGTGAAACGCCTTCGCCCTTCTATTCTCCTACTTTTCCCGCTTCTTTGTCGGGGGGTTGGTAATCCTTGAGCAGCGAGAAGTCAGTATCAAGCACTATCAAGAACGTATCGCAAGGGCCGGCAAAGATTTACCATGATCACGGATTGGGTGAAACGGGCGATGCGCCCGAGTCTTCCGGGCTACGTGGGGTAGGCAAAGTCGAGCCCAAGCCCCGGCCCCGGCCGGGACTCGGGTCGCAGCAATTCTTCGAGGAAATCCCCCTCGGGCAAGTATCTCCAGAATTCCGGGTCCTCGAGATACAGCAGCGGCGTCTGGGGCTCGGGGACCGGATCGGGCTGCTGCTGCTGCTGCTGCTGCTTGTGGCCGACCTGCGCCGCGCGCTCGGTGCTCGGCGGCGCGGGCGACTCGACCGGGCTGCCGGGCGTCGCCTGCCTGGCAGGGGTGATGGTGGTGGTGGCGGGGTCGGGCGAGGACGAGCGCCGGTCACCACCACCACCGGCGGCGGCGGCGGCGCGGTCGGCAAAGTCGCGGAGCAGCTTGAGCTCCAGGTTCTTGAAGATCTCGATAGCCTTGTTCTTCATGTTCTCCTCGACGCAGTTGAGCTCCTGCTCGACGGCGAACTCGAGCTCGCGCCGGACGCGCGCGGGCATCTCCCGGAGCAGGTAGCGCTCGTACTCTACGAGCTCGGGTCCTCCCCGCTTGCCGCCGCTGAGGACTTTGCGGGGGCCGCCGCCGCACTCGCCTTCGTCATCGTCGTAGACTGCGAAGCAATTGGTATTAGGACAGGTTATCTCATGTATTTTCTCCCGTTGTTTTCCTTCTCTCTTACCCCCCCAGTTCCTCCTTTTATTCACACTTTCTTTCTTTCTGCCCTGTCTCTTTTCCGGGGCTCGAGTAGCAAGGGGGAGGGGGAGGTGGGTTTCCCGTACATGGAGATGGAACATGATCGCCAGGGAAGAGGAGACGGTAGACGTCCTTCCACTTTTCAACCTCAGGAGAAGATGCCTTCTGGCGGGAGCGAAGGATCTTCTGCGTCGCCTGGTCAAAATACCCGTCCCAGGGGTTCTCCCGTTCCAGCGGACAGCGCGTCGCAGCGCGCTGGTGGTCGCCGTACTCAGCCTCGGACTTGAATGTTTTGTAACAGCGGAGACAGAGATGTTTTGGCAAAGCGTGTCTCCGTAGTAGGTGTTCCCTTGGAGTTCTGTCAGCTTTTTATGACTCGGACAAGGATGTCTGGGACATGGGGGAGGGGGCGAATCACTTCAACCTATGCACAGTCGTCCACCCGGGGCCGCAGCATGTTCTCTCATTCCTGTACCTATCGGGGTTATGCTTGAAGTATGGGCATGCAAACCGGCGTTCAGCTGTCTTCTTGGCTCGCTTGTTGCCGTTTCTATCACCAAAATTGCCATCCCCGAGATCGTCGGCTCCGTCGTCATCGCTGTCAATGAGCTGTCTCTTCTGGCCCCCGAGGGGCTGCTGGTTCCCGGACTTGCCTTTGCTTGTCGACGGTTTGCCTGGCTGGTGCGAGCCACTGCCATTCCCCGAATCATGACCGAATTCAAGCTGGGCAAGGGTAGCGTGGAAGGCTTCGTTGAAAACTGCCATTCCAATATCTACGAGTTCCCTCTTCTTGCGCTCCAGAGCGCTCTCGTGTGGCCAGTCGGGTTCGGGACTAGTTGGAGGACTCTCCAAATCGGACAAGTTCATGTCACTGCTTATGACACTGGAGCAACTGTCCTCGCTGGTATCAGAGTCGCCTGCTTCCTCTACCTCTTCCGCTGCAGCCCTAGCCGTTCTGAGTCCTGACTTGACTGAGGGCGTAGAGCTGCATGACGAAGGTCGACTGTTTCAACATGGCTTAAGTTTAGTACTAGAGCATGAGATAGTGAAGGGGGGGAGTGCTGAGAGGGGCGTGTGGGTGGTGGCGTGCGATGGAGTAAACGGGTTGAGGACGCACCTTTGGTGTGCTTTTGTCTGTTTATTCTCTGTGCCTGGACTAACGACAGTAGATGTAACTGACAAAGTCGTGGCCTATCATCATCGTAAGCACACATGCCGGGTAACGGAGAGATGAAGGCTTACAGAGTTCTTGTGAGTATCTCGCGGCGAGGAAGCTTGACCGGCTGAAGGTCTCGAGGGTTTCTTCTGGGCTGGTGATCCCGAGGCCCTGACCATGCTTCGGGAATCGAGTCGGCGTATAGGTGTTGACAATTTGGACGAGGGACTTCGTCGCGAACCGTGTTTCCACCCGAACCCTGTGGAGGTCAGGTGCTTGTACTGGTGCTGAAAGTCGAGAACGTAATTCTGAGGACCGGGAAAGGTCAAGAGTTGTAAGGGTGCCGACACGCAGCAGATCATACTTCAAGGAAGTTGGTATTGAGTGCTAGTCGCAAGGCTGCGTTTGGAGCGATCGAGTCATTATGTGCAAGTCGTGAAACCGCCAGAACCCTTGTCTTAAGCCAATTCTCTTGATGACAAGAATTGTAAGACATCAACACTCAGTGATGGCAGCAATGGCGATGTTGAGGGTCTCCGGGTATAAACGGTACCAAGACTGACAGATGACCGACTGACATCCATGGTATATACTCGTGCGGAACTGCGCAAATGCGCTCATCGCACCCCGTGTGCCCCCCCGTGTTCCCCCCCGCCCTTCCCACCCGCGTGGAGCCATTCTGGATTATCCAATCCCACATGCAGGTATCTTCAACGCAATTGAGCAGACAGTAAGGCTGGAAGGCAACGGCGCGGGACTGGCTGACAGCGTGCAGGAGGCGGCCGAGATTGGTTAGACCCAGAGGCACGACATTTCCATGACCACTTCGTGTCTGTAGATGATAGGACGCGGAGAAGTGCGGGACGAGGTGCAATTGCTCAATTGCGAGCTGCATCTAGGCATGATGTACATCTGAGGCCTCGCATAAACTGTCCATGAGGGGCCTCACCCCATGCCTTATCAACCATTGTTGGCACAATTGGGCCGAGTGGCAGAGCCTTGCTGCGGCCCTCACACCTATCCCGAAGCTGAACCTGACGTATGTTCTTGGACGAGCCCCGTAAGGCTGGGGAGTGTCATGCATAGTGCGTGTATGCGGAGACGCGACTATCCTGCCAACCGAAGCATAAACCAGGCCGTCCGAGAGAGAATGGCTCAAGTGCGGAGACAAATGGTGACCGAAACGGCTGCGGGTGGATCTCGCGGGATCTCCGCCCGCGCTGAAAAGGCCCTGAGATATGGTTCTCGATGCCGCGGATGCGCAGAGTACTCCAATGTTCGCAGCGCGCACACAAGCGCGACGTTGAGAGCCGAGATGGCTTGGAATACGGAACTGTCTTCGGTATAAAGAGGCGTTGAAGGCATTTGGAGCATTGCCCACGACGAAGAAGAGCAGGAACAAGAATAAGGGCATGCACACGCACCGAGAGTCTCTCCTGAGTCTCTCCTGAAAGAGACAGAAACTGAATTATAAACCCTCAGAGGTCTTGTCGGAAGTATCAAGACTGATCAGCACCGGATCCTGTCAACCAACCATCCAACCAATCCACGATGTCCCAACAGACGTCCATCACCGTGGCTGTCTCCGGAGACGAGTAGGTTAGCCCCTGATAAGAGAGAAGCCAGCTAAACAAATATCAGAATCGGGACTCAAGACCCGTCGTTCGCCCTCGAACATTACCTCGATGGCGAACAAACCGTCGAGGAGAGGCTTCTGGGAGGAACTGCCGACATGGAGAGGGCGAGGAAGATCAGGGACGAGGCGGACAGACTGGGCTGTATAATTTCTGAGCCTGCAAGTCACACCCAGAACTGAACTGAGGCGGGCTTGGCTGTGTGTTGTTGATTTGTGACTGTAGTGTGGGATATTGGCTGGAGAATTTTAATATCGAACTTGGCTCACCAACGTCCTTCTCCTTTCTTATATCCGTCCGAGAGCTATCCGCGAGCCATGGTATATTGGGCAAGGGTAAATCAAGAGGGGTCGAGCTCCTAAGAGTCATCTTGGAGTCCCCGAGACTGGGTCGTTCATCGTGACCCAACCAAGGAGATATTCCCAGTAATGTAAAGTGTCCATATCATGGTATATCCTGGGAGAGGGACCGATACCCCATGTAAGGTAGGATTCCCTTCGATTCCCAATCGGAGGCTTGAGTGAAGGAGCCAGAAGAAGCTTGCAAACATGAGGGAAGTAATGAAACCGGAGACCCCCATAAGCCCGCGGTGTGGTATGTATGGTAGACATGGACTGGCTGTTCCGGCGTCATAGGCGGCTTTACTTGTTAGCCGTGTTCTCCTATCCGAGTGTGGTATTCAAAGCAAAATCATACTAACGAGACTGGTTGTCGCGCTAAGGCTGGGTTAAACCTTTGAAGCTTATCTCAACTTCGCATCTGTGTGGACGCGGCAACTTCCAGAGGAGGTATGTAGGTACATTTCTTGCGGCATCCCACCCCCCGCCATGGACTGTACATACAATACATACCTAGGTACCTAATTACTCAGCACTAAAGCCTGCTGTTTTGACCCAAACCACCACCCATTTAGGAGGAGGTTTTTAGGAGTGCCGTCCGAACCCCAACTCCACTCCCGATGGGTAACATCATCTCGGCCCTAGCAGGGGTCGCTAAGAGCATAAAGAGCATCATTTCCGCCTTTCGGAGCATTTCCGCCGACTACAACGCCCTCCTGGCGCGCGTAAACAGCCCAGCCGGTCTGCCGGTCGACTCTCCCACCGAGTCCTATTGGTTCGACCAGCCGCCTTTCCCGGAGCTGGTGAACGCCCAGTCGCCCGTGTTCCCGGAGGAGGCAGACGTGGTCATCATAGGTTCCGGCATCACCGGGGCGGCGGTCGCGAGGACGATCCTGCACGAATGGCGGCGGAAGGGCGAGGATGACAACAAGCGGGTGGTCGTCCTTGAGGCGCGTCAGATCTGCTCTGGGGCGACCGGGCGCAATGGCGGTCACATCAAGGCAAGTCCGCACGAGATGGTTGGTCGTCTCCAGAAGAAGATGTCGCCCGACCGAGCCGCGTCCTTGGTTCGCTTCCAGCTGAGGCATCTCGAGACCCTGGTTGGGCTGTGCAGCGCCGAAAGCATCGACGTCGCCGAGTGTCGGGAGGTGGAGACGGTGGATTACTACGTAGAGGAGTCGCTTTACGAGGAGGCGGTCAAACAAATCGAGTATCTTCGGAAGTGGGTACCTGAATTCAAAATGACTGCTTGGACTGCCAGTGAGGCTCAGAAGGTAGGCAGCTTGTGCTCACCCCACCGTCTCCATGGAGATGACATGACCTAACGGGATACCCAGAGATTCTCCGTCAATCACTTTGTAGTTGGGGCGATATCGTACAAAGCCGGCGCTCTGTGGCCTTACCGGTTTGTAACGTCTATATGGAAGAGCCTCCTGAACGAGTTCCCCGAGAAGCTGTCGATAGAGACTCATACGCCTGTTTCCACCGTGACGTCTACACCTGATTCGGAATTCCCTCTTGACGTAACTACCAACAGAGGGGTTATTCGCAGCAGGCACGTTGTCCATGCGACCAACGCATTTGCAAGCCACCTCGTGCCAGGATTTAGGGGTAAGATGACAAGTCTTCTAGCCCACATGTCAGCCCAACGACCAGGGAAGAACTTCCCCGACCATAACGGTCAACGATCGTGGTCCGTGATATACGGAAATGGTTTCGACTATGCGACACAGCGGCCGACTACCGCCGGAGTGCCTGGCGATATCATGATCGGGGGAGGATTTGGCCAGTCCAAGAAACAAGGGTTGGACCAACTTGGGGTGTATGATGATAGCAAGATCGACGCCTTGACGGCGGCCCATATTCTAGGCATCATGCCGACGATATTCGAATCCAACTGGGCCGGAGATATTGACGGCAGAGCAAAAAAGGTCTGGACTGGTGTGGTTGCTCTCACAGCCGACTTCCTCCCGTTTGTTGGGCGACTGGACCCGCGTTTGACCGGGCGGAAGGCCACAAAATCAAGTAGAGCTGGTCAAAGCCAGGCTGGAGAGTGGACGGCCGCTGGTTTCGTCGGCGATGGGATGGTCTGGGCGTGGCTTTCGGGGACTGCCCTTGGTGTGATGATTGCAGGGAGCGAAGACGAAGATCTGCCCACTGCACCGGGAAGACCTGCTGGGCGATTGAGGGATTGGTTCCCTGACGAGCTCCTTCCCACCCATGAGAGGATAAAGCGCATGGATGTAGCGGATCTAGCGGACGGGATCATATAGAGAAGGAAGGAGTCATTGATAGGTTCTGAACACGGCAGTCCCGACCCCGGAAACCTGCAGTACTTAGGTACAGACAAATAGGTACCTAGGTATTTCCTCAGCTTTACCTGCCCAGTTGGATCAAAGTGAGCAAATCTAGAAAAAGGAAGGAACGATAGAGCCTTGGGCACCTCAACTAAACCCCCACGTCCCCTCACCCATATTCCTTTTTCCACCTTCCAACTCGAGCCTTCTAATTTGTCCTTCGTTTCTCCTCTTCGTGCGAGAGGTTCTTCATATTGCCGATATTGTCATTTTGCCCTCTCGATGTCCTTCAGCCATGGCTGTAGAATGTTATGAATGTTATACCTGCGAAAAGGCGTTTCCTGCTGGGTGGCAGGCTCGCGAGAACCACTGCCGAGCCACCGGCCACAGCGCCCCTCCGTTTGAGTGCGACACGTGCCCGAGATACTTCGGGAGCCAGCGTGCTTGCAATGATCATATGAACACCCTGGATCATTTCGCCGATGACTCGGACGACTCCTACGAGTGCGACATATGCGATGAGACTTGGCCCTCGGAGGAGGACCTCATGGAGCATGAGATCCGCGACCACTATTACTGCGACGAGTGTGATCGGACTTTCCAAAGTTACAATAATATCCGCGCAGTCAGTCTCACCCATCCCTTCTCAGCTACCCGCCACTGATAATTGAGCCTAGCATCTCAACTCGCGAACCCACCGAGGCCAAGAGATCGAATGTTGCTTCTGCAGGAAGCGTTACACGACCGCCACCGGACTCGTTCATCATCTAGAGTCTGGGTCGTGTCCCATGGCCCGCGATGTTGACCGTGACGAGATCTACAAGCGGGTGAGGGCTCGGGATCCTGGGGGTGTGATCACCAAGAAACTCATCGGGTGGGAAGGCACACCATCCTACGAGGCAAACAGCCGCTCCTGGAATGGTTGTGCTTACGAGTGCTATCTCTGCCACCGAGAGTTCACTACCCTCGGCAGCTTAAACCAGCATCTCAACTCGCAGGCTCGTGAGTATACCGCCATTTCCCTGCACCCTCCTGTCCCGGCGTCTAACTTCGTTTTCCTCAGACCAGAGCAGCCTCTACCACTGCCCCAAGTGCCGGACGGAATTCAAGAGCCTAGCTTCCTTCTTCAATCATCTGGAGAGCGAAGCTTGCGGATACATGAAGTTCCAGACCGTTCAAGACAGAGTTGGGGAAATGGTCCGGGGTGGTCGACTTCTAACACATTGAGATGGGATCTGATTCTCGTTGAAACGCCCCTTCCCCGGGGTAGTGGTTGGATGTGCCAGGTGCTTGCTCTGCTGTTATTTCCATGTGGACGGAGTGTTTCAACAGAAGCATCTCTTATTTGGCGTTTAGGATGTATTCCAGTCTGGTGTGGACTACGGGTCACAGACCATAAGAATATGAGAATGGGAAACCAAATGACTGTGTTGTGTTCTCCAGTACGGATCCGTACAAGAGCTCTCCACATAGAATTGGTGGTGGGGATGACGTCACAGCTCATACAGGAGCATCAGCCAACTGATCCTACCTACCTCGGTACTACGCATAGCTGTGCCAACAAGCCATCGATCTCGGAACATGTAGCGAGTGCGGTCTCATGACCTGACTTTGAACTTTAGTCTCGCCTCATCTTTTATTTCTAAAGCTCAAACCACTCATACCACACCCTATCAAGCCACGACACCCTTCGTACTTGTCACGCTCAACGGTAGTATCCCCGCTCGGTATCTCCCCACCTTACTCACTCCTCTACCAAAGACAACGGGGGGTTTTACCAAAGTCCGAGAAGGAAGGAAAAAAGAGGAAGAAGAAGAAGAAAAAAAGACAATGTCACCCACCAAGATCCGCCTCGCGACAGCCTCGCCCCCAAGCCAGGCCACGGCGGCCGAGACTCTGGCCCAGCTATCCCGACTGGCCCGGCGGGTGGGGTCGGCGGGGTCGGCGGCGGCGGACATCCTGCTCCTGCCCGAGGCATACGTCGGCGGGTACCCGCGGGGCGCGTCGTTCGGCGCCGTCGTCGGGGGCAGGTCGGCCGCGGGCCGGGACGAGTACCTCGCCTACTTCCGCGGGGCTGTCGATCTTGGCGATGCTGTCGGCGAGGGGGGTGCCGGGGCTGGTGATAAGTGGGTGAGGCGGGAGATTGGGGGTGTGGGAGAGGGGGCGCATGTGGAGGGGGAGGGGTCGCCGAGGAGGGGGGATGGGACGCGCGAGGAGCTGGAGCGGATTGCGAGGGAGAATGGGCTGTTTCTGGTCGTGGGGTGTATCGAGAAGGCGGGGGGCAGCTTGTACTGCTCTGTTGTGTATGTGTGCCCGAAGCTGGGAGCCATTGGGAAGCGGCGGAAGGTGATGCCGGTGAGTTAAAAAACCATTGCTGTTGGGGTGTGTGCCGGCCGGACTGACTCGCGGACAGACCGGCAGTGAGCGCCTCGTCTGGGCCCAGGGCTCGCCTGCAACCCTGAAGGCTGTGAGCACGACTATCAAGGGAGTCCGGATCAACCTCGCCGCGGCGATCTGCTGGGAGAACTACATGCCCCTCGTCAGACAGGCGCTGTACGCCCAGAACATCAACCTGTATCTGGCGCCCACGGCCGACGCGAGGGACTCGTGGCTGGCCTTGATGCGGACGGTGGCCATCGAAGGGCGCTGCTTCGTGGTGACCTCGAACATGTGCGTCCGGGCGAAAGGCAGCCAGGCGCCGGCGAACGGGGTGGATCGTGGGGAGGGCCGAGAGGAAGGCCACAGGGCCGGCGGCCGGGAAGCCGCCCCTCGGGAGGCCCCACCGCGGCGGAACTCGTGCCTGACGGAGGAAGGGTTCGAGATCGCGCTGCCGTCGCCTACTTCCCGGAGGACGAGCAAGCGGAGGCAGTCCATCTTCGACGAGGATGGCAATGAGATCGTCCTCAGCTGCAAGGGCTCCGCCGCCGTCGACGACGCCATCGAGGAGTCGCCCCTGTCCCCGCCGCTCGGCGAGCCACCGAAGCAGGCGGAGAAGACGACCGCTGCCGGCAGCTTTGAGTGTCGCGGCGGCTCCGCCATCGTATCGCCCTTTGGAGACGTCCTCGCTGGGCCGCAGTGGGAGGACGACGAGGGCATTATCTACGCCGATGTCGACTTCGACGAGTGCATCAGGGGCCGGCTGGATATCGACACGGCCGGAAGCTACTCGAGGTACGGATGGATCTCTTCTTGCGTCACATCACAGGTATGGCACCCGATGCGAAGCTTGATGGCTAATTCGGCTCTCTAGGAATGATTCGTTCAAGTTCTCGGTCCAAGGTCTGGACTTGGACCCTTTGCCTTACTGATGGGCATGTGCATATTTACATTGGGGTTTGCACATGAACTGCTTTAAGCTCGTTCAAAGGGCATCATGAGATTGTATTAATCGCTACCCCTTTTTGGCGCCAAGCTAGTTGAAAATTGATAATATCTCGATGCTTGCGCATAACCGTGGTCTCCATCACTTCCAAACCAGTATTATGCCCAGAATTCAATCGCATCGTTCCCTTGACCTCATCCGAATCCATAGCCGATAATGCTTATCCCTTGCGACCGAAGCCAACAACTCCACAAACACAATCCTGAAGAGGAAAAAAATGGTATCCCCACCCGTATCCCAGACCTGTCGTTCCCTTGCTCAACCATGCCTTCTTAATCCTTCGCGTCACGCCCGTACTCCCTGTTCTCGCCCCCTGGCTTGTAACGCTCTTCGTCCTCCTCAACTCTCTCTCCCACTCTGCCGTCCTCCTTCTCCTTCTCCAACACCACCTCCCACGGGCTCGCCAGCGGACTAGTCGCCATCCCGCCGATGCTGCCTGTGACGCTGTCAGCCCTGCCATGGCCCAAAAGCCCGCTCCTGACGCTGGCACCGTCGCCGCCGCCGGCGGGCCCGCCCATGCCCTGCTTGGCGTAGAGGCTGTTGCGCTCGCTGGCCAGGATCCCCGTCGTCGAGTAGATGCTGGTGCGCTCGTTGGCCACGGCACCCGCGGCCGCGGCCGCGGCGCCGCGGTGGAGGCCCGGCGTCGTGGGCCCGACGCCGTCGACGGTCGCGCTCAGCACGCTGAGGGGCAGCGACTCGCGGCTGCCGCCGAACAGGGACGACGGCGCCAGGGCCCGTACCGAGGCGTCCGTGTCGAGGGAGCGGCGGCGGCGGCGCTTGGACGACGACGCGAGGGTCAGGATCGAGGCGTTGTCCGTCAGGAGGTTGTTGGCCGTGGCGGTGGAGTAGGTGGTCGGATGGCCCGGCGTGCTGAGGGAGGGGGTGAGGTGGGCAGGGATGGCGGATGCGGGGGAGGCTGTGGGGAAGGGCTGGTCGAAGTGGATGACTTGGGAGTTGGAAGGGTGGGAATGGTGCCCGTGGTGGCTGCTTATGTTGGTGTTGGTCGGGTTGGTGTTTTGGAACCCGTTTGGAGCCATCGACTGGATGGTCGTGAGGGTTGTGGTGAGGGAGCGCACAGAGGGGGCCGGCGAGGAGAATGTACTATCGCCGCCTCTACGGGACTCGAGGCCGCCGTTGGCCGTGCGGCTAGTTCCAGCCAGGGATGAGGCGCCGTGCGACCGAGTTGTTATCGATCGCGAGGTTTCGTGGTCCGTTGACACGGTAGGGGCCATAGACCTAGTGCCGCCAGTGGGAGGCACTCGACCTTCGACGGAGGAGCGAATGGAGCTGCCCCGCCCCAGGGATGTAGCGCTCGACGTCCTGGTGCTACGGGCCGTCGAGAAAGAGTAATGGCTGTTCTGCGTGCCAGGGCTAGTCCCTATCCTCCCAGATAGCGGGTACGGGTTGTTGTTTTTGGAATGTCCCTTCTTAGAAGTAGTATTGTTTCGTTTCGAATTTGCGAGGCGGTTGCCGTCGGCAGAGGATGCACCCTTGAGGTTGGCAAGCTTCCTCATCAGGGTAGAGAACGGCCGCCGCCGGCCCACTCGGTCTGGCCGATCTGGCATTTTGTCAGTGTCAACACATTGGAGTAATGGAGGGGAGGGGCTGCTTCTGCCCCCGAACTTCGTTGGGAAGCGAGGCATCGTGCAGTTAGATCCGTAGGTGGGAGGCAATGGAAGGGAGAGGGGACGGGTGATTTACCATGAGGTTGGGGCGTCGTTTCAGCCATGGCCATGTGGACGCGGGCAACTTGATAAGAGGAACAGCAGATCGTCGAGGCGTAGTGTTTAGGCGGATAATGCGCGAGCTTCAGCCTTGCTCTTGGCTAAGGAGCGACAGCACGAGATACCGACAACGAAACGAAGGGAGGCAGCGAGAGTCCAGTGATAAGCTGAGTACGGAAAGGGGAGAGGGCTGGGACTCAAAGCCCGGGTCAATAAAGGGAGAATGAATAGCAGATTAGCATCTCTCGTATGGACTCAGGCCCGCCGGGAAGCTTCGGGGATAATAAAGAGTGCTTGAGAAATTAGGCTAACTGATAATGAACCAGAACCTCGGGTTTCGTTTCTACTGCGTAAATGACGGAGTCGTCGAGGCTCAATGACAGGGCGGAGGTTGATTGGTCTGAGCTTCTGCACTAGACTCACCCCTCCACGTGACTTACTTGAACTCTACCATCCTACCTACCTAATGCATTTCGTCACACCGTTCCATCCAGGCAGCTTCCATGTTAACAGATTCCAGTCGTCATGAATATGGCAAGAATGGAGCTGGTTTCCGACCCGTGATATCCTCTGGTTTCGGAGACATTGGCGATCATCGAAGGCCTGCCTTGTTGGCGGAACACACGAAACGGAGACGCAATGTTCGGCCAACAACTGCCATGTCTATCAAGCAGCTTCCTGAGGATGTTGCAGCTCAGATCAAGTCCTCGGTGGCTATTACCTCGCTGAACCATGTTGTCTGTGGGCTTGTCAAAAACTCGCTAGATGCTGGCGCATCAAGGGTCAACGTCTCTGTTGACTATCGCCGGGGAAACTGCTCGGTCGAAGATGACGGTCACGGAATCCCTCCATCTGACTTCCAGAAAGGTGGCGGCCTAGGGAAGCTTTACTGTGAATGACCCGCCCCAAGTGCCGTTTCCGAGTTGTCATTAACCCGAGTCTCAGACACCTCCAAGTACCCCCCTCAGCCCAACCGCCATGGGAGGCATGGCACCTTTCTGGCATCCCTGGCAGCCTTATCTCTCTTGTCGATCACTTCGCATCACAATGAATACAACTCGCACAATTCCTTGTCCATCCACAACTCCAACCTTATTGCTCGCAACACCCCTGCGCTACCAGAGCAGAGAGTGTTGACTTTTCCCCATGGAACGAGAGTCACTGTTCGCGACTTGTTTGGTTCTATGCCAGTTCGCGTCAAGCAACGAGCCCTGGAGCTTGAGAGGTCGGGTTATAGTAAAACCTTGGACCAGGTAGTCTTTGTTCTCGTCGCCTTGACTATTGCTTGGCCTGGAGATGTATCCATCACCCTGAGAGACGCAAGTAGCCACCAAACACTGACCTTACGGACTGGGGAACCTGGAAATCAGCGGGCTGGCCAGCTTCATACCGACTCGTCGCTTATTCTTTCACGTACTCCGAGACTTCTTGCTCAAGCGTCCCTGTACGACGGGGCGGCTGTGGAGTCATGGGTACCCATCGGAGCTTCCGCGCCGGGTGTTTCCATTAGTGGATGCGTGTGCCTCCTGCCCGTTGCTACAAAGCGTTTGCAATTTCTGACGATTGGAATCGAGCCGTTTCTGAACGAATACAGCTCGAATTTTCTCTATGAGGAGATCAACCGTGTCTTCGCTAATTCTGCCTTTGGAGTGTCGGATGGGGAATGCGATCCGGATGGCCTGGATGTGAATGAGAAGGATGGCGTGCCAAAAAGCAGGGACCTCAAGACAAGGAAAGACATTGATCGTTGGCCGATATTCTACCTGCAAATCGCTCTCCATGGCCAACCCTTCGGAAAGCTATCCGGCTTAGAGGATCTTTTCGATAACGGAACGCAGGGTCTGACAACGATCACTGATCTCCTGCGGGTCATGTCTTATGAGTTCCTGAAAAAGCACCATTTCCGGCCAAAGCCAGTTCGAGCCTCCCCTGAATCCGACTTCTCCGACCCTGAATCTGCAACCTCGTCCAAGGCTCGGTCTGTTGTAACGCTATCACAGCCTGTCCCCGATTCGACAGTGAGGGGTCACCGAAAGTCTCACTCGCCCTTCGCAACCGATGATTCGGCCCCAACCAGCAGACGTAGTAATCTGAGGAGGCAAAACCAAGCTCGTAGTCGCCCTACGAGTATGCCAGAATCACCATTTGACTTATGGTCCAAGGTTAAAGCAGGGCGATCACTGCCTAGAATGCCTAAGGCTTCTGGAGCAACCGACCCAGTGTCATCTGAAACCGACAACCGCGGTGTTCCTCCCCAGGAACACCCCTCTCCATCCTCAGTGGCTTTTTTACCTATGATGGACACGTCTGGCAAGCTCCTGCGCAAACCTTTCGATATTGTCAAGACAGACGATAAAAAAGAGAGCACACTGTCTAGTTTGTCGCAACCAGATGCTAGTACACGTCCACAGCAGGATCCAAACCAGCAAAATGAAACGGTCATTTGGGTCGATCCAATGACCAAGATTAGGTCGACCATCAATACGAGGACGGGTTTCGTGGTTAACACAAGTGCAGGAACAGGAAAGCGGGCCTCAATACCGTCAAAGAATCATCCTGGCAGGGAAAATGCGCCGCCATCTAGCCCATGGATCCGAGACATCTTGTCGTCATGGAAGAACCCTGCATTTTGCCCAATTGAACCACCGATTCCTCGCATCTCTGGTGCCTCAGAAGCAGGTATTCTTCAAGCAGGGAACGGACACGCGTGTTCTGCGATCAACTCATTCGGGGACTCTTCGGAGACATCGTCGATGCATCTTCCAAGTCGAATTTCTGGGAATGCACTACGGCAAGCTGAAATCATTGGCCAGGTCGACACGAAGTTCATCCTCGCGAAGGTTTCCTTGGATGCTACTGGAAATACGCCCGCCTTAACCACGACAGAATACGATCAGAGATCCTTGCTGGTACTTATCGATCAGCATGCGGCGGACGAAAGGTGCCGCGTAGAGTCACTGATGCAGTCCTATTTCTCGCCCAACGAGTCAGGATCTGGGTCATGGAATGCACGAACTGAGGCACTTGAGAAGCCCCTGATGTTCGAATTGTCAAATAAGGAGGGGCATCTTCTCCGCCGTTATCAGGAGCATTTTGAGCACTGGGGTGTTTTGCTGAAGACCGCATTTTCCAATGATGCTGCCTCGGAACGGAAAAATGAAGGATACGCAAAGGTGGAAGTTCGGAGCCTCCCTCCCAGCATATTGGAGAGGTGCCGTCTGGAGCCGAGGCTCGTAGCTGATCTTCTCCGGAAGGAGATCTGGAAACTACATGATGAGCCAAGCATTGCAGTCAAGTTCAAGGAAAACAGGCCTGAGGGACCCGGAGAACTGAATTGGGTTCGCATGTTCCATGGCTGCCCTCAAGGCATCTTGGACTTGATAAACTCCAGGTCTTGCAGAAGTAAGTCCAAAGCCTTGTCCCGGCCTTGCCTGCCCCAGTTTTTGCCAGCCCCTGACATGCTTATAGGTGCCATCATGTTCAACGATCCCTTGACCTTGGAACAATGCGAAGACCTAGTTAAGCGACTTACGGATTGCGCCTTTCCGTTCCAGTGTGCCCATGGCCGGCCATCGATGGTTCCACTTGTTGACCTTGGGAACAGAATGTCTCTTGGAGGACTTATAGACAATAAGAGTAGTGACAAGACAGATCTTCTTGAGGAGCTGAAGGCATGGATAAGAGGCGAGGATATTGTTTCCGAGGCTAGGAATGAGTAAATGGTTTATTAGATACCCTGACTGTAATATATAGTTAGGCATAGACCTTGACACGGACAAGTCATTAACGCTTTTGATTGTATGGGATGACAATTGAGGGTTAGGGTTGTTTGTGTTAATGAGGTAATGGTTCGTGCACGGACCAACGAAGCTCCCAACATCGTCACCACCAATAAGCAGAGCAGGGGAATCGAAGCTTTGAAAACAGGCAACAGCTGCCTCTCAACCATTTTTGAAACTGCGCGTCTGTACCTTCTTTGCCAGCCAACGAGGATGTAATCATGGCACTATCTGTATGCCTCCCCAATACTTGTACCCCAGGTGCGCTTGCTAACTTGCCCTGAATAGTGGAAGTCCTTCGACTTCTTCGAGGTCAACCAAGTCAAGCTCGCCGACGACGACACGCGCAACTTCTTCGAAAGCAACGAGATATCGAGTATCTGCTCTGGGTCAGACAGCCTGTTCCTCGGCAGCGATGACGGATATGTGCGCATCATTGCGCCGAGCTGGAAGGTCCTTCGCAGCTTCCAGGCGCACGAGTCTGGCAGGATAACACACATGCGACAGGTCGAGGGGACAAGCTTCCTCGTCACAATTGCCGTATGTGCAGTCGCGTGGGAAATCAGCAACTGGACTTGCTAACGGGACTGTAGGAGGATTTAAGTGCCGAGCCAGTCCTGAAAGTCTGGGCTCTGGACAAGCCGGTCAAGAAGACGGGCATCCCCACTTGCCTGAGTACGCTGACTGTCAATAATGGGAGGAGGCCGTTCCCCGTAAGTAAGGAGACGGAGTTGTTGCCATTGTGCTCTTGCTGATAGATATCCTATTAGATTTCTGCTTTCACAGCAACCGAAGACTTGTCACAACTGGCTGTGGGCTTTGCAAATGGAGCCGTGACCGTGATCCGAGGCGATTTGATTCATGACCGAGGCACAAAGCAGCGCATTGTCCACGAATCCGAAGAACCGATAACTGGGGTTGAGCTACGTGTGGACTCAAAGTTGACCACCCTCTTTATCTCGACGACTGCCCGCATCTTGAAATTGGTGATATCGGGGAAGGGCCAGGGCCAGCCACCCAAGACAGTCGAGGACACTGGCTGTGGTGTAGGGTGCATGACTGTGGACAAGAAGACTGGAGACATTGTCATTGCCCGAGACGATGCCATCTACTACTACACCCTGGATGGCAGAGGCCCTCCCCGTGCATACGAGGGGCATAAGAGACTGGTTTCGGTTTACCAAGACTACGTTGCTATCGTGTCTCCTCCTGCAGACTCGCCTACTCGAGGGGAGCCTGATTCGCTGAGACACCGCTTCGGTGGGCAGACAGCAGACGAGCTCTTTAATAGCACCTCGACCTTCACGCTCCTCGAGACTGACCTCAAGCTCATTGCGCATACCGAGTCTCTCATTTCACAAGTTCAAGCAATCTTCCAAATATGGGGTGATCTCTACACCCTCACCCAAGATGGAAAGGTCTTCCGCTATCACGAGAAGACTCTCCAGCAAAGGCTGGAAATGATATACCAGAGGAACCTCTACACCCTCGCGATCGAACTTGCACAGCAGTGTGGCATGGACGGTCAGCAGCAAAATGTCATTTTCCGAAAATATGGAGATTACCTCTACCAGAAGGGGAATTACGACGAAGCAATGACCCAGTACATCAAAGCCATTGACAGCACCGAGCCATCACAGGTCATCAGGAAGTTCCTCGACACCCAAAGGATACACAACCTCATCGAGTATCTTGAGGAACTACATGATCACCACAAGGCAACAGCCGATCATACCACCCTGCTCCTGAATTGCTACGCAAAGCTGAAGGACCTTGATAAGCTGGAGAAGTTTATCAAATCCCCGGGGGACCTCAAGTTCGATCTTGACACCGCCATATCCATGTGTCGTCAAGGCGGCTACTATGAGCAGGCGGCATACCTCGCAGAGAAGCACGGCGAGACTGACCTGGTAGTTGACATTCTGATTGAAGACTCTAAGAAGTACCAAGATGCCCTGAATTTCATATGGCACTTGGACCCTGACACGGTATGTGAAAGCAGTCGTTGTCTATCGCGTGTCGTGGTTCTCACAGCTTTTAGGCCTATCCATGCCTCATGAGGTATGCTCGCGTCCTCATCGAGCACTGCCCCAAGGACACCACCCAGGTTTTCATCGACTACTACACAGGCAAGTATAGGCCAAGGGTCCATCTCGCTGCCGTGTCCGAGGGTGTCGCAGCACCCGCTGTTGGAGGGCTCGCTGCGGGCGCCGCGAATGCCGTCCAGAATCTTACGAGCTATATACCGCTACCATACCTCAACACCCCGGGCCCTGCCTTATCCGGAACCCCAGGCAATGGCAACGCGACGGTTGGCGATGCCAACACAATCATCAACCCGGAAGATATCCCCGCACCTACGTACTCACCGCCTCCTCCTCGCACGGCGTTTTCGTCGTTCATCGACCACCCCGACGAGTTTATCGTCTTCTTAGAGGCATGTCTTGAATACGAAGACTGGTCTGATCCCGACAGGACTGATCTCTCCACGACGCTCTTCGAGATGTACCTCCATAAGTCAAACGAGAAGAAAGGCGATGAACACCGCGAAGAGTGGGAGAAGAAGGCCAAGGCCCTCATCGACAGCCAGGGCCAAGGCCCGGACAGCAAGATCCCCATCTCCAACGCCAACGTCCTCCTCCTCTCGCACCTGTCCGACTTCCGCGACGGCACGACGCTCGTCAAGGAGCAGTCGGGCCTGCTCTTCGACATCTTCCGCTCCTACACGTCGGCCAAGGACACGGCGGGGGCCCTCAAGGCGCTGCGCAAGTACGGCCCCGACGAGCCGCAGCTGTACCCGGCGGCGCTGGCGTACCTGACGTCGGACGCGCGCGTGCTCGACGAGGCCGGGCCCGGCGAGCTGGCGGCGGTGCTGGGCCGCATCGACGAGGGCGGCCTCATGGCGCCGCTGCAGGTGGTGCAGACGCTCGGCAAGAACGCCGTCGCCACCATGGGCATGCTCAAGCCGTACCTGGCCGGCCGGATCGAGCGCGAGAGGCGGGACATCGCGGCCAACAGGCGCGCCGCGGAGGCGTGCCGCGCGGAGACGGGCCTGCGCCGCGCGGAGATCGGCGCCCTGGGGTCCAAGCCCGCCGTGTTCCAGGCCACGCGCTGCTCCGGCTGCGGGGCGCCGCTGGAGTTGCCTGTTGTGCATTTCTTGTGCAAGCATAGCTTCCACCAGAGGTGTCTGAGGGGAGGGGGCGCTGCGGCGGCTGGGACGGGGACGGGAGACGAGTCCGAGGCGGCGGGGGAGTGTCCGGTCTGCGCCAATGATAATAATACTATCCGCGCGCTGAGGAAGACGCAGGAGGAGTACGCCGAGAGGCATGAGTTGTTCAAGGACGATCTGGAGAGGAGCGAGGACCGGTTCGGGACGATTGCGCAGTGGTTCGGGCGCGGGGTCATGGGGCCTCAGAGTGTGGAGTGATGGAGGGAGAAATGCCTAAGTACAGTCTATGTACATAGTATATTGTATCTGCATTCTAGCTGGGAAGCCGTGGTATCATCCATTTATATCTAATGATGCATGCGCCATCTAAATGCACCATCATGCTTTGCGTTACTACTGTACATACATGACCGGGGTAAAGTCTATTCCTCGGGTCGATTAGAATCTCCTGTTCACTGGCTACCTTGCCGTGTCAATTACTCGTCTGGTGGACAGGCCTTGGTGCCAAACAGGCCGTTGAGCCAGCCTCCAACGGACTCACTCTCCACCGGCGAGGGGCTGGCCTTCTCGAGAGCCTCGCGCCAGTCGGCTATGTGGTGTATAGTCTGGCCGATCAGGGCCTTGCTCAACGCCTGCTCTTGGCTAGCGCGGTCATTGGCGCCGCGAGGGGTCAGGGAAGATAGGGAGGCTTCCTGGATCTGCCCGTGGCGGGCGGTGAGCGATGCTCGGAACTGGTGGGATGTGTTTTAGTAAGAATCCTAAACGGCGGCCATAGGTGGAACTCACATTCGGCGGTAGGAAGGCGGGTAGTTCTGGTCTCTGTCTCGGGTCGTCCTCGGTTGTATGCGTCGAGAAAGTGAAGAGTGGAGTCTGGCCAAAGATCCATTCGCGAGACTGGGAGCTGGTGTCAATACCAATGAATTGGATTTACGGTCACAGTTTCCACAGGGGAGGCGTCAAAACTAACCTCGAGCTCCTTAATTCCCTTCCGAACGTCGGGGAGCGCGGCTGCCTCGGGCCCGACGGTGAGACCCCCACCGCGGACCTCTCCATACATGCGCTGGAACTCGTCGGTCACGCCACGGACGAAGTCCTCGTAGCCGACCCCGACGTTCCTGACCTTCGACCGCACGCTCGCGACGCCGCGGGCCTTGATGAACGGCTCGGCGGGGGACCGGAGCAGCGGCGAGATGTGCTGCAGGTTCGGCGACTCCAGCAGGCAGGTGCCGTGGTGCAGCGACCTCAAGCGGGTCAGCTTGTACGCCGACCCGGACACCTTGAACGTCGTCGTCCCCTCGGCCTCGTCCCCGTCCCCGATGACGACGACGTCCTGGACGATGTCGTGCCGGCCGTTGACGCGGACGCCGGCGACGCCGAGGCGGCCCAGGGCGCGCACGACCATCTCGGCGTGCCGGTCGCGATCGAAGGCCGCGGGAGGGCAGATCACCGTCCAGTTGGCGTTGCCCTCGTCGTGGAAGACGGCGCCGCCTCCTGAGCGCCGGCGCACTAGGGATACCGGCTTGCGCGGGGGCTGCTGCTGCTGCTCATCCCGGCCCGGCCCGGGGTCACGCCGGGGGGCATGCTGCTGCTCCGCGCTGATGGGGGGCCGCTCCGGGACGCCGTGGCGGAGGAGGGCTAGGTTTGTCTCGAGCCATGGGTTCTGGTTGCGGCCGATGACGACGCAGGGGTGATTCCTGCAGAGGAAGAGGATCGTCGAGTCTGGGTGGGATGTCTCCAGCAGGTGGTGTTCGATGGAGAGATTTACGTAGGGATCCCGGTTGCGGGATACGTAAATCTGAAGAAGCGGTCCGTCACCAGCGGCGTCGCTGAGCTGCCGACGCTGGGGCAATTGGAACCTTGGGGCTCTGAGCCGGAGCAGAGCCCGGCGTGCTACAGCCATGTGATCTTCCCCTGAGAGCGGAATTGAGGACGAAGTTTTTCAGCCTTATTGTCCAGTCAGCCCTGCAGATCGGTCCTGGAAAAAGGTCCATACATTAAATACAAGAATTGAGGGGATGATCGTCGTATAATCCGTCCTCAACATACTCGGCATTTATTGTATTTCTCGTAGCTATAAGAAAAGGTTATTAACTTCTGGATAACCGTCAGGTTATCACTTAAAAGATGAATAACTGCCGGAACACAGAATACAATCTGGCATTCGGCTCACTTCTGTAATACATGTGTTGGCCTTACGGAGGCCGTTTTCTGATTCCTCCATTTCGCTTACGTGATGTTCCGGCCTAACCAATCACAACCCTGGTCTTTGAGCGGTCGATGTTCCCCGACCATGGACCGCATCGTACCTAGGTACCTACCTATCCTCGATTCTAGATGTCGACTGTTCTTGATAAACACTCCATCCCCCCCAAGCCAGCTTTGATCCTTTTTATTCTTTTCGGTGCGAAACTTGTAATCTAGCCAACGGCAAAATTGGCGCATCGACTTTGATACTGCGCGACGCGCAGTTCTGCATCTAGCTTGGCTGCTGCAATTTCATGGCAGAAAGATAAAAGTTGGGCGACTGTGAGGGAAGAGACAGAGTGGCGAGTCTAAAGATAGCGTGCGCATGCGGAAACCCAGCCACCTGGAGGCGGCTCACCATATGGATGACTTCTCGACAGCCGCGCCGCCTTGTTCTCCGCCGTCGGGCACGCTTACAGAAGAGACCAATGACGCAAATCACCGACCAAGAACCATAACTGCCGGCTTGGTTGTTGACATGTGGGAATGGCTTGGGGCCAAACTGACTTCGCAGACAGGTAACACGCTAGTTACATTGCATAAACTCATCTATCATGCAGTCTGTCTCATTATGTGCTTGTTGATGCTTAGGAACCTTTACGCGTCGGGGCGTTACCAATGACACTGTGTTGGAGACTGTCGAGGAAATTGAGACCATATCCTAGAAGATGCTAGAATACCTACTGTCTGATTACTTTAAATCCGCGTATCCTCCCAGACCCATCCTGTGTCACGCTATGATAAAAATTATAATGCATATTGCAGTTACCTGACGACCGCCTCGTGCCCGTTCTCTGCTGCCAACGTCAGCGCTGTTCCGCCGTTGTCTCTGCTCTCTAGGTTGGCGCCCTTCTCGGCAAGCAGCTTGACGACAGCCTCGTGCCCGTTCTTCGCTGCCAACATCAGCGCTGTTCCACCGCTGTTGTCTCTGGTCTCTAGGTTGACGCCCTTCTCGGCAAGCAGCTTGACGACAGCCTCGTGCCCGTTCTCCGCTGCCAACATCAGCGCTGTTCTTCCACCGCTGTAGCGGTCTCCGCTCTCTAGGTTGGCGCCCTTCTCGGCAAGCAGCTTGACGACAGCCTCGTGCCCGTTCTTCGCTGCCAACATCAGCGCTGTTCCACCGCTGTAGCCCGCTGTTTTCTCTAGGTTGGCGCCCTTCTCGGCGAGTAGCTTGACGACAGCCTCGTGCCCACTCTTCGCTGCCCAGATCAGCGCCGTGCTGCTGTAGTGGTCTCCGCTCTCTAGGTTGGCGCCCTTCTCGGCAAGTAGCTTGACGACAGCCTCGTGCCCACTCTTCGCTGCCAAGATCAGCGCCGTGCTGCCGTGCTTGTCTCTGCTCTCTAGGTTGGCGCCCTTCTCGGCAAGCAGCTTGACGACAGCCTCGTGCCCATTCTTCGCTGCCAAGATCAGCGCCGTGCTGTCATTGTCGTAGTAGTCTGTGCTCCATAGGTAGGCGCCCTTCTCGGCAAGCAGCTTGACGACAGCGTCGTGCCCGTTCTTCGCTGCCCACGTCAGCGCTGTTCCACTGCTGTGTCTGTCGTAGTTGTATCTGTTCTCTAGGTCGGCGCCCTTCTCGGCGAGTAGCTTGACGACCGCCTCGTGTCCCCTCATTGCTGCCCAGATCAGCGCTGTTCTGCCATTGCCTCTGCTCTCTAGGTGGGCGCCCTTCTCGGCGAGCAGCTTGACGACCGCCTCGTGCCCATCCATTGCTGCTGACAGCAGCAATGTCAGACCATTGTCGTTTCTATTATGTATATCAACAGTCTTCCGCTCTAGCAATTTAACTAGGAGGGCGTATAGCACAGGCTCTTGCTTCAAAATACACCAGGCATGCTGCTGCCAATTCGACTCTGCATAGGGGTAGAATCGGAACTGATTCACAGAACCTGATTGTACTTTCTTCCTCGCCTGTGCAAGGGCTTTTCCCAGATCAAATTTTGGTTGTCTCCTCGACTTCAAGAGTTGTATCGCAAGGTTCCGAGCACTGCTTGAAACATCCATCGACTGGATGATCCTAGACGGCGCAGCTTCACTCTTTATCTGTGGGACTGCCGTGCTAGAAATTTGGGTCTCGAAAATGCCGTAATTGAGGTACGTGACAATAATACCTCCCATTGTCCTGTCTGCGTTCTCCCTTGTAAATATCGCGCCAGTCGAGGTTTTGAATCCACCGAGGAGGAATTGCTTGATGCTATGATGAATCAGCCTTACGGTCCAGTCTTCTTCATCGACCGTGATAAGGCTTCCACAGCTAGCCAAAGCCGAATATATGTCGTTGAGATGTCGTGCAGGGTTCCACTCTGTGTCACCTAGAACTACACTCAAAGCTTCTCGAAGTTCTTCCGTCGTCAAGGGCCGGCGGGCCACAGTGACGAGTTCCAATATCCGCGTCTGATATTGCTTCCCTAAGTGTGCCGATCTCTGCAGAATGCGAGAATAGGTTTCCGGAAGGTCCTTCGGAAGTTCAGCCAGAGCGTGGCGAATGGCTTCATCCGTCTTGGCGGCGCACAAGGATTCGATTTGAAGAACCACCCAGAGAAACATCCCCTGAGCGCCCCTTAGCAAGGCATCCTGTATCTCGATGACAAGTGTAGGGTCTCCCATCATCAGATTTCGAGATTCGATCCGTCGTTCCAACTCAGCACTAACGAAATTCTCAATGTCGGGATTGTCTTCGGAAATTGTAATGATGCTGTGATTGGCAAACGGTTCCGGGCTTAGCCTCATGACATTATCTGCTTCTAATCTGAATGAGACACAAAGAAGAAGTGCGAAAGCATCCTGGACCTTGCGGACTTGCCGAATCAATTCCCGTCTCTGAAGATCGTCACACGCATCCAAGCCGTCCAAGACGAAGTAGGCTTTGAAGTCGGGCGGTAGGGCGCGTCGGAGCAAGTTGAGTATCGTCTCGAAATCGAGGACAAGGGTGGCATCGTCCAGAATGTTCTCTATCGTGGAGAGGTCTGCAATTGGGTGCAAAAGTTGTCGAGCCAAAGACCCAATGATTGTACAGGCCTTCAGGCTTTCGGAGATATCGTGGCGACAAAAGAAGTAAGCCACAGGATATTCGGCAGCTTGTACATGAAGATTGAGATCATCGACAATGTTGGCTAATAGAACTGATTTGCCAGATCCTAGCTTGCCTGTGCATAACAGCGTGCCAGAATCTGGCCTGGTTTTCCAGTCTTCGTATTTGGAAGTCTGGTAAAACCAGGTAGCATTGCCCAGCTTTCGAATCTGCTTCCATGTTGTCTGATAATCGTAAGTGGAGCATGAGTCAAGCACCCGGGCATGGACATCCAGTCTTCGACGGTTGGCCTCGGATTTGGAAGACCGCATCAGAGCTTTGAAGCGGGTCCTCTGCTCCTCGACATTGAGCACATCCACTTCCTCTCCGATCGAACTTGCCCACCGCTCGAGCTCTGATTGGTAGGTGTGTATGTCAGAGTCAACCAAAGCCGACCCCAGCTGTCCCAAGATCGTCTTCTTGGTGAACTTGAATACCTGGTGACAGAGACGAACTATCACAATGAAGTACTCGGACAGGTGCGACTGCAGAGCGTGGGATCGGGGATAGAGCAAGGCCAGTCTCTCGTAACGGGGAGCCGAGCGACCGGCGATCATTAGCAGAGTCGATAGCTTTTCGAGGACAGAGGAGAAGTTTACGACTGACTACGCAGGCATCAGCTGAAGAACGGAAGAACGAGCTCGGAAAGGACTGACAAGCAACGTAAACCGCGCAAGCGACCAGACACCGCACGCAATGATGTTCTGGGAACCGCCGATTATGATGTCTCCAAGTGCTGCGAATTGCTGGATGGACTGTAGTATATTGGTCAAACGTGGTCCAAAGCATCGGCCGCCACCGCCAAGTTTCCGGGTCGTTTGGCGGTCGATCTCGGCGGTGAGCTGCATGACATCGTGGATGCTTGGAGATGCTCTGCAGGACCGGGATCTATAGGCGCCGAAGGCAGCTTTTTGTTCAGTGGAGAGGTCTGCTTCAAACTGAGAGACAGCCTGGGCCAGGCGAATCTCAGCCTTCAGCGGTGCTGCCTTTGCCAGCGCAGAGGACATGGTTATGCAACTGCGAAAGGGTTAGAATCGTGCGCCATGCAAGGTAGGTTGGGTGAGGGGCTGACCTTATAGACTATCATGCCTGCCATCATGCCCAATGAGCAATAGGTCCAGCCACGGAAAAGTGGTGTTTGCAGCGTGACCCAATGGTAGCTTGGACCCTGCCGCCCAGCTGCGGAATTGTCCAATTGGCAAGCATTTTTGGTGGAAGTCAGCCTAGGGAATCTGCATATCCTACGGCACCTTGTCTTGGCAGACAGTAGGGCAGGTTCAAGATCAAATTGAGTACCTGTCAGAATCAGATAATGTACGGATTACACACTGGAGAAAGGACGTGCCACAACAACGATGAACAATCAGGTGTGCCCTTGAGACGATCTCGGCAGAAACAGATGAAAAGAACTGTAGTGCAACAAGCAACGCCCTCTTTCTAGCTTAGTGGGAGGGTGTTGGGGGGGGCTGGCTTACGTTATACGCCCAGTTGACCAATCATAGCTCTAGTCCTGTGCTGGGATGGAGGCGATCTTGCTCGTTCTGGGCTTCCGCTTTGAACACAGCCTCGAAGCTACCACAAACACTTGCCATTGAGGTGAGGCGTGTTGTATGCCATACGGAATATGTAGCTGTTTGAAAACATGGAAGATCCTCCCAGACTTCTGATCCGGGAGTCTCGAAAACTAAACCCACACTTTTGAACAAAGGTATTCTTCACGGAAGTATCACAAACATACGCCAGGCGCGGCCAACATGGGCAAGCCACCATTTTTTAGTAAGGAGGAGGAGGTTGCTACTGAGGCACCCCCACCATATACGCCATCCGCCAACGTCAATAACTTTGCCGAGCCCTCGTCGCAGCTGGCCCCCGTAAACCGCCAGTTCCCGCCGTGGTTCAACCTATACAGCGGGGGAGCCTTCAGCTCATCCTTCACCCTAGGCGAGCACAGGCACCAGCCCCTCTACTCGGTAACGCTCCACACCGGCTTCTCGGGCAACCCGGACGTGGTCCTCCACGCGGGTTCGGACAAGTCGTCGCCGCCCCTGGCCACCGCCAACAGCAAGACCATGTCCAGGCACATGACCATCACACTTCCGCCGCCGCTGCCTTCCGGCGCCGGCGCCGGCGCGGAGGAGCGCCTGACGGGCCGCGTGTCCGGGCGCACCTACACCTTCGACATCGAGGTCGGCGACGACGCGGGGCGCCGCGAGCCGTTCGAGTGGCGGCACTCGGCCGGGGACGCGGTGCGGGCCCTGGGCGGGCAGTCGAACGGGTGGAAGCTGGTGCGGATGGGTGGGGGCGCGGGCGTGGGCACGGCCATGAGTGGGCCGGCAGCCAGCGACGGCAACGAGGTCGTGGCCGTGTGGGCCCCGTACGTCATGAGCTTTTCCAAGGCAATGTGCTTTGGCTTCCTCGGCAGCGGCGCGTCGGGCGTCCTGGGCGAGCGGTGGGCCGTCATGGCGGTCATTACGGCGCTGGGGCTCTGGGATCTGGACAGGAAGAACGGCAGCGCGAGCGCCGCGGCGTCTTAGTTGCTTCTTCCGGCGTGCATGATACCCATTTGTTTCCCTTCCATGTTACTTTAGACGGAATGGCAATCGCGAGAGACGTTCTTCACGGTGCACCATAGCTTTGCGAGATCTAGTGTCAAGGTGCTGCGTAGACAGGCGAGGAATGAGGGGAAGAAGATACAACAATGGCGTCGCAACGAATGGTGGCATCATCGTCACATCGGATTCTCGTGAGCGGAAGGTCGGTAGCAAAGCCGACTGAACAGCTGAACACTGGAATACGTGAGGATCTACGGATCCGTACAGGGCGGACGCTGTTCCTCATTCGTGCAAATCCCGTGGTCGTTCGGAGCCAGCTTCTCCTAGCCCCAGTGGAACCAAAACTGTTGAGCTACAGCTAAAAAGGGACAGAAATCTACCCTGCCTCCGCGAAAGTGCAACCCCGGATTCTCACGTCCCCGATACCTGGTCGAAACGGCCCGCCTTTGCGCAATCGGGCGAATCAATGCCTCAGCTAGCAGCCTATGCCAAATCAGCTGTTACGAACCCTGCCAGGATCCTTGGCCGGCGATCAGGGACGACACCTAGAGATGCCAGCCTTAATTTGGGATGACGGGAGCTGGGTGCAACAGCAGATCCAGGAACCAGGAAATGGCGCAGGGCGAGACTGGGAGGCAGGCGATATAATATGACAGCTTGACCCCCGCAAGCCTAACCATCCAGCTGCTCCTCCACGCTTTCCTCCTTCTTTATACCACTGCCACCTCGCCAGAAAATGAAGTTCGCAGTCCTCGCCAGCAGCCTGGCGGCCCAGATCCTCTCGGTCTCGGCCGGCACGATCCTCTGGGATGGCCGATTCAATGACTTGAGCACGTCGGCCGATCTCAACAAGTGGTCGTGGAGCAGCCAGGTCGGGCCGTACCAGTACTACATCCACGGGTCGTCGGGCGTGTCGTCCTACGTCAACCTGTCGCCCGACTACAAGAACCCGGCCGACAAGGGGTCCAGCAAGGGCGCCAAGATCACGCTCGACAACACGGCGTACTGGAACGGCCAGAACATGCGACGGACTGAGCTGATCCCGCAAACGAGCGCGGCCATCAACAAGGGCAAGGTGTTCTACCACTTCTCGCTGATGCGGAGCGCCACCAACCCTCCTGCCCAGACGCGCGAGCACCAGATCGCCTTCTTCGAGAGCCACTTCACCGAGCTCAAGGGCGGCTGGATCTCGGGCGCGGCGGGCACGTCGGACCCGCTGCTGCGGTGGTGCATCAACGGCAACACCAAGTGGAGCGTCAACTGGGATGCCGGCGTGTGGCACAACGTCGCCTACGAGATCGACTTCAGCGCCAACACCGTCGGCTTCTGGCACTCGACCGGCGGTGACCCCCTGGAGCGGCTCGTGGCCCCCGTCAGCGTCAGCACCAGCAGCAACGGCGCCGACTGGCACGTCGGCGTCCTGGAGCTACCCCGCGACGGGTACCCAGACTCGGTCGAGGACCTGTACTGGTCTGGCGTGTACATTGAGAGCGGTAGCCTGACCACTTCAGTTTCCGGCCCAGGTGGTGAGTAAACCGCAGTCTTTGCCGAGAAGGGTATGCAAGTCCGTGTGAGCTGACAGCAGTGTGTGTGTGCAGCCGCTCCAGGAGGTGGCGGCTCGTCCTCGTCCCCATCGCCGACGCCGACGCCGACGACTAGTCGCACGACACTCACGACATCGACCACCACCCCGAAGCCCACGACGACATCGACCACCACTCCGTCGAAGCCCACGACGACCTCGGGCAGTGGCGGCTGCACCGCAGCTCAGTGGGCCCAGTGCGGCGGGATCGGATACGGGGGCTGCACGGTCTGCGCTTCGCCGTTCACTTGCAAGTACTCGAATGACTGGTACTCGCAGTGTCTGTAAGGCACTGTAGTGCACCGGCGCCTTCTACTGTACATAGTATATGCATGGGGCTTTCTGTTCCTGTAAATAGCAACCGGGTGGATCGATGGATGACGATGATGATGATCCTTTCCTATCAGAAACAATTCGTCCACCATGGTGTGGTGTCGGGTCATCTGAACAGACTAAATTGCGTATGATGTCAGCCCTTTAAGTAAATACTCTTATAAACTGGCGCTCGCATCCGACTATCCGTATGGACCACCATACTCCACCAAGCGCCACGTACCGTACATTCACCGGCAGGGAAAGACCCTTGCGTGGGTTGCCAAGCCCATATGTCATCCCTCCCCGACCTCGATGTTGAAAGGGATGACAGAAAGGCCGAGAATTGCGCTCTTGGCAACTACCTACGATCAGGTGCTTAGACCGAATCCAATATGCGATTCATCGTGCCGGCGCGAGGTGTGGAGGGTCCAACCCAACCGTACGGAAAGCGATGTAGGGTAATACGAGCTGAGCTCCACTCCAACACCGCGCCTAGCCACTGCCCGCCCGCTTCCCGTCCTGCTCCACTTATTAAGAAGCTCCCCCGGAATTCAGCGACGGAAACCAAGCAATCCGGGAAATGCAACGTCTGGGGTGGGGGGTCTCTTTCCCCACCCCCGGCAGCTGCCGAATCCTCGATCTGACTGATTCGGGTAAACCACATCGGAGCATTTCGATCACTTGCATACCTGTCGAGAGCCAGTGAGCGTCATGGGTATACTCCCTTGACCGCCTCCCGCGCAGAAAATAGATTAATAGTACGAGAAAAGGGCAAGCTGGAAGAGTAAGTCGCCCCTCGGCCAATACGAGGGATCCAAGATGGTCAGGGCTCCGCCTTACTGTCGATCACTCCTCTACTAGAACCCACATCCAGCCACTTCGCAGCGTGCATCTCAGATCTCAACCTCCACAGACCCCTAGAGTGGTGTGATGCGGCGATCTTGGGATGTCAGACAGGCAACACGAGGTATGGGAAGGGGCACTATGGAAGACGCGGTGGTCTGTATCCGCCCTGCTTACCGGATTTGCCGATGCGGCTGCCGTCCCTGGAAGAAGGCTATATAAACCTCGAAGACCCTCCCCAGGGTGATGACTTGAAGACTACTCCTCAAAACACTCGTTCCTCATAGAGCCAACAAGAACATCGTCCAAAGACTAGACCCCTATCACTTACAACTTGACTGAGCTGTCTGTCCTTCAATCACCCCTTCACCTCGAATCACCACAACACAACACACAAGAGGCCCAAAAGAAAGCAAGACAAAATGCACTTCACCACCACCACCCTCACCGCCCTCCTCCCCCTCCTCGCCATGGGCGCCCCAACTACCCCCCGCGACACCATCTCCATGGCTGCCGATGGCGCACAGTGGACGATCCAGTCGATGCAGCGGGTCTGCAACGCCGCCGACACGTCGTGCAAGTGGACCTTCGGCATCAACACCAACACGGCTGGCGCCGCGACCACGCCGTGCGCGTTCGTCGTCGCGGCCGCCGCCGGCGTCGCCGCGAGCCGGGCGCCCGAGACGGGGGCGCAGTGCGGCGGGTTCCAGGTCACGAGCGGGTGGAGCGGGCAGTTCGGCGAGGGCAACGGGTTCACGACCCTCAGCGTCGTCGACACCGCCAAGAGGCTGATCGCCTGGCCGGCGTACAGCGATGCGGATCTTGCGGGCGGGAAGGTCGTGGTGCCGGATCGGAGCTTTGCGGTGCAGAAGTTGCCTTGAGGGACGGGGGAAAGCTGGGTGGGATGGTTCTTTGGGGGTTGGGGTTTAATTTTGTATGGACTTGTTAGTATTGGTGGAGAGCCTTGGTAATAATAGGAGGATTTAGTTTGTTTGTCACTTGATAATATCATCACGAGACTTATATACGATGGCACGTTCCTCAAATTCAGTCGCTCCGGACACTGCCTCCCATTCGGATCTGGTAGAATGTATTGAGCAATTTTGAGCAATTTTGAGCGAACCCGTTGCTAGTCGACTTGCTTACCCAGTATCATGAACTCTAAAATCATTACTAGGGGCGATCTTCTGTGAGTTAATGGCACTTGCAGCTCAGAGTTGGGCTGGTAAGCAACCAGCCCCTCTACCCTCTGCCCCTTGGTCAGGAGAAAACCTGACCGAAGGGTTGGCGAGAGCAATGGCAGGGATACATCTCCCCCATTTCGGGACTGCTCCCGGCCCTGGACTCCCTTTGGAGGGGCCGGCGATGTCCCGTGTTCCGGTCTTCGGCTGCTTGGCGGAAGGGTTGGGGTGGGATAGGTCCGAGACATTTGGTAGGGATGAGCGGATGAGCACCAGCCGGAGTACCTAGGGCACCCTCGTAGGTACGTAGCAATCATATAAGATTGCGGGGGTTCTCCCCTTCCATTCCAATCGGTAGTGGTAATGTAGTCGACTTTGGAAGTAGTGTGATGCGTATTGTTCGAGCTTAGGCAGTCAAGCAGAAACCAATTGACATACTACGGTGCAGAGGTAATAATACTCTATTGTGGCCCGGCAACCAAGTCAACTCGGGGCAAAACAAAAGGATTTGGAAAAGGAGAGAGGAATAAAAGAGAGAGAAACGGGGAAATAAAAGAAGAAGAAAATGCAGCATTCAGCTAGAGCCTTTCACGGCCATAGTATGCTTGTCTTGTCAAACTTGTTGGTAATGTCGAGTCTCTTGATGACAATACCGAGCCTCTAGAGGTAATGACCAGAGCCTGCAACAGCTCATGTACGTCGTGCACTGCCACTTCCCTCGGCCGCTTCAAATAAGGTGTATTCGGTTTTGTCGCTGGTCCGCCGTGCCTCATCCATGACGAGGAGGGTTTACCAATATTTCCCATGGAAACTCTGTTCAGGACTCTCCAAGGCAAAGTTAACACGCCACCGAACACTCAAGAAGGTTATAAACGCACAATTCCCTTCTCTCCATTCACCACTTCTTCCATTCCCAAAGCACGTACAACCTCAAAATGGAAGGCAACCCAAACCACAACAGCTCAGCAGAGACCCTAGTCGGAGATGACTACGGATACAAGGGGCTATCATCAGACAACTTCCCAGCCCCTTCCGACCCGACACCCGCCTATCCCACCATGCCCCAAGAAATACCTCCTCCCGCCGCCACCACCGTCGTCAACCCACCCCCCGCCGCCATCCTCCCCATGGAAATAGTGGACGAGGAGAGCGGCAACACCCTGCCCGTCCAACAGCGGCGCCGCAACCGCAGCGGCGGCTCGCCGACCTCCAACTCCAAGCTTGCCCGGGTCGCTGACTGCTGCGCTGTGCTTCTCATCCTGGTAGGCATCGCCCTGGCCCTCATCTTCTTTGCCATCTTGATCTACGCGGCCGTGAAGCAATTCTCCGAGATGTAGAGACTCTCCCGGAAGAAGTTGGCGGGCGAGTTACCGGCTGAGTTTTCCTGGCCTTCTTTTTCCCCTTTTCAATCCCGGGTCGGCTGGGGTTGGGCAGGTGGGGGTTTCCCAATGCTGTCGGATATGTCAAAGCTAAGGGGGCGTGGGTGGATACCAGGGACTGCTGGGTGTTGGGGAGTTGGCCGGATCAAGAATGGTTGAAATGCGCATCAGTTGGCGGAAGGCTAGGATGGGAATATTCACACGAGACGATTGAATAGGCACGTATCTCAAGACGTGGAAAGGAACGCTGGCCTGACACCATGGCATCAATTGAATTCGAGTATCAGTGCCTACTCAAAGTAGAGTGACTTGCATACAACCCAGGACACCCCCAATGACGTATGTACAAATATGACAGAAGATGAAAACTCACTCGAGCTCTCGCGGGACTAACAACCCCCCGTCACGAGGAGGGCTTCATCCCCCAACAACCTCTACAGTGCCCGGGCCTTAGAAGCTCTTGACCTTCCGCATGCTGCCCTCCTCCACCAGGGCCTTGTGCATGTCAAAGGTGTTCCACAGGAGGTGAGGCTCGTGTCCCCAGCCCTTGCGCAGGCACTCGAACTCGGCCTTCTCGAAATAGGCGCTGAGGATGGGCTTGTAGACCTCGTGGACGCACTGATCGATGATGACGCGCGCCCTCTCGCGCGGGCTCAGGCCCCGCACGTCGGCGAGCCCGTTCTCGGTCACGATCACGTCGAGGTCGTGCTCGGTCTGGTCCACGTGCGTGCACATGGGCACGATGCAGCTGACGCCGTGCGGGTCCGTCTTGCTCGGCCGCGTCGACGGCGTGTGCATGACGCTGTACTTTGCGCTCCGGAGGAAGTCCGCCGACCCGCCCAGCCCGTTGAGCATGCGGCTGCCCATGACGCACGTCGAGTTGGCGTGCGCGTAGATGTCCACCTCGACCGGCGTGTTCATGCCGATGACGCCCAGCCTCCGGATGATCTCGGGCGAGTTGCTGACCTGCTGCGAGCGCAGGAGCAGCTTGTCGTAGTACGACTCCCAGTTGTCGTAGAACCGCTTGAACCCGTCCGGCGAGAAGCGGATCGACGTCGCCGTGGCAAAGTCCAGCTTCCCCGAGTCGAACAGGTCGAGGAAGGTGTCCTGGATGACCTCGGTCCAGACCTTGAGGTTCCTGAAATTCGACTCCTGGAGCCCGCCGATGACGGCGTTGGCGATGTTGCCGATGCCAGACTGGATCGGAAGGAGAGAATTGGGGAGACGGCCGTGCTTCACTTCGTGTTCGAGGAACTCGATCAGGTGGCCTGCAATGGCCTTCGACTTGTCGTCGGCCGGCGCATTGGGCAAGGTCTGGTCCTGGTAGTCAGACTCGACAATGCCCACAACTTTCTCCGGGTCGATGGGGATCGACGTGGTGCCGATCCGGTCCTCAACGCCCATGATCAGGTACGGCTTCCGCCGGGGAGGCAGGTCCGTCATCGTAATGTCGTGCAAACCCTCGAAGCTTGGTAGCGAGGTGTTTACTTCGATAATGATCTGGTTTGAGCCGATCAGCAAGGTTTGCCCTCGCCTCAATGTCGTCACCCCCCGAGCCATTTACTCACCTTGTCCGCGAGCTGAACTAGCTCCGGCGTCGCGCCAATAGATGCACCAGGGACGATACTGCCGTCCTCCTTGATATCCGTTGCTTCCACAACGACCACGTCCAGCTTGTGGCTCGGTCTATCCTTGGTATAGAAGCCCTGAATCTGTTAGCTCAGGCGCAATGTACACCTCGGATTGGCGGGCAGCCTACGTAGATCAAATCCACGGGGAACATGGAGAGATGCTTGTCGAAGAACTTGATTCTGCCTTCATTAATTCCTTTGGCAATTGCCTTTCCCACTTGGTGTGGAGCTCGACGCTCGATCATGTCTAGAGCAGCCCATCGGTTCTCGGTCTCAGCACCGGATGAAGCGCCGACGAACAGGCTGTATCGCAGCTGTCCCTGCAAGTTATTCTGCTCTACGTGATCCGCGAGGTACGTAGGGATCTTCCTGTTGGGCCAGGGTCAGTAATTAGCCATCAATGGCTCCGATGTGGCCTGGGTTGCGAGGAATCGACCGAGGAGAGGGTGGCGCGTACTTAGGGTAGCCTACTCCGGTAAAGCCGGACCAACCGATGTAGGAGCCATTGGGAAAGTGGCGCAACATGTCTTCCGGGCGGCATAGCTTGGAGAGCATCGACGGCCGGCGAACGCGCGCCCTTAGAGCCGCGGAAGCGATGGGTGGTGCCATGATGCAATTGGTGCAAGCGAAAGAAAGCAAATGACCCCGATCAGCCTATCCGCACTCCGGACCGAGAGAAGAGGGAAGAGAAGAAGAAAACTGAGTGGAGATGCCGGAGGGCGAGTGGGCGAGAGGGGGGAAATTGGGAGAAGTCGACGATTAAATAGTATGCGATCCCAGAGTCGCGAAAGGTGGGTATGGTGGGCCTGACGTAATGCTGGATTTCGACGCCACCACGGCCCGTGAACCAAACCAGCCACAGTTGTCGACAATTTTCGATGCTCTCGCATGCGAATCGTTGAACTCGCTCTGGGATGGATGCTCGTAGTGTTTTATTGCACAAGAGGACCCTTTCCAACTTTCAAATGGCGACAAGACCACAGAAAGTCCTGCCATATTCCCGTATCGCGACGGCTGAAGGCACGGACCGGCCGGGGCAAAACCATTGATCCAGGTATCCACAATGCTCCGTTGAGCCGTGACGGAATCCGTTAAGCTCGGCATTCGTGAATGCACGGACCACCAGCTTTTACCGACCCCACGCCGGCACGGCTTAGCGGCCTGGCTAGATCGCGTATGAACCTCCAGAGAGAGGGGTGCAATCTCAGATCTGGCAATAATCCAAGATTTTGGGCCTCCGCCAGTTATAACTTGCTAAGCAATCGAAAGCTGAACCATCGCCAGGGAACAAGGCAGCGTGTGCCACCATACTTCGGTTAGGTTTTGAACAGTCCTCACCGGCAAGCCCGCCTCGAGGGAGCTAACCTCATGCTCGAACTAACCGAGAAGAGAGCGCGCGATAACTGAAAGACATGGGGCAAGCAACGTCTCAACCTTCTGATTTGGGATGCTGCTCCTCGCCCCGTACCAATCTCGTCCAGGATCGCCAACGAAGCATGAAGCTTCCTGAAGACATGGTGACCAACCTCATCACGACGACATGAAATGCTCACTTGAGTATGGCCATCTCTCAGTGAACAGCCGGCGAACAGCACTTGCTGTTGGTGGTGGAGTTGGCCTTCCATGCCACGGACCCTTCGCTGGGGCTGGGGAAGCCTTGTACCCGGTGTATCGGTATCCAGCAACCTGGGAACAGATACTCTGCTATGCATTATCGAGATTGAACCTCGTGCATATCGGGGAAGAACGGGGTGTACACTATATCACTCCATTGGTCCCAGCCGCTGACTTTAAGCTCGAGACCGGACTTGGTATTATTTGTCGTACATGTACGAACAGTTTGACCAATATTGGAAACCAATGAGACACAACATCCGCGGCCAAGTAGTTGTGAAGAGTGGAGACGAGGGCGCGCTTCGTACGGGTGCGATATTAACAGCCCAGTTTGTCCATGGTGTTCCACACCGTCGGGTCTGGGGGAACCATGCAGCTTTTTGAGAGTTAACGTTAACGTGACGATGGGTTTTGCACCCAAGACAACCCTTTGCACCCGGCAAGATGTGCAGGACAAGAGACCAAGCACTGAGATTCTGGGAATCTTGTCCTGTCCGTCTTGGAGGATCCGCCCGACGCCGACGAACTGATGAACCGGCCAATGACAAACCCAACGATGGTTGATGAAGTCAGTCTCGCAGTTTCATGGAAGAGGCTCTCTCGGACACGACTTCTTAAGCCCATCCATGTATGGTTGCATGGGCCACATTGTAAGTGACAATGTGTTCATCCCAAGAGAGCCGCATCCCGTATGAAGCAAAAAGGGGAGGTCTGTGGTCGCGTGACAAGAATTATAGCCTCGAGAGGCCGCAATGAAAAGCGAATGGAGGAACTGCGCATCTGAAGAGCCTACGTGATGTAACCTGATGGGAGACAATCATCACAGCCTCACAACGAATGGCGGCCAACTGTGGGGGATGCCGCAGCTGAAGGTTCAGAGCAGTGCAACCACCGGGAATCTATTGGCCGATTGACGAAGCCGGGCACCAATAGTGTCGGAGCCTGGGACTTGCAGTCAGCGCCTGTTATCGGCTTCACGGCGCATACGACTCGAATTCTCGAATTACCAGCCATAGAGCCATGGTCGTATAAAAGTACTACGTTACATAGGTAAATTGGCATCTCCACGGTAATTGAACGTTGGAATTGCCAATGCGGAGTGGTGGTGAGCATGGTCCAAGCTCCCTTAGCCTGACCTCCTTCCTAAAGTGATTCTTTTGCCGATGCCAACCAATCATACAAGGTTGTCAGAAACCGTTGCGGGGCCTCTCCAATCAGCGGCAAGCCATTCGGGCCGGCCTAATCGATCTGCAAGGCCGGCAATCCATGATCCTTGCTTCCCCATGTTCGCAAATTGGATCCCCCACTTTTATTTCTCCTCATGTTCCGCCTGTTCATTGACGACCAGAACTCTGTGTCTATTGTAGTGCATCATTTCTGAGCCGGCTATCAAGCGGTACCTGAGCGGCACAGTCCGAAGCTTGCAGGAGGGTAACGGTCGGGCATGGAGACCAATTCCCCAATTCGTATCCGAACTAATTATTGGCAGAACCTTCCATTTTGCCCATGAGGTTGAACGGTCTTCCGCAGTCAGCACCTGGGCAGCTCGCTCCTACCGTGGCATTGAGACTTACAGTTAGGCCCCGTGGCCTTTGCTCATGTGTCGTGTGGAGGATGCTTGTCGTGGACTACGTTGTATGTACGGATTATGTTGTATGTACTATCGTACTACTGTGCATGTAGTTGCGATGAAGGATGGCCACAGTCCATTTAACTTTGGGCTGGGACCACCCACGATGCTGATCTCCTTGAGCTCAGGCGAGGTGGTGCCCGCCACCCGGTCGTTCCCCGGGTCTGGGGTGCCATTGCCCAGAGTTGTCACGTAGCTTGGGACCGGCCTGGGACCGGCCGTGGGCAGCTGTTACGAATCCAACATGTTTCGCTGCTATTGATAGCAACCACGACCTGGTCCACCACATGTGAACATGCCTGGTTACTCTTGGCCCCCTGCTCTCGACTGTTACACTGGTATTTTTTTTGGGAGGGAGATAGCACCCAGTCCGGCTTCGAGAATCCCTTTAAGGTTGCTCCGGAAAGCAAATCCCTCCTGCCTGGTCCCCGTAATTGCGCCTATAATTCCCTGCATCCTCCCGCTCCCAAGGGTGTGCTTACCCCGACACGTGGAACCGAGCATTCGCGGTCGTCATAAATATATTATCATCCAGCCCGTCACACCGCCTCGCTCTCCTCTTTCCCCTCGCGTCCTTATCGTATTATCCCGGAGGTTCGAGCTCTTAACCGGCCTCGTGCGCGTGTCGCATAGCACGAACCGCCAATTTTTCCTTCTGAAGCACGGGCAAGGCAAGGAACCGATTCGAAAGCCAAAATGGCGGATGAGAAAACCTCGCCAGAGGTGGCAGCCACGCCTCCTGTGACCACCACCCACGACGCCCATGATGCCCATGATGAACCTATTACACGGGCGGATGGGACAATTACGCGACCGTCGGGATGGATGTACAGGGGCTTCAAGGTCGGGAAAACCGAGGTCTGGTACGCTTCGCCGATTGTCCAGTTGATCATGGTCTCCATGGTGTGCTTCCTCTGCCCCGGTATGTTCAACGCCTTGGGCGGTCTCGGAGGCGCTGGCATGAAGGACACCAAGGCCCAGGACGATGCGAATACCGCCCTGTACAGCACTTTTGCCGTCGTCGCCTTCTTCTCCGGCACCATCGCCAACATGCTCGGCGTCAAGATGACCCTGTCGCTCGGCGGGCTCGGCTACTCCATCTACGCCGCCAGCTTCCTCTCCTACGTCCATACCCAGAATACGGGGTTTGTCATCTTCGCCGGTGCCTTCCTCGGCGTCTGCGCTGGTCTCCTCTGGACTGCCCAGGGGACCATCATGATGAGCTACCCCAGCGAGGATCGCAAGGGTCGCTACATCTCGTACTTCTGGATGATCTTCAACCTCGGCGCCGTCATTGGCTCCCTGATCCCTCTCGGCCAGAACGTCGAGAACAAGAGTGACACCGTCACGGACGGCACCTATGCGGCGCTCATCGCGCTCATGTTGCTGGGCGCCATCCTGGCCCTTTTCCTCTGCAACGCGAACAAGGTGCAGCGTGCCGATGGTAGCAAGGTCATCTTGATGAAGAACCCAAGCTGGTCCACCGAGATCAAGGGTCTGTTCGAGACCATCACTCGCGAGCCATGGATCATCCTCCTCTTCCCCATGTTCTTCGCCTCCAACACCTTCTACACCTACCAAGGCAACTGCTTCAACGCCCCGCACTTCAACACCCGCACGCGCGCCCTGAACAACACGCTGTATTGGACCAGCCAGATCTTCGGCGCCATCATCTACGGCTACGCGCTCGACTTCGGCAAGACCCGCCGCTCCGTCCGGGCCAAGGCCAGCTTCATCTCCCTCTTCGTCCTGACATTTGTCATCTGGGGAGGCGGATATGCGTGGCAGAAGGAACAGGCCCCTCGCTCGGTCACGGAGGACCCGGACTCGGGTTACCAGCCGGTTGACTGGGTGGATGGCGGCAAGGCGTACATCGCCCCCATGTTCCTGTTGATGTTCTACGGCTTCTTCGATGCTGCCTGGCAGACTTGCATCTATTGGTGAGAGAGAGCCTGTCACCGTCCCATCTCGCGTGGGATCTCTTCTTTGTTTGCTAACCCAAGCCAGGTATATGGGCTCACTGTCAAACTCGGGCCGAAAGGCTGCAAATCTCGCCGGATTCTATAAGGGACTGCAGAGCAGCGGGGCTGCCGTTTTGTGGGCTCTTGATGGGAAGAAAAAGCCTTTCAACACCATCTTTGGTATAACTGTGAGTGCATTTGATCCAGGTTCCAATGAGTTCTGGTACTAACCCGTTGACCTCAGTGGGGTCTCCTTGCCGGCGCGCTTGTCTGTGCGGCCCCTGTTATCTGGCTTAAAGTTAAGGACACGGTGACTTTGGAGGAGGATCTAAAGTTCAGCGACGAGACGGTCGAGGATGTCATTGCCCCAGAGGCCTTGGCGCAGCGGTACCATGACGAGAAGCAAATCGATGCTTGAACGCTTGGACCCTGCAATAGAACGAATATACCTGACTGTACTTTCCCTGTTTGACCGGGGCTTTCAAGGTGGGGGAGTAATGGGGATCTATGATTGTTGATTCTGATATCCAATACGGCTCAGGGGTTCAGGGGCAAACTTATCACTAAACGAGTTTTAGTCTTTGATAGCTGGAATACGGCTCGTGCACAAACTTGGCAGCTGGGTAACCCGGCGTAACTTGCGACCTGTCGACGCCTTGAAAAGACGGAAACCTTGCAGCACCCACCTGTTAACCGCGACATGCTACCTCAGGGACGTTGTCCAGGTATCAAAAGATGTATCAAGTCCGGGTATTAGCGGTATCTGAGCAACATTTCCCGCTCTTGACCCAGTTTCTGAGAGAGGTTATCTCTGCGGGCAGGGGCATTCAGCTATTCAGGCAGGGGCATTTAACTGTTAGGGCAGGGGCATTTGGTTATGTAGCCGTTGCTGTCGCTAATGCTAAAGCACTCTTGCTGTCGCTGTCTCTATTGCTGTTGCAGTTGCCGTTGCCGTTGCCGTTGCCGTTGCCGTTGCCGTTGCCGTTGCCGTTGCCGTTGCCATTGCCATTGCCGTCGTAGTCACTGGTTCCACGGCTGGCAGCTGGTCTTTTTCATGCTCCAACTCTCTAAAGATTTTTGGCAGCCCAGAACCCCTGCCCGAATAGACAACTGCACCTGCCCGCAAAGACAAGCTCTTCTGAGAATCCCGTCGGCCCGGGACGGCACTGCTCTCCACTTCCACCCGACGGCAGGTTTCAGTCCCTTCTCACCTCGTATTTAAACCCCAGCAACAATCAAGAAGAGCATTGGCTACCGACTCCGCAATCCAAGTGCATGATGGTCTATGCTCACAATTTTGCCAGATAGCCAGGCTGTTGCGCCCACTGATAAACCACCAGACGTACCTCGCAGACTCATCCTGGAATCCTGCTTCCGTAGCCATTGGCGGCTGCCATTATCAAGGCATATCTTTTCACAATGTTGAGCGTTGGGCAATGTATCGCCGCTTGCGATTACGAGCTCTCCCAGTGGACATTGGAGCATATGTCAACTACGTGTCCATGATGCAAGCATAACCAAACCAAATACTCCCAGTTACCCCTTTCCACACTTTGCAGCACCACCTCACGCGTCCGGTCCAAAGTACGCCCTAGGCCAGATATTCATCGCCGTCTTCACTCCATCCTTGATAGGCAAGCCAGCATGCAACACGCGCTCATCCCCCGTCCCATTCGGGAACAGGTTGACCCAGAACAGCGCATTCCCAGGCACCGCCCTGAAAGCCAACCCGCCGTCCTCATGCTCCCTCCAGACCCGCTTCCCCTCCCCTTCCTCCGCCGCCTCTTCCTTCCCCGCCGCGAACGGCCCCACGTGCGGGAACCATGTCTCCCCGCCGGCGGAGTGGTTCGCCTGCAGCACGACGAACAGCGTGGCGACGCGGTTGTACAGCCTCCTGCGCCCGGCCTCGGCGTCGGCGGGCGCCAGCCTGGGCCGCGCGAACCAGTCGCGGTGCGCGTCAAACCGCTGCCCAGCCTCGTAGCGGACCATCTGCGGGGCGCCGACGTCGTCGCGGCCGGGCGCGAGCAACGTGCCGAGGAGGGCCGAGGCGCGGGCCAGGACGCAGCCCACGGCCGTCGGCGTGTCGAGGAGGGGCAGGGGCGCCGACCACGAGGTCCGCGACTGGTGGCCCGTCGTGTCGGAGGCGCCGGGGCCGCCGGTGAGCGGGGACGGGGCCAGGAGTGGGGTGCCCATGTCGATTATGGCGGCCGCCTCGGAGGGGTGGACGAAGTCGGCGATGTAGATGAGGAGCGGGTCCACCGAGATGATCTGCGTCGTGTACTTGTGGTCGGTGGCGCAGGTCCAGGGAGGCGGCGGGTCGCCTGTGGGGCCCCTGTCCCAGGGGCGGCCGAGATTGAGCGATCGTAGCAGTTGATGCCGTCGGATGTGGTCCAGGAGAGATGGGCCGCCCAGGTATGCCGCCCCTGCGGCAGCTGCCGACACGGCGAAGGCTTTGGCCAAGATGCCCATCCTTGCCGGGTCGGGCGCTCACATGGGCTGTGTGCGTGTGGCACTTGTTCGAAGTAAGGACGCGCTAACTTTTCGCCCGCCAAGTCGGATACGAAAGCTTGGAATGGGAAGCTCGCCAAGTCTCCGAGATCGCCACAGTGGTGGGAAAGGGGTTAAAACGACACACATTCCAAGTCATCTGCATGATATGTTTCGAGTAAGGGGGCCCAAAAGAGCCGCAAAGTCGGCTAAAGGGCTGTGTAAAGGCACCGGCGTTGACGGGTAAAGGGGGCCTGGGTCGAAACATGCACCATAGCCGGTCGATCTCATGCGTCTTGATAAGAGATATTTTTATCTCTGCCTGGCTAGCATACCCAACCGGGAAAAAGAATGGGTGAGGGGGATCTACAGGTCTGTGCTAACCCGCTCCGTGTTGACTTGCGATAGGCGAAGAAATCTATGTGAACTTCATGGTGTCTGGTGCAGATAATACGGAAATTTCGTGCGTAGTTCTCTCCAAACATCTCGCTAGAGTAACCCCTATATCCATGTCAACCAATGCCACCCAATTTTGGGCCGGTGGGAGAGACGCGTGTAGATCGGAAGGAAGATCCATGCCTGGCTTCGAGTCCCTTGCACTTGCCCTCCCCCTCCAGGGCATGCCTGAGACACGACTCGAGAAAGGTGGCAAAAGCATTGCTCCGAGGGATCTGGCCAACCCGCCAATTCGGGCCCGCCTCTCAAGGGACACAAAAAAAAGAGTCACAGAGGACGCAATGGGATCAGAATTGAGTGTAACTATTTATTTTCAGTTTGAACTACCTAAGCAGGCGGCTTGGACGCCCTTGTCCCACGCTCCCTCTAAGGGTGGAAGCGATCGGGAGCGTGGAGATAACTCCTCGCGGAGTAAGGTCAACTACCTATACAACATTATATACAAGACTCGGGAGGGGCGTCCGTGGCCGTGTTCCGCCCAGCTGGGTCTTGTAGAGGCAACTTTCCCAGATAATACAAAGCTCCGCGCCCCATCAAGATGGTAGAAAAGCCTTTCGAGCAGGGCCCATCCGCGGGTATGCGCCTGTCCCAAACCTTCAGGCAGTAAATTCCATGCCTACCAGCCACAGGCGAAAATGATAAGATGTCTTCAAATTCCCAAATATGATGAATGCTTCCCAAACGCCAACCATCCTGACCAAGACCCAGGATATTCTTTTGATTTTGCACCTGGCGCCGGAGTCGGGGACAAAGGAGAAGGAAGACGACAAAGTGTAGGACTCAAGGGTCTCGAGAAGGTGAAACATGGATGCGGACCCGACATGCAACTGTCTCGTGTATATCTTGGCTCATATGCTTTGGGTTTGTTGTGCGGTAGTACCGACAGTGCTCAAGGCACCAGTTGAAGGTAAGGGTCCTTGGAGAGCGTATGAGGGGTGATGCGGTTGCGGTATGAGGGATGCAACGCAATCAAGTATAGAAGGTGTTCGGACGAAGTTGAAAAATGTGAGTGGCCCGGCGGGGCTAGTCGAATGATAGCGACCCCAGAATTCATAATGGCGTAAGACGAAGCAGGGAGAAAAGAACGAAGTATGGGTATCAAAAGATTTATCGAGCAAAAGTGGCGGAACAAGGGCTTCGTTGCTGTGAGATACGGTCGTGATGATTTGGGGGATCCTTTGGGCGTGGGTGGATCATGTTTGTGTGGATACCGCGGTTTGGCTGTTGCCTCTCATCCAGCCAAACATGCCGTTGGCAACGGAACCGGCGGCAGCTGGCGCTTCGACTGGGGTGCGGAGAACCTGAGTCTCGCGGGGTTCAAGCAACAGGCTCTTGCGATAGTACGAGACCTGCACGTTGCTTCCCGGCGCCTCCAGTTCGCGGACGCGGCTGATCTGGTACTGGAACCACTCCTGCAGGTCAGGAAGCTCTGTGAGCCTGTAGGGGATCTGGAAGCGTTGAAGCTCGCCAATGATCTTGGCGGTGCGCATGTGCTTGTCGAAATTAATTACGGCGAGGCCCGCGTCGTTGGTCTTGGTCGCCGGGTTTCCAATGTCGACAAAGGTCAAGTCGGTCAAGAACATGCCCAGGAACGGCAGGCAAGGTGGCACATGGCCTTGGAGACGGGCACGCAGGACCTTGTTGTTCTGGCTGGGCTCGACGATGGCCTGGAGCAACTTCAACATCTCGCGTCGCTTCGGGCTGATGACGTCCCATGTCTTGCGCAGGCGCGTGATAGTGCTGCTGTTGAGTGAGCAGATGATGGCCATGAGCGCGTCGTAATTGTTGAGTTCGAGGCATTGGTGAGCAATCTTGATCCAGTGCTTGATCACGGCGGCCCGCCTCTTGACCTCGCTGTGGAGCAGGATGGTGTCGGCGACGAGGTTGGACAGGTCGGTCGAGAAGGACGACATGGCCTTCACGTTTGGCGAGTCAGCGCCACTGTTCTTCATCCACTGCGAGCCCAGCAGCTCCTCCGGCAAGATGGAGCAGAAGACGGTCATTTGCTTGATGGTCAGCTGGCGCGCAATCTCGAGGGGTTCGAAGTCCAGGATGGTCGGGCAAGTGCCCCCCATCTTCCAGTTGCCGAGGGCGTAGGTCGAGCTTTTGGAGACAATGGGCACCGGGAGCGGCGTGTCGGCGGGGATGTACTGAGAGATGGAGGTATTGGTCTTGCCCATCGACGAGACGAGGCGAGGGACCAGGCTGCCGTCGGTGGACGTGACCCGTTCACTCAGCTCCAGCAGCCGCTTGCCGGCCGAAGGGAGGATGGAGCCCAGCTTGAACTCGGCAAATGGCTGGATGAGACCCAGGACGTCGCGGTCCGTCTCGTCTCGCCAGTGCGACTCGAGCCATCCCTTGAAGACGTTGTACACCCTCAAGCGGACGGCGCTGGCGGTGTGAGGCGACTCGCCGACATAATCGAAGCGGTAAATCAGTGCCTCTGCCAGCTCTCTGGGAGTGCAGAAGAGTCGGAACGTGAGGTAGAAGGTCGAGACGAACATGGCATCGGGAGTGGCCTCGTGCGTGGTCAACCGTTCGACGAGCGCCGGTAGCGAGCCCCCCGTCACCTGGCCCTCCTTGTTGAAGATCAGCTCGTGGGCATACGTTTTCTCAAGAAGCTTCGACTCAACCTCCTCCACCTCTTCGGCGAGGGTGGAGCTCCCGGCCGTGCTGAGCTCGGAGAGCGACGGTTGGTTCTTTGGCACAAGAGTGATCTCAGGAGTGGTGGCACGGGTCGAGCTCTGTGACACAACAATGGACTCCGAGTCCCGGCTGAGATACGCACTGGAGCCAGAGCTCGAAGCAGTCATGCTCTCGGACCGGAACGACGAGGGGAATTCGCTCTCGTGGCTCGAGGACGGTTCCGTTGGACTGTAGTCCTCCCGCGGCAGCAGAGATGTCGAGATCTTGGGTAGTGGTGGGAGTGCGGGTCGCAGCGACGAGACAGACGAGACAGACGAGACAGACGAGACCATACTCGAGGCGGTCTCCTCGACAACCATAGACTGCGCTTGAGATTCAGGTGGCGAGTACTGCAGTTGGGCCGGCGCCTCGACAGGTTGGGTGATCTGGGGTACTTCCGGGAGCGGTTTGTCAACGGACAAGGCGGGCCTGTGGGCAGGTGTCATGGGCGTGGTTGACGCAGTTGACGTGGTTGGCGACTGTGACACGCAGGAATCGGCAATACTCGCGCATTCGCTCGCCGCTACTGACCTCTCCCTCTCCTCCTGAATATCATCCAGGCAGCTCAGATCGAGGTCGATACTGAGGCTGCCATTGTCGAACTCGAACTCGAAATCCCCTATCCTCTCGATAATCGCCTTCGTCTTGTGGACACAGTCGCCGGTGGCGATGACACACCCAGTCGCAGCTCCTAGCAGGCGGCTGCTGTCCTGTGGCAGAAGCACGTCATCGAACTCGGTGCCCGTGTTGCTGAGGATGTCCCGTGCAGCGCAAACGAGGTCGTGGAAGCGGTCATACATGGTCACGCGGAACGGATCTAGTGTCTCGGAGCCGAAGGGGTTGCGGGCGCAGACAACATCAACCACCACCAGGAGCTCTCCTCCCGAGGAAGCGGATTGCTTGATTGCGAGGGCCAAGTGCGGGCGGGATTGGGACTGGAGATGCAGGCGTCCGATCAAGGAGGCGAAGCAAGTAAGGAATGTGTCGTGGCGAGAGCTCAGGCGCTCTGAGACGAGATTTTGCGGCCGTGAGAGGAGCGACGGCCCAGCCAAGCTGACCCGGTGTGAGATGGTAGACGACAGGCGATTGACCTGCAATGAATTGTTCTGGGACAGCCGACGCGCATTTGTACTCGTACTCGCTGACGAGCAAATAGTCGAGAGGCGTTTGCCGGTGGGCGCACTTGTTTGTGTAGCCTCGCTAATTTCGAACGAGGTCGTGTAACCTGCAGCTCCGTCCCCTACACCTCGGGAGCCTGCATCGTAGGCCTGGTGGTGATTGTGCTCGAACGAGGTCGAATCCGCGGGTGGCGTTGGAGGGATGCACGCCTCTTCGAGCACAGTCGCCATGACGGCCACTGCGGGTGCCCGAGATCTCCTGTCGTCGTCCAAGATATCCAAGAACCGGACGCCCTTGGTGACGATCTTGAATGCCCGAAGAACCATCTCATCCACAATATCGTTCACATCCTCGATGGGGTCCTCCATTTTCTGGGTTTCCTGTAATCGCTTGGCAGTCTTTACCAAGGACGACAACTCTGATAGTAAGCTTTTCCGACTGCGTCTGAGGCCATCATGCCTGTGTATGGTGACCGATTCTCTTGTCAGACACTGTGTGCTCTCCTGTGCTAGCGGTTAGTATGGTTAAGTAATTCGGCGGTTTCGACCCTTGTTGAGACGTGGACTGACCAGGAGGTATCGCACACCAGCGATGATACCCTTCATGAATTCCTGGTTGCCGAAGATCTCGCTATCGTTGACCGCGGTACTTCGCAGCAGGTCCCAGAAATTCAGCAAAGCTTTCAGCAGATTCTTCATTTCCTCGGGGTCGTAAGCCTCGCAATAGTTTGTTGGCAGCCATCCTCGGGCCCCTGACACCAGAAGTGTACCATCTGCCCAACCGTTCGTGTGGATCGAATGCACGAGGATGACGTCCCCTTCGTTGAGCGGTAGTGTCACCGTGGAGTCGCTCATGGAATAGCTCGGGTGGAAAGGGTAGAATGCCCGCAGGAAGTTATGGAACATTGGTGGAGGATCCGGTGTGGCATTCAGGTCTTCTTGTGACCCGTTCGGGGTCGTTGGAGGGGTCATCTCTGACTGAGAGTAAGGGTTCGTGCTCGCGATTGCGTCGTAGCCATTGCCGATCGACTCTGAGCACGACTTTTGGATGGTGAGCGGAGCCACTTGAAGGCTCGATCGCATAGCTGGCTCGCTCAGCGTTCCCATTGCTGCGGATTGAACGTCGGGAACACCATGAGCCTGAAAATCCCGGGCTGGACAAATATGCACCGCACCCCAGCTAGTATATGAAATGGTGTTTTCTGCCCTTATGGAAGAGCGCAGGTTTCCTGCGAAGTGGTCGACACCCTGCCCGCGCAACAATTGCGTTGATGAAGGTTGACAAGACTCCCCCTGCGTCGGCCTATAGCAAGGTCCTATCGTCCAAGATCGTCCAAGTCCTTCTGTCGTGTCGAGGCTCTCCTGGCCTTCCAGCTCGATAGCGATAGTCGAGTTCGTCTTCTTGTTGATGTTAGTGCGCAAGCCAGGCGATTCGTCTTGGGTGGGAACTGTTTTGATTGAGGGAAGCAGGAGAGGGGGTAAATGGAGGGAGGAATGTAATGGGAGGGCGGTACATGATAGGAATGGGAAGGGACTGGGGGGGGGGGGGGGGGGGGGCGGGAGCTGGGGGGTTTCTAGTTGATGACTGTGTGGGGAACACAAGAGAAATCATTCTTCGAGTCAACCTCAAAGCGAAAGGAGCAAGGTATTATTA